GGCCGGAGAGGGGCGGGGACACCGGCGAGAAGGCGGCGAGAGGCGGGGAGGCGGGGAGGCGGGGAGGCGGGGAGGCGGGGAGGCGGGTGAGACGCGGGGGAAGAGACGCGGGGAGGCGGGCGAGAGGCGGGGAGGCGGGTGAGAAGGCGGGCGAGAGGCTGGCGAGAGGCTGGTCGGAGGCGGGCGCGGGGGGCGGGATGCGACACCGAGCCCGACCGCGTTGGCGGCTCGGGCTCGGGGTTGATCGAAGGCGGGCGGGGCGGGGCGGGGCGCGAGTGCGAGAGGTGACCCCGAGTGCGACCGCGTTGGCGGCTCGCACTCGGGGCAAGTCGAGGGGGGGTGCCAGGGTGGGAGGCGAAGGAGGCATCCCCCAGCGAGACCGCGTTGGCGGCTCCCGCTCGGGGGTTGGGCGAAGGAGGGGTCGGACGTTCCGCGCGGTGGGCCGGCGCACTTGCAAGCGCCGCGTTCAGCGCATTTGCGAGCGCCGCGTCTGGCGCATTTGCGAGCGCGGCGGGCGGCGCACTTGCAAGCGCGAGGGCCGGCGGACTTGCTAGCGCGGTGGGCTGCGCACTTGCAAGCGCGAGGTGGGCGGACGGCGGACTTGCAAGCGCTGCGTCCGGCGCATTTGCGAGCGCGGCGGAGAGCAGAGTGAGCTGACTCGAGTCGACCAACCACGTCACGATTTAATCACGTGACCGGTGTCAGCCGCGTTGATTCGTCTAAGTCCGCTTTGGGCCACTGTCCCGGCCTTCCAGATAGCACAAACTTAATCACTTTGTAGATAGTTATAAGTATGTATCAGTCTAATAGTATATAGAGTGACTAATATTATCATTCAAGACCTGAGTCTGGTTTCAATCATGGTATTTGTGCATTGGGAGACCTGCTATCATTACTATACAGATACATCCCATATTTATGGGTGCTATATTGATTGCACCTATGAGCTATGTATCACTATGTAGCTATAGCACTGAGCTATGTTGTCTCTAATTACTATATAGGACTACTGTACTTTTACGACCGTAAGTTCAGCCAGGTTGGAGGGGGACAGGGGACACCCCCCAAGTTTGGGGCCATGGCAAGTTCATCCGCAGCCTGCCCTAGGGACACGTGCTTACGAGGTCAGATTTTTTTATCACACGATCAGATATAATGTGTCCCGGAGGTTCAGAGTGCCAGGGGGACAGGAGACAATAAGTTTGGTTCGGGTGCCCCGGGGATGTGGGACGAACTTATGGTCGCAAAAGTACAGTATATACTCAGTTGCCTCCCTGCCTTGTGCGACAGCGTCTCCACCGCTGTCCCGAGGGATACACACTGCTTCTAGGAGGTCCAGCGCATACCCTGACAGCTCCACATTACCAGTGTTCGCACTGGCCCTGCCTTACTATATAGATCAAGATTTTTCGAAGATGAAAGCTCTGCATCATTGGACTTCTGACATGGTATTTGACATTTCTCCATCATTCTTTGTGAACTGCTTCCATAGCCAACAAATTAGTAAAATCAGGTTTCTGTGAAACATCTTACAAAAAACAATGAAGACATTCAAAAAACAGCAAACAAAGAACATATACTGCAAGGATGCTGCATACACTGCACACCACTTACACACACTGCAAACTACCTGCACACAATACACATAATCTGCACACAGTGTGCACATAGTTGCCAACTTGTCACATATGACAAAATTGGCCTATTTGTCACGCTAACACTGCATTTGTGCATTTTGCCTTAGGACAGTTTTCCTGATGTGTCATCTTCCGAACATAGGTCTTGCGCAGCAATGTTTTCGTCCTCGCTGTCATCTGAGAACCGCCATGGTTTCGGAGACCACAGCAATCGCTCCTAGATGTATACCGTTCGCTACTTTGGACGCAACCCCTTGTGTTTAGTGCGTTCAGCCGTTGGTGAGAGTAGATGCAACACGCCCGCGAGCGCACACACACCTGTATCCCTGTGATATCTTCTTGGGTGCTGCCATCATGCAGTCCAAATAAGGCTGTGCGTCCACGTTTACTGCATTCTTATCTTGGCCGTGTCCATTCACTTCGACTCGGAACCTTGCATTCGTGGGTCAAGGATTGCTTTGGGGACCGTGGCTGTGAGCTTTGCAATGGATGACTGCTCACGGTGACCCCGACGATATCACTCACCGAGGCTTGAAGGCTCCGGTTGAGCGGTATTGCAGTGAAACACCTCGGGGACAGGCCGATTGCTGATAGCATGCTCGGCGACCGGCATGCCTCCACGAATCGTTCCGGCGGTCGAAGGTGTGTTCTTCGTACATTGAAGGAGATAATGCGTCATCATGAGGGCCGCGACCCACCTACAGGTATATGAGAACTGCAGCAGACAGACAGGAAGCCTTCCACACTCTTGCCACGACCCTACAGTCAGCCCACACAGTCCATAAAGATGTCCGTCGTCGCAAAACGTACAATGCCATATGGTGTGTACTTTTGTGACTTGAATTGAACTGTGCGATTGTGATGTTTGCGTTAGTTCGGCTTGGTAAATCGGGTCTGAAAGTCTCGAAGATCATCCTGGGCTGCATGTCATATGGTCCGTTCATACCTTTCTCCGAGTCGACGCATTCATGGAGTGAATGTCGGTCTTCCATGCAGGAGATCCCGGTTGGCAAGAATGGCTGCTCGACGAGCAAGAAGCCATAAAGCACATCAAATATGCGTGAGTGATAAGCTCTCACGTATCTGATCCACGTTTGAGTTGCGAAATCATACCATAGATATGATTCAGGCATCCAGACCTTCGATACTGCCAACGTCCGTGCTGTTTTGACGAGAGACGTGTCGGTATTTCTGATAAGATCACCAGGTATATTCGAATGGGCTGTCTGAAATCATCCTTGGGCGTGCGATCAAGCAGTTAGACTTGCCCCGAGACGAGATTGTCGTCATGACAAAGGTATGCTCATTATTCTTGTATCAGAGTACGATCATGACTCCGGGCTGGTTCTACATTCCTCCAGTTGTATGGCGCCGTCGGCAAGACCTATGGAGAGTACCTGACTACGATCCCGGATCTTGACGCGGTTGGATACGTTAACCAGCACGGTCTGAGTCGCAAGGTTTGCATCGGGTAGGATAATCATGGATACAGGTATTGAAGTCTAGCACGCTAGCACATCTTCGACTCGGTCAAGCATTCTCTCGAGCGTCTGCAGCTGGACTATGTTGATCTCCTGCAATGTCACCGGTTCGATTACGACACTCCGATAGAGGAAACGGTGTGTTCATACCCTTTCACCTTGCGATCATCCTGACGATGGCTGCTCCTCCAGATGCAAGCCCTGCATGACGTCGTGAAGGCAGGATATGTCCGATACGTGGGCATGAGTTCCTGTCACGCTTGGCAATGTTGGTTCTCTTCCTCATGCGAACCAGCCGACGACTGATTTCTTGACCTATGTAGTCAACGTCATGCAGAGTACGTCTGCATCAAATCCATGATATTTGTTGATCATGCGAATCCTGACTCTATTCTGGCAGATTTTGCGATCAATAACAACCTCACACCTTTCGTCTCAATGCAGAACCATCATAATCTTCTCTACCGAGAGGAAGAGCGGGAGATGTTCCCAACTTGCCAGGTGTGTCAATCAACTCGCTCGAGAGATCCCGTTTGACGTCGTACGCGCATGAAGCATTTCGGGGTTGGCATCATTCCCTGGAGTCCTCTGGCGCGTGGCTATATTACCCGGCCCTTGTCCGCGAAGACCAAGCGCGCCGAGAAAGATCCGTGAGTGAAGTTCATCGACGATGTTGGTAGAGACTTGGCTAAAGTCTACGCAAGCTGGCAAAGCGCGTATTCTGGCTACGGGACGGATGCGATCGTGACACAGTCAGTTGTACCGCGATCTTGGGAGATCAGTGATACTGATACGACCTCTCACAGCGTCGAGGAAATCGCGAAGAAGCGGGGAGTCTCCATGGCACAGATCGCCGTGGCTTACAGTATGCAGAAGGACGGTAGGTTGCTCATGAAGGTGGAAGCTTGGCGGGCTCCTGATCGCACCACAGGTATTACCGCACCTATTGTTGGCACAACGAGCCTCGACAACCTCAAGGACCTGATCGGTAAGATGTTCTTCTCTCTCATCTGTTCCATCGCTGATTTCGTGCAACAGCCGCGGTGGAGATCAAGCTTACGGACGAGGAGATGAAGTACCTCGAGGAGCCGTACACTCCTCGTCCGGTGTTCGGGCACCGGTGAACGTGATCTCGATACATGGATGTAGCGAACTGTGTGACGCGAAGCACGAAGCGAGGCGAAAAGACCCTCCTCTCCGAATGGTGCTTGTGTACGCGAGGGTTTCCATCGTTCAGATATGACCCAGAATCGGTGCATTTGTATAGCTCTATACGCTTGCGAACAGAATACGATGAAGCGATGAGGGCCATTTGAACCCCATTATAGCATATACCAGGAAAAATTCACACAAAATTAATGTGCTTGAATCAAGCATTGACTTGCCTCAGCAGAGACACGGCCTTGTCCTCAAGGACTTTCCGCACCCATCATCGGCCAGGACGAGGTTCCAACCCTGCCGCAATCAAATTTAATGGCCGAGACGTTGGCCCCTTCAAAATCACGTCGTGCAATCCACGTCACAAAACACGCAAGGAGGTGGTCACAGAGCAAGTTGGGGGGGTACTCGCGTTATTACTTAAGCCGCATGTTGACTTGGTCGATAACATTTTTCTGAAAAAAAGAGTCAAAGCTGGATTATCGCAGGTTAGGCGCAGCCACAGCTTGATGGGGACGCGTCGGTCGCCACGCTCACGTCCGGCTTTCGTGAACACACGAGGATTCCTCGCTGCCTGGTGCGGTTTCGACGTTAATCTAACGGCAGCATGTACGGCTCAATACGCTACGGGCACGATGAACGTCGCTTACAACACATTTCCGCAGAATTATTCCCTCGACCACCGGAGGCCTGCCGTTCAACCTCGCCGGTCATCCTGGTCTCTCAGAGCACTGTCGCGGACGATTCTAGGACTACCGCCAGCACACTACGATACGAAGAACTCTGAAACTAACGACACTGCATATCAGCGCGTAATGGAACCCCCGCTCACACCGACACCGGTCCCTACTACCAACGGGCTGACCACGAATGGTATCAACGGCACCAACGGTACCAACGGCATCAATGGGCGTCACTCTCCCGGGGACACGGTCGGAGAACCTAGCACCTCAGCGACAGCGTCGACCTTCGACCCGTCGGTGTTCAAAACTTATATCCTCGCGCTGCTACCCGCGTTGTTAGGCGCGTCGCCTGAGGATTTAGCGGACCTGTTCGACGATTACTTTGAAGAGAGGGTGGCTCGATTTGCGGCAGAAGGGAATGGCGTGATCTACGTATCGAAGATCAAGGACGATGTCGAAGGTGCGCTCCCGTTGAATATCTGCCCTGATAGTGCAGCCTAACGCGTATACAGATGACGGGCAGCCGCCCACGTACACTTACCAATTGACAACACAACTCAGTTACACTCCAGCTCAAGTCATGACAGTAGCCCTCATCAAGCGGACGCCGACGCTGGATCCTCTCACTCCGCTGGCAGCACAACTACACGTCCTTAACCTGTTTGGAGGCGATGAAACACCATACGAGAGTTTGCATGCAGTCGTCAGTGCCGGTGTTAAGCCCTGGTTCGAAGCATTCGTAGGGTCAAGAGGGGGGGTGAAGGACAACGATACCAAGATGGGTGAGTGACCATGCTTGTACAGTAGAATATCGCACTGACGAGCATGCGATAGGCATACCTATGACCAAGAAGAAGTTCGCCGAACTTGAACTCTCCTTGCTTCACCTCCAACAGAACGTCGAAATTCCCGAAACACACCTCATTATCCATCCCGCGATCCAAAAAGCCGTCGAAGCCGCGCACGCTGCCAACCGGCGACCCACCATCTCCGACCTCCCGCCCAAGCTTCTCAATGACTCTACCTTCCTCAATACATTGCATGCGCATGTAAACGCGTGGATCAAGAGCATCCAGGCGGTGACGAAGCTCAACCGGGATGTCAGCAGCGGGACGGCATCGCAGGAGATCAACTTCTGGCTGAGTTTGGAGAGGGCGTTGGAGGGTATCGAGGCGCAGCTGAGAGGTGACGAGGTGCTGATGGTCATGGAGTGCTTGAGGAACGCGAAACGATTCCATGCGACGGTCAGTTTCATCGCGGACACCGGATTGAAGGACGCGACAGATCAAGGTGTGCTCGCATACAGTCGTCCGTTGCGACTCGCGGTGCTCATGCCTTTCTTTAGTACACAAGTACAACCAGCTCATGAAGGATTTCCCCCTCAATGAGCTGCTATCCGCCACCGACCTCGACAAAATCCAGGAATCGCTTGTTCTCATCTTCGGCCACCTCAATCGTAAACTGAAGCTCTCGCCCTATCCCATCCGACGTGCCCTTCCTCTTGTCGAAGCCATCTCGCGCGACTTCAACGACCAGCTCGTGCGCGTGCTCACATCTCACCGTCTGCCCTATACGCCGTATGACACCTTCGAACGTCTACTCTCCACGACGATGAACATTTTCCGGACGTGGGACGACCTTATCAAAGAATTTACCAACGTCGCACGTGAGGTCACCAGGAAGCGAAGTGAGAAGTTCATCCCAATCAAGGTCGTGCCGGCGCACGCGAAGCTGCAAGAACGTGTGAGGTATTTGAGGGACTGGAGGAAGCAGCATGAGCAGTTGGCGGTGATGACCGGTCCGACGAAAGGTTTGGGTGTTGGGATTGAGGTTGGTGGGATGGACATGGAGGAGGAGGTCAGAGAGGCCTACGAAATCGTGAAGAGGATCGATGTGCTGGACGTTTCTGTCGGTGAGTCACAGTTATATCCAGTGAAGGTTCGGATGGTGTACTGATGGCGCGCAGACGGGACCGAGATTTGGGTCACTGCGGAGAATGCGTACAACGAGCGCGTGGCAAGGGTCGAAAACCAAATAATCGCCAGACTAAGGGACAGGCTCGGAACTGCAAGGAATGCGAATGAGATGTTCCGCGTTTTCTCTAAGTTCAATGCGCTCTTCGTCCGGCCCAAGGTTTGCTCCCTGCCAGCGCTGTGTTTCGTCATCCTAACGAGCCCGTTCCAGATTCGTGGAGCCATCCAAGAATATCAGACGCAGCTCATCGACTCCGTCAAGGAGGACATCAAACGCCTCCATGACAAGGTACGCAGTCGCGATCATCACAGTATCCGTACTCATGTCCGCGATAGTTCAAGACACAATATCGTTTCTCGGAAGCCTACCATATGTCACAAATGCGAGATCTTCCGCCCATCGCAGGCGCCATTATCTGGGCGCGCCAAATCGAACGGCAGCTGCTCACCTACATGAAGCGCGTTGAGGACGTTCTCGGCAAAGGCTGGGAGCTTTACGCCGAGGGGCAGAAACTCCAGTCTGAATCTTCGGCCTTCCGGCGCAAACTCGACACCCGGCCCGTGTTCGAGGCATGGCTGCAGGACATCAACCGGCGGGACATGGGCGTGAACGGGCGCTTATTCGAGATCGTGCGCCTCAGAGGGGGCGGGTTCCAACTTGCGGTCAACTTCGACCCGCAGATCATCACGCTGTTCAAGGAGGTCCGAAACCTCCTGTGGTTAAACTTCCAGGTGCCGCACGCCATCACGAATATGGCGAAGGATGCCAAGAGGGTGTATCCGCATGCCGTAAGCTTGATGGAGACGGTGAGGACGTACGGGCAGACTCTAGATCTGGTCGAGAAGAACCAAGGGATAGAGTGGCTTGTGGCCGAGTATCGGAACGAAGCTCAAAGGATGATCAGTCGGGGTGAGTGTATGTTATCTGGAGACTGCATTGTGGCTGACTTTCGCGATAGGCATGAGCATTCGATGGGATTACTTCGTCAACCAATACGATACTGCTCGTTATGTGCCCTCGGCTGACGGACGGGACAACCGGCACATTCAGTTCGTCCGGGAGTTCGCCAGCGTCGTCTCCGTGCTCCAGGTTGGCTTCGCCATTCTATATCCCTGCCGTCTTGCGATTGACCTTCACCTACAACCAGGACAAGACAAACAATGTCATTGACCTGTACAAGGAGATCACTAGAGCGGTCGAAGACCTCGCCGCCTGTCCGTACACACCTGAGGCGTTTAGCGATCTCTTGGGCAAAATACAGGCTGCGGTATGTGGACATACCGTGACGCACTGCGTTGATACTGACATCCGAGAAACGCAGATCGACCGCCTGAACCTCGAGGGCTACGCCAATCTTGATCAATGGGTGGCGGAGCTGGATAAACGGATAGAGGGCATCCTCCTCCAGCGCTTGACGCACATCATCCAGGTGTGGTGCTCAGAGTTCGACCGGACCGACGATGGTGACTCGCGAGTGGGGATTGCCCCGGTCCGAGACCTCAACAACAAGCGGCGCGCCGATAAGCGCATGAAGGATGATAGGGTTAGCCGTCCATCAATCTGGCCCATCCCCACCCGCTGATCTGCCACGCCATCAGGGCCTCGAGGGACATCTCGTGATGAAGCCAATTGTGCACGAAATCCGGATACAGAACCAGGTCATTTTCTTGGACCCGCCAATAGAATACGCCCGTCAGACCTGGATAAGGCAACTTCACGAGTGGCTAGGTGGGTCAACTGAATATACTCCGTCACTTCTTCCCGGTCCTGATCGGAATCTGCAGGAACCGTGTGCTTGCTCCGCAGGATCCAAAGCTCGCGTTACGAAATCGGACTGCAAATGCAGGTTGGTACTACATCAGAAACTACGTATACGTCTTTGGTAAGCCTCGAATCTTCTTCGTGCTTCTAGACGCTTACTGTGCTTTAGCTGACCAGATTTCCCGACGACACGCTGGAACGGCCGTTTGCGCTGGTGGAGAATAAAGTCCAGCAGCTTCGCGACTACGTCGGCAAGTGGCTGCAGTTCCAGTCCCTCTGGGACCTCGAGGCGGAATACGTCTTCAACCGCTTGGGCGACTCGCTCGCGCACTGGCAGCAACTACTGACGGAGATCAAGAAGGCTCGCTCGACCTTCGACACTTCGGAGACGCAGAAGTCGTTCGGGGTGTGCGTCATCGATTACGAGCAGGTTCAAGCTCGGGTGAACGCGAAGTACGACGCGTGGCAGAGGGATATCCTCAGCCGATTCGGCGTCAAGCTGGGTAACGCCATGAAGGAGATGCACGCTGCCATCCTCAAGGCACGCAACGATCTCGAGCATCAATCGATAGAAGGTTTGGTCGGCGCTTCGCGCAGGTTCTAATATACCATAATTTTCACCCTGTCTTTCTGCGCGCCATTTTTTTGCACACCGCGTCAACACACTCCTTTCGTTACGCTTCTATTCATGCACGTCCCATCTACGACCTCGTGTTCCTGCTCCCTCATGCATTCTGTATTGTAACTCATTCGGATCATACGTTATCTTGTTTTGTAACGGATCTTTGTATTGCGCGTTTTTTTGGACGAGTGCTCTGGAGTCTGGACGCGACCCCCTATAAGTCATGAATATGCCAGCCAAGAGTTTTGGAGGGGCGTCTGCACCGTGTCGGACGACTGCCAAAAATCACGCGCTGATAGCCTCTCGATCATAGATTGCGGTGTTTGCGGGACTCGAATGCTCGCGGAAGGATCTGAAGCGTTGACTTGAATTGACCAAACCCAGTGAGTATTGACTTATTCGCGCTCGTCCTCCAGTCAACGCTACTCAACCGTAGGCGCGGACTGCATTCCAGGTCGACTCTAATCACGCTAATTGAGCGGGAAGGGAAGCGAGGTTTAGGTTGTAGATGTTATCGAGATCTGGGAACTCAAACCAAGATCCTGGCCTGCATCGGCCCCGCAATTGCCATGTATGGATAAGTCGCGCCTCCTGACACGACTCGTATCGGGCTAGGAGGTTCGGCATGTATCGCAAATCTGATGCGAGGTTTGCGGCAACGCGGGCTGGCGGAAGGCGGACATCATCTCATTCCATGCCGCCTCACGCCGCGAGTCGTACCAAGCGCCTAAAGGAGATCTTCCGCACCACCCTCGACACAACATATGACACCCCCAGGCGCACTGGTTCTGACCGGTTCCTTGACGCTCTGCGTATTGAAAAGTTTAGACACCCCTGAAGGGCGTATTTTACCATCTACGTCCGGTGCTAGATCCAGGCTCCAGATATCGGACCAACCCCTGGATTCCGACATCGAGCGATGACCACAGTAAGTCGTACATGGATCGTGTCTCAGGTTGTTTCAGATCCTTAAAATGTCAAGGTTGACGTAGGCGTGCCGCGTTTGCCCAACGTCTCTCCAACCTTCCGCCCAAGGGACATGGTGTGTAACGATATACGCTGCAACGCAAGATTACATGTCTAACGATGTCTCATACGTCCTCCACAACAGCCGGTTCCCTATTCGAAGCAAGGTGAAGCATCTTCAAGTCGTAATAGATCGCCGCCTCCAACTTCCGTGAGTGGCTGCGCAAGACCTGCTTCGCGACTCTCATAACATCCCTGAACTTTAGTCGTGTCCTGTATCCACTCCCTCGCGCCTTCCGGTTGACAACCTTCCCGTTGAGCTACTTTCGACGATATTCACCCTCGGGCGCGAAGCGCAGCTCGTTCGTGACGAAGACTTAGACGAGGATGACCGCGACCCTCAGAAGCTAGAGCCCGCCTTCGAGGTGGTCGTCTCTCATGTCTGTCGGCACTGGAGGCACGTTGCTTTGAACCATAGCTCTCTATGGCGATACATTCTATTCAAAGATACGTCCCACATTTCCCGCGGAGTTACCTACGTGGCCCGCTCCCGCAAGCAGCCCCTAGACATCGTCATCGACACGCCTACACTCGAAAACCAGATTCCGGGCGTGACGATTAGTCGACAAGACATCGATACGGTTGCCGACATCATCATACCCGAATCTCATCGCCTCCGCAGTGTACGGCTCATGTACCGCGACGAGTACTGCAAGAACGCCGTTTCCTCGCGTATAGCCAACGGAACGCCCGCGCCATTACTCGAGCACATGGAGCTTTATTACTTTGAGGACTGGAAGAAGCCTCAGCGCGTCCACATCTGTTGCGACAATGTCACGATCTTCGGTGGCGTTACCCCACGGCTAAGGGAGCTATCGATCATCGGAGTTGCTATCCCGTGGATGCAGTCCCGGACCTGGATACGAGGCCTTCGATCGCTGCAAATCAAGCTTCACGCTAACCATGTCCGACCGTCGTTCGAGGCGTGGCGGACGATGTTAGCCGATAGTCCCAACCTCGAAAAGCTCTCGTTGCACTACAGCGGCCCCCGGGAAGACGACGTCTGGACCACGCCCCCCATCACGGTACCATCGCTCGTTGAGCTGGATCTGGGCGACATGGGCTGCGACTACCTCCTCCGTTTCTTCGATCATTTCTCTGCCCCGAACGTGACGACGCTCCGAGTCGAACTCGACGGTGAAGAGTATACAGCATTCATGAAGCGGGCGTCGCGACCAAAAGAGCTGCTCTTTCCCCTCCTCGAAAACCTGTACATCAGGTCGCTCGATTGTGACCCTGCGGCGCTGCGCGATTTCACGATGCTGTCTATCCATCTCAAATACCTGGATATCAACTGCCGGTCCTTCTCGGAAAAAAAGCTTCTGGAGATGATCGATCCGAAGAAAAACGAGGCCAAGAATGACCATGTACCAGGCGGCTCGTCCCCACCACCCTTGTTCCCCGCGGCGCAGCGCGCCGTGAAACTGCGAAATATCGCGCCCACCACCCTGGAGGCGATCATCGAGTTCGAGCACAAATCACCACATCCCTTTACTCTGCATTGGCAGTTGGAGACGAAAATCCAGTCGGGGCTCGGGAAGGTAGTTGAAGATAGGAAGGAGAACTTTGCGTTTTTTGTCGATCCGGAGGAGGAGGAGCGTGAAGATGAAGACGAACTGGGAGAAGAAAAATTAGTCGAGGGTTCTCAGCTCGAGGTATCGCTCCACGATGAAGAACTCACGAAGTTGTGGCTGCGAGCTCTACCTCCCACTACAGGTCAGCTTACCTTCCAGGCTCATCCGGGGCCATCGTCCGCCACCGGCTAGGGTTACCGCATGGATCCGCCCCCCGTATCTTCACACTGGTGTTCGTCATGTTCTCCCTACCCGATCAACCTGTTTCGTGTTGTTCTGTGTTTCGTAACTGGCGCCCACTAATAGCAGGTAAATGGTTTAAATTCCGCGCGCAATCAACACCACTGCGTAGCAATGGATAATAAGACACGTTAGCGATGATAAGTCATGTGTCGTACACGAAACCGCATTTCTCGCCCAAGCTGTGTACGGTTGTACACGCTCGTGCCTCTTAGGCTCAGAAGTTTGATTACTAGCAGCCAATATCTGCGATGCAACTAACACCCTACTCATGCTATTGATATACCAGATGACATCGTCTTCGCCGCTAAAAGCGTACGGCATAGGTTCATCAAAGCATCTTGATTCACTCTACCTTACACCCACCAAAGGCCAAGCGGGTATTCGTCTCTGATGAGGTCCGGAGGCTGCAGGCCGCGGCGGCGCTGTTTATTTCGTATGTTTCCGAGGACGCGAGCTCTGATCACCTCCTTCGGCCCATTTTCAGCGTCGGTGCCAGGACGCGGAGGGGGCCAGAAGGCAAAGCCGTTCAGTCGCGGAAAGAGGTGATCGATCACCTCACTCAAGCGGTGGCACCAACGTCCTTCTGTGAGATCTAGATCACCTTCGATCCACATGTATTCCTCCAGCATGAGCATGCGGAGGCTAGTGTTCCCGTGGTGCCCAGCTGGCAGCAGGGTATGGTCAGGGGTTATGCGCGTTGGGTTGATATTGATGTGCAGGACCCACAACTGGGGGCAATGCACGGCGAAGGACTTGAGGGAAGCACAGGTCAGCTGAGTTTCATCTTCAGCGTATTCCTGGCTCCTCATTAGGCTGACGTTCTGCAACGCTGGACACGAGCGAGCGATGTGATCCACGACCGTGTCTGTCCACTTGAAGGCTACGCTGATTCGAAGGCTGGTGAGCGCCGTGAACCTGGGCATCTGCAAAAAGAACAGCGCGGAGATGGGGCGTTGCCAATCGGGCGGGTCGCTAGGCCTATTGAAGTGGATGCGCAGTTCGCAAGCATGTTCGGCAGGCAGCCGAAACACGAGGTCCAAGAGCTCGTCCCATACTTCCTGAGGCTCCGGTTTCATCGTCGAAATATCAAGATTGAGCGCTGGGAGCAAGCGTACGAGGTCGCAGACGGCGGGGATCTGCGCTTCCAACTGGAGCTCTTCGATAACTGTTGGATCATCCGCATCATCATCGGGTATTTCTTCGAATATTTGGTGCAATGTATCCGGTGCAGCGATGGTCCTCATGCTGGGATCCAGCTTGACCTCCATTCTCTGCAGATCAGGAAGCTCCCATAATCGACGGATGAGGCCAACCGCGCGTTCGTCGTCTCGGAAGAATTCGGCCATGAGATTGAGATTGAGTGAGTTCAACTTGTCGAGCTCGCAGAGTTTCTCAAGCAAGGGAAGATCAAAGACGGGGCCGCCAACGTGTATATCTGTCATGTTAGGGGTAGATGTTGCAAGCAGAGTGCGGAGGAAGTACTTGACGTCCTCAACGACTTCGACTTCCCACGCCCCGACTTTGCTGTCTGAGATGATGAAGCTCTTCATCGCAGAGGTGAGGAAAATGGTCGCATGTCGGGCACAAAACGTCTCTGGATTAAATAAAAGCCAGTCCATCCGGGGGAAGAGGCGACGAGCCCGATCACGGGCTAGTAGAGAATCAAACACGCTTTCTGCAATGTGCTTGAAGGTGCGGTGTTCAATTTCAATGCCCGTGACCCGACGACAATAGCTTTCGAAGCGTCCCCATTCAGCCCCAGTAGGCTCGCGCGAGAAGGACTGACACGACCATCAACTCGGATGGCTAGACACGGAAGAATGTTCATGACGTACCCACTGCCCTTGCCGGGTTTCTTCATAGGAAGGGAGAATCTTCAGTAATATCTCGAAGTCCGTGAGAGTTTGCCAAATATCGTCCAACGCTATTTGAGCCCATGCCTTGCAAGTGTACGCGCAGCTCAACAGGCCGTTGTCCCGCTTGGCGTAGTCAATATTGTTAGCGAAGATGATTCGGACAATTTCATTTATGAGAAGAACGCGGTGCATCTGTGTATGTTGTATCTCGACTACAGCAAGTCGCAAAACCGAGCGTACGTAGCTGTTGGCGAGTCGCAACCCCACGATTTAAAATTACGCGTCTGGTAACGGGCACGTGGACGCGTCCACGGCGCGCCGTCCAATGAGTTGCTGCTTATGCTCAGCTATGTAACACTGACTAGTACACAACACTCTCCGATCCACCATGTGCGTGATCGTTCTACATAATCACGAACCTGGCTCGATACTACAGGCTTCATCTTCGCACTCGCTTTACCATAAGTAATCAGGAGGATAGTCATCCGCGATGAGGTCTGGAGGCGCAAGACCTCGAGCGCGCTGCAGTTTCCGCACTTTGTCAACGACGCATATTCTGGCCTCCTCTCTTGAAGCCTCCAAATGAGCAGGGTCAATCCCAGGAGGCGGGGCGTAGAAGCCGAAGGCTTTCAACTGGGGGAAGAGGCAATCGATCACGACGCTGAGAGGGCCCGTCCACCAGTTTGCGCCATCGGGGTGCGGTTCAAATGGGTCGTCCCAGATGAAGTCCTCCAGTAGGAGCTTCTCGAAGTGGACGTTGCCCTGGGTCCCCGCTGGCAAACTGATGTGTTCAGGTGTTATGCGCGTCGGGTCCACGTTAATGTGCAAAACTTCCAATGAAGGGCAATGCAGGGCGAACGACCTCAAGGAAGCACTCGTCAGCTGAGGATCGTCCTCGAAGTATTCTTGGCTCCGGAACAGGCTGACGTATACCAAACCGGGGCATGAGCGAGCGAGATGGTCGATGATAGAGTCTGTCCATATGAATGGCGCGCTGATCCGGAGCTTGAAGAGGTTCGGAAAGGTAGGCATTTGCAGGAAGATATCCGCCGCGAGCGGACTCTGCCAATCAGGCCGAATACAGATGAAGCCTATCCATAAGATGCAGAAGAGTTTGCTCGGTTGCTGCAAGACTTGTCGCACGAGATCATCCCAGACCGCTTGAGACTCCGATTTCATCGCCGACAATTCCAGGTTGTCGGCCGGGAGCAAGCGTAGGAGATCACAGATTGCGGGGATCTGACCATGCAGCGTCAGATCCTCGAGGCTATTTCGAGCCTCCTCGTCATCCTCGAGACATTCTTCTGCGTATTCTTGAAGAATAGCCGATGGGGCAATGGATCTGGTCCCGGGGTCCAGTATGACCGCGAATCTTTGCATACGAGGAAGCCCCCACGCTTTACGGAGGACATCTATCGCACGAGCCCCATCTTGGAAGTATTCCGCTGGGAGATGGATTTCGAGCGAATCCAATCTCTCATATTTGCAGAGGTTCTCCAGCATTGACGTATCGATGACTGGGCCGCCAACCAGTATCTCGGTCATATTTGGGGAAGGGGTAGTGAAGAGTGTACGAAGGAAGTACTTGACGTCTTCAACAACGTCGGCTTCCCATTTCTCGTTGTCGGTCTCGACGATGATAAAGCCGGTAATGGCTGAGGTGAGGAACATGCTCGCATGTCGCGCAGAGAACGTCTCTGGATTGAACACGAGCCAATTCACCCGAGGGAAGAGGCGACGTCTTCGGTCGAGAGCCAGCAGAGCATCAAACACGCTCTCAGAGACGTGCTTGCAGCTGCGGCGTTCAATCTCAAATCCGGTAACGCGTTGACAGTAGCGTCTGAAGCGTCCCCATTCGGCTTCAGTGGGTTCGCGGGAGAACGACTGAGGAGGTGGACTCTCAATTCGAGTAATCACGCGAGGAAGAGCGCATCGCGTACCCATTTCCCTTCAATGTCTTCCCGATACGAGGGTAAGACCCGCAGCAATATCTCAAAGTCCATGAGCGAGTCCCATATGTCATCCAATGCAATCTCAGCCCACGCTTTACACGTGTACGCGCAGTTCAAGAGCACCTGGCGTCGCGCACGGTAGTGGCCCATATGCATACTGTCAAAAACAGCACGAACGATTTCATTGATCAGGAGTGCACGGTGCATGTTTTGACTCGGCATCTGCTGGGAGTAGTTGGTGTGGCAAGAAGTCAACCCGAGCTTGGCACAGCGTGGTCAGCTCGTGTCCGTCGAATGGCACGTGGACGTGGAGAGAGCGACCAAATTCAGAAAATCGCCGAAGTCCTCGACGTTCAAATATCCATTCTCGCTTGTCTCCTTCACCAGCTTGCGAGAATTCCTGTACTCATTCCGTGCATGCGGGTGGCGACTCGGGCTTTACCTCGGCTAGCTCTGTACTATAGACCATCTCGCTCAATCTTCACTCCCCCTGGATTCCTGTCCATAGCAAGATCTCGAAATACTCACGTGAAAGATATGGCTGCAGCGCCTACGAGCCCCGTTGCGGCGACTACGCAGAAGGCAGGGTCGCGCTCTCTGCCGGGTTACAGTGACTTGCAACCGCCGGAGAAGAGACCGAGGCTGGATTCGGAAGATGTCGCGATGGATGGTGGCCGCGAACTCGAGGTGGACCCTGTAGACTCGAAGGGTCTCCCGGCTACTGTGACAGGTGGCCTGGTGGAGAAGAACGACGCGGTTGCGCGGAAACGTACGGCGAACCAGCGCCGGAAGTTGGAAAAGGCTCGCCGCAAGCTGCCCGAACCGGGGACTGCTGAGGATGCCAACTGGCTGGAAGTCGTTGATCTATTGGGAAAGGAGGCGGTCGATGAAGCCTTCGTTCAGAAGAGGGAGTGGGATCAGATATATGATACACCGGCGGAAGTCGAAGTCGTCATTGAGGCGCTTTCCTCTAGTGGTGAGTAACCCCGTGTTTTGACATAGCTGCTGTTTGACCTCAAGAAAGGTCAGGTCACGGACTTGCGCGTGCGCCTGGAAAACCGCCTTGGGCCATCATCGTGCCATTCTGCCTTCCTGGGGAAACCGTGCGGGCCAAGGTGTACAAGAACCAAAGGCTGCACTCTTTGGCCGAGCTGATTGAAATAGTAATTCCAAACCCTGGGCTCCGCGATGACAGTCGAATCCAATGTAGATACTTCGGAAAATGCGGAGGCTGCCAGTATCAGGTCGGTAAACCATCCGCGCTTCATTACACGCGTTCAACTGAACAATACACATAGATGCTATCGTATGAGAAGCAGCTGGAGTTTAAGCGAGATGTAGTGGTAAAAGCGTACAAGAACTATTCCGGTGCGTCGTCGAACTACCCGTTTTTGTTCGTTCTTGATACAAATCGATACAGAACTCCCTCCTTCTGTGTTACCAGAAATCGGGGCAACGTTCGCCTCCCCCAAGCAGTATGGATATCGGACGAAATTGACCCCGCACTTCGAGTGTGCTCCCAAGGAAGCGTGGCGGAACAGCGGATTCCTGAAATCAGGCGGCTTTGCTCCGAACGAGAAGCCTGACTGGTTGCATATCGGCTTCAATGAAGCAGGATCGTCGAGGGTGATGGATATCGAGGTGAAGAGAAAACAGCTCTTCTCAATAGTCTCACGTCATTCTGACTTTGCTCCATAGGAGTGTCCGATAGGTACTCCGGCCATCAACGAAGCGTATGGCCAAATACGAAGCAAGGTCATACAGTGGGTCTTTTCGTTCTTTCCCTCTTCCCTCCACGCTCTAAGCGCGGCGCAGGAACATATGGTCGTATTCGAAAGGCGTCTCCCTGCTCTTCCGCGAATCGCTTCCAGTATCGTCAACAACGGCTTCTCTAGACATCCGCGCCTCCCGGTCGCCATCCCCGGAGCCGCAGAGCGAAAACGTCCACGTGGTGACGGACAACAAAGCTATCGTGCGCGAGCGCGTTGGCTCCAAGCTCTTCAATTACATGGCGAACGAGTTCTTCCAGAACAACAATTCCATCCTCGAAGGGCTGACGTCCTACGTGCGCTCTGCCATCCTAGCGCCCTCCGCGTTCGATCCCTCCCTACGCCCGACTCATCTCGTCGACGCCTACTGCGGCGCGGGCCTCTTCGCGATCACCCTCGCGGACGAGTTCGAGCACGTCGCCGGCATCGAAATCTCGCAGCACTCGATCAGATACGCTCTCCACAATCGCGCGCTGAACCGGATCCAGGCAAGCAAGGTCGAGTTCGTCTCGGACGACGCGGTGCGGATCTTCAGCTGCGTGAAGGCCTTTCCCCGCGAACGCACGGCGGTGGTGATCGACCCGCCGCGGAAGGGGTGCAGCACAGACTTCGTCGATCAGCTCGTCGGATTCTTGCCTGCGACGATCGCGTATGTGAGCTGCAACGTGCATACCCAGGCTCGCGACGTGGGGATGATACTCCGAGAAACCGAGAAGCGTGCGGAGGGGAAGCGGTATGTGATTGAGAGTCTGAGGGGATTCGATTTGTTCCCTCAAACGGCTCATGTCGAGGGTGTTGCGATACTTCGATTAGTAGATGCCCCGGCACCGTGATATTCAACCACGACCCTCTAGCTCACGTATGTGGCACACTGCTCAGTATATCCAACCGAACCTATACTACACTGCGGGATAAGATCTGGAATAACGAGTTACGATGCAGTTTGGGCGCCTAAACGCTACTATGGCTGTGCGCAATTAGTCTCACGGTCAGCTATACAGCACAGACGGTGCTTTTCCCGCGATCAGTCTCCGTCCGCTGCCGTCCCCTTCTCCGGTCAAGGTGCTAGCAGTCCGCACATTCTTGGACGAACGTATCCGCTGATAGTCTGGCGACGTGCTTGAACAGATACCGCTAGACTATACAAAATGACCCACGACGCTGTCTGGTTCTCTCGTCCCCGCAAGTTCGGCAAGGGTGCGCGCCAGTGGTGAGTATGATCCATCCCCACCGCCTGGCAGGAAAACGTTTCGTGCAGGAGACGCGACGGGCTGCTGGTGTGATAGAAGCAGCTACGGATGAGCTGACGTGCTTTGATATCAACAGCCGCCTCTGCGCCCACCAGGCCGGTCTCATCCGCAAGTACGGCCTCGACCTCTGCCGTCAGTGCTTCCGCGAGAAGGCTGACCAGATCGGCTTCGTCAAGGTGAGGGATATGCTAGCTGTACTCCTTGCAAGTTGCTTACGTTTTGCCTCAGAACCGGTGAAATCCACTGCTACCTAACTACGACGCTTACCTCCGGTTTTCCCGCACTTGTCCACGCTCTGCATCCTTTTGAGGCCTACCACTGTATTCGTCTCTATGCATCCAACATGATATGCTTGGCCATGCAGAACCCCAAGTGCACGTAAACACGGAACTGCCGGCTTTGCCATCATGAGCCAACACTCGTGTCATGCCATGGTAGAACAACGCGTATACTACTAGTACAACGTATGAACATGACGAACCTCCAGACCGCGGGGCGACAGCAAACGTGGCAGGACATCGAGCACGGTAGGGCGCATGCGTGGCAATACCCACCATCGGCAAATTCAGAACATCACGCCCGTTGAAGATGATTCCTGCTTTGAACTTTGGCTTTGTCCATGCGATAGCGCTGCCGCTATGATGACTTGAACTGCCCGATCGACTTCGCTTCGGATAGTCTCGACGCTGTCAGCTGGGATCGACGCAATGAAAGCCTCCACATCCCTCGCGAGCTCCTTCAGTCGTTCGAGATCCCTCCGTGTATGAATGTCGGCCGTAGGTCTCAGATATCTTCGCAGTCTTTCAGCCTGTTTCCGGGATGTGCTAGAAAGGATCGTGTTGTTAACCCGCATCGGCTGTAGTACCATGACCACCGGACTTACTATGCATCGGCCTGTTGCAGCATCAAAGCCTCGCGTGAGTCCACGTTATCGGTTGTCGCGACTCTCGCCTGTAGCTCCTGTTTAATTCCATTCGCCCACTTGATGACATGCTTGAGACATGTGTCGAGTTGAGGAACGGGCCCCAGATAAAGGACTCGATAGATGGAATCCGGCCATCCCATTTTCTTGCTATGCTCGAGGTACATGGAGACGCTATCTGCTGGCGGCGTTGGCAGAGCATCCTGTGAGCAGCGGTTCTGTAAGTTCTTGTGGATCGATGTGTAGCGCAGCGATGCTCACCCCTCCCTCAGTATTTAGGAGCGCCTTCGTGACGGAACCGATGTTCACATCCTCAACATGATCCTCGGACTTGACAATGGTTGTAGCCCCCTCCTGATGTTCGAGAACGTCGATACTGTCATCGTGGTCTTGGACCGGATGGTCCACACTGTTTCGCTCTCCTGCACAACATATTCAATACTTTGTTCGGTCGACCATTCTGTCTGACAACGCTCACCGGACGATGACGGGGCGGGACTTGATTCTTCCGCCTCGTTGTGAGGAAACGCCAACGGGACGATATCAGGGCCGAGTAGTTGCGATATCTCACGGACAGTCCGATAGACCAGCCGTTGCACTCCGGGCGGCGGTTCGTCTGGTAAATGCTCCCCCTCCAAACACAATTGCACCAAAGGGTCGCGTGGTTCAAGTTGTACCTGGAACATGGCCTGGTCCAAATGCGACCAGCTCTTCGCCTGCAAATACCTGCTGCCTGTCAATTAAGCGCAATCGGATGATATAAAATCACTCACTGGTCGCAGGCAGGAAAACTCTCCTTACTAGATCCTTGTGTCGCGACAGCGTTGAGAATGCGTTTTCTCAATGGCGGACTGTCCATGTTGTATCCAACTTTATAGAGGTTAGCTGCGACCCGTAGTGACTACGACATTCCAGTGCTTACGCAGGCAGGCACATTTGCATCTGTCGTAGACAAACTGTCAGCAGTGTCATTCTCCAAGCATGACTTTCTAGAACACGAACACTCGTGCTAGGATCAAACCACGGATAGCACAACTTCCGATACGCTTTCCCTCAAAGGCAAGATGGGCTGCGAATGGCGATCAATGACACGACATTGCTATGCATATGCACGTACTTGAGGCTCGAACCAAGAGTAACATTGACTCTATGACGGTCACAACAAACGCCAGCGTCGGAGAAACCTTCCTCTGGGAGAATCTATCGCAGTATCTGGAAATACGCCGAAGCCAACTCCTTGGCAGAGTGAAGCAGCGGGGCGCAGCTTCGCTACACATCATCAAGACCACGGACGCGCACAGATCTTCTATCAGGTTACACCAAACGGACACGTCCACCTCGACGTGATTGTTTTGGAGGTAACTAAAGCGAGGATTGTCAGCGACGTGACTTGAGCTGAATAAAGATAGGTACTGACGACAAGAAGAGCGCCAGGTGCGACAGAGGATCAAACCAGGCAATGTGGAAAGCGGTAAAGTGCCGCAGAATCGGCAGCCGTTCCAGGCAGGACGGGCAGCTTTGAACGTAGCCTTTCGCTGCCTCGTAATTCAACAACGCTGCTAAATAATATATCTTGACGATATCTGATATATTTAACGATGATGATCCTGGATCTAGACGTTGCAAGGCATCCCGTATGAAATCCCGTAAGGCGAATAGGCCAGACTCGGACCCAGAGGCAAAGAATGGTGATAGGTCACTAGCAGAGCCCAACGCCGGGAACGCGGGGAATAGGGTGTCGTAGAGGCGACAAACCCAGGACCTGAAAGAACATGATTCGGCCTTGCACTTGTACTTCAAAATACGATCGCACATACCGCTGACGAGAAAGCCGTTCTTCGTCTGCCCGCCAAGATACTCCTTGCATAAGAGTTGCGTGCTGCATATGTAGTTGAATTCCCGCGTGAAACCATGAGTGATCGTACGACGTGAAATGCTGTCTCTGGCAATCGCGTGTCTCGCAACGGCCGGTGAGGTGATCTGAACAGATTGTGAACGTATCTGCGCTCAAGCATGTTGTGCTGAGGCGTCCAACGCGGATCATCAAGCGATTGTCCATGATCGTCTGTATACAGCCCAGGAGGGACTGTGACGAGACTATGGTACCATCGCGCTCATTCCCATGCACCAATAGCCTATCTTGCGACTTCAACTTCTTATGGATATAGGCATTGGAGGGAACTAAGAACGCGGATGCTCCTCGTGCCTGCAGTCCAAACAATTGCGATATCTCGGGTTTGATGTGTGTTTCGAATTCTGCAGGCAGAAGGTCCCGGACCGATTGAGCGTACTCTCGATATAGACCCAACGTGGAAAGAATCTGAGCGGGAGTCGCCGTCGCCACCGTCTGGACGGTCTCGTCATTGCATATGGAGTCGAGACACAGTAAGATTGCCGCTTTGTCGCCAGAGTTATCACGCAGTTCGTGCCGAAGTTGTTTCAAATGCGCATTGTCTCCATCGGCTATGGCCCGGAACATGGAGATCTGTGGAGTATATGAGAACGAACTCTCCTTGAAACACGTGAACTAAGCACCATATGAATGACATGCTGGTCAATGTACTTGTTGTCAATCCGATCGCTTAGCCGGAGATATTCCTCTAAGAGAAGCTTCGACTTCTGTGAGTTGGTGCCCAGAGGGTGACTTTTCCAGAGGCCGGCGAGCAGGCATTGGAGACCTCGATGAAACAGGCCCGAGTTTGATGAGTCGGCCAAGAGTAAACTGATGGCTTCCAAAGGGCGTCCTGTGGGTCATGGTAAATACTGTAACAATGCAATTCATGGAATGGTTGCCTCCTGACCTCCAGCGAGGTACGTGTCTGCTGCGTCTGACACACGGCCCATTGTCTTCAGGAGTTTGGCACGGAGAAGCGTGAAGTCATGTGTTGTCAGGTACTCCAACAGGTCTTTCTTCGATTCAAATAGTCGAGAAGCCTTCCTGTGGCAATAGTTCAGTGCGTTCAGGCATAGGGCTCCGCATAAGGCGCACTTGAGTTTGCCTGCTTTCAAATATTGAAACCTAGCATCATCCACGATCTTGTTATGGGTGGCGGGTTCGACTTGATGCGTTAGAATTACATCGACGGCTTTGTCAAGCATCCCTGCGTTGTGGAAATGTCGCGCAGCATCCGTATGGTCCTCTGCTTCCAGATACAGGCGGGCTGCTTCAGCCTCGTCTTTCGCACCGACGTAACATCTTGCAGCCTCGCGATAGCAGGTTTGTTTCTCGATGGTCGCTGCGTGCTCAACGCATGCCACGAACGCTTCGGCCGCCTCAACCAGTGCCTTTCGCCGTCTGGCGTGATCCATTGTCGTAGTCGCCTCCACGCAAGCATATGCATCGTCCCGTAGGCAGTGTGCTCGTGATACAGCCGCATCCTGCACTAAACCGGCCCGTCTGAACGCGTCGGCCGCCTGGTGGTACCTCCGATTTTCGAACAAAGATCTTGCTTTCTTCGCCCAATCGTCTAAGCAAGGTCAATGCGCCACTCCATAGGCCCGGGATTGATGAACACTGACCTGCAGTTGATACAACCGCGAGTGCAGGTATGTTTAGCCCACATTTGTGATCGAACGTTTGTATCAGACCATTTCTCGACCACAACAGCTAGTGACTTCTCATCAGTTGTCGTTGGCCGGGATGAAACTCCCTGCACATACCCGAAAAGGCTCCGCACTTTCAGAACAGTCGACTATCCAGAGATTTCGGCGGGCACGCGTCACTGCGACATACAGAGCTTTAAGCTAAAAGAAGTTTGTTAAGAGCTCGATCCACACAATATACTGTGAGAGAAACACAGCTGACCTCATTACACAATCCTGCATGCTTACTTTCCTCGTATTTGTGGGCCGATGGAACAGCACATCCACCGGAACCTAGGACGTTCAAGATAACACGCCATGTGGAGGGGCGCACATGCGAATCTTCGAAGAAATTATAGATAAGCACCTGGGTACGGGTTAGATCCACGTGGAGTGATAGTCAAAGTACTCGTACATCATTGAATTCGAGACCCTTTGAATCGTAAATGGTCCTATCAATCCGGTTAAACTATGTGACCATACGCCCGGGGGGGTCTAAAGCGCACATGATGGTACCGATATCCCCCACATCTGACCGTAACCGGCGTAGAGCCGCATCATTACGAACGAGAACACCTGTTTGGGGTTAGACTGTTCGAAGAGATCCGTAGCACTACCTACATTGATCTGCTCCAAATTCAACCAGCTCTCCAACACTGCAGAAGTGTCAAGGACACTTGGAACAGTCATGAATCCAACAGACACTCACCTCTCTCGGAAGAATTGTTCGCAGGAGATTTCGCCATGAAAGAAGATAGGTTTTATGCCGTCAACTAAAGCCCGTTCGGGGTCCAATGCGTCGATCGCGTACGGCCATAGCCTTGTGATGAGTTCCACGATCGACTGAGTGTCGCGTAAAATGCTGCGCACAAATGAGAACAACGGCACGGTGACTGACTGATGCACAGTTCACAATCCCGCCATGGGATCTGTAGTTGACGGTGAGCTGAAACGTACGCGGTTGAGGGACCGCTATGCTGAGAAGGCTGTTAGATCGACTACGTTCCTGAAAAAAAAAAGGGTCAGCCAACTGAATCCCGATGTAGATCCGGCTTACCTCATTGCGGTGCAAGAAGGCTTTAATGTCGTTGAACCTAAAAGAGCTTCCGGCCGAGATGGTTTGCGCTGTATCTCCAGCTAAGACCAGCCCATGCGGGTTAGCACAAAGCATTCTCAATACTGAAAAGAAGTATGGTCAAACTTAATTATAATCCTTTTGACCTATGGGCTCACACAAAATTTCTATGAGCAGGTTATCCTGTCCACGAAGTTTAGTTGGAGACCTTTTGGAATGTGCATGTATACGCACCTGCACTTCATCGACGTATCTCATGGAGAAAGCAGTCAGTATGTCGATGCGACATCCACAACCGAGGGGCTTACAAGAAATCTATCTTCTTCCCTCGAATTCCTCTCCGCAGGAAGCCCAAAAGACAGTGCGTTCTGGCGTGGGGAAAAACGAAGGTGAGGTTTTCCTATAAGAAACGTGCAATATTAAAATACCTATCCGCAGCATCACGGTGTCCCATCCTAATCCTCTTTTCTTCGTAGCGTTCAAATAGTTCATAGACCACATCGCGCTGCTGCGCGAATGTAGGGCACGAGCGAGCGCTCAGGTTCAGGTACGACTCTTTGTCGAGGATATGACGCTCGCTAAGATGTGCTTGTTCCGATCCTTTTATGACACCTGAAGGTGTGGGGTAAGCTCAGCTTCGCAGAAAGGACTGTTGTACACACCCATGAACTCATTCCAGACAAGAGCAGGATCTGTATGTTTGCATTATGTTTGCGTGAAAAGGATGACGAGGTAGTAATATACCGATGCCCTTCCTTAGGGAAGAAGGGAAGTGAGCCCAATATAGGTGTACGAACTCGCGTAGGGAGATGAAGTTTGGTCTCTCCTGCTGATCCTTCACGGTCCAAACGAGATTCTCAGAGTGTCGGGCTTGCCGTGTTTCATGCACTTCATCCGTGAGGTAGTCTGCTTCAACCATACTACATAACTGTTACGACTTAATATGCGAGTCCAGTGAAAGTGTAACTTCAGGGACATACCATGCTGTATGTCACAAACAGAGGGAAGTGTTCGTCGCGAAGTTGACTGAAGCGTCTGGGGAGGTCGTTTCGCAAATCATTCATGTGGTCCGCATCACGAGGTAGCTTGCTGTATTTGGGGGACCTCGGAGATGAGGCGTTGCTCGTCAGAGAGTCAGATAATTTTGCGAAATATTCTGCTACTTTTTCGGCGAGGATGCGCGACTGGGTTAGGAATATTTGCCTTGGGCGTGTTACACCGGAGTACTGGTCCGTCCGCCAGTTGGACTCAACTGCGAACATCTTGAAGAGCATCACGGTAGTTTTCCTGAAACATGTCAAGGTCAGCCAGGTCAAAACGGGCCTGCAACTCACTCACCCAGTACCGCTACGGCCGATGACGTAGCAGGAATACGGATGGTTGACAATTTCTTGTTCTTGTGCGCTATGATTCAAAATTAGCACGCGAGAGCAAACACAAATACAATATGCTACGTACGATAGCAAATACGGGTGGACAACTTCTTTGTTCTTCAGGACATCTGAGATTACCATTGTATCAGTACACCGATACCCATAACATATGCATACCGTTGAGGAACGCCTGCGCTCCAATGTCAGCGTAAAATCCATGATGGCTGATGGGAACACAATACGATACCTGAGACAGTGCTGCATATTTCTCGAAGCTGCACCACATGTAAGCCGGTTGCATTGTATAGTTCAAGTTGTTAACTGGCAGGTGACACGTACACGAGAAGACTGCTTAGCTGTGGTTGGAAAGTCAGATAGCAAGGCCAAGCACTGTCCAGCGAATGCCACAAACCTCTTCATGATACCCATCTGCGACATCCACGAGCTCCGGTATCCCACCACGCTTAGCACTATCAGCTACGGATGGGAAGAACCCCGGCGAGAAGACGTCGTCTCCATTCGAGCGTGGCTTTACACGATAGGTACATCTATTGGACAGGTTAGTTGCATTCGTCTTTGAAGGCCGCACGCATCTCGGCGGGCAGAATCGTCTTATCATTGACCTATTCTTGAACTCGCCGTGACCTTTCTCAGCCAGGTACGTGCCAACCGCGGACCAAAAGCGCTGATCGAGTTGAGCGTGCGTATATATTCCGAACACTTTGATGACTGGAGAAAAAGGGAGCACGTCAATGCAGGGATAGCCACGAATATATTTTCCCCTAACCTTGACGTTCCCTCTGGTGTTGAATAGGTAGAAAACAAGCTATCAGTATATAGCGCCCGAATCGTAAGGAAGAAATGTTGACCTCGGTTCCGATGTCAGGTATGCAACCAATGTGATACTGAAACATATAGTGAGCGACAATACACAACCAGGCTTCAGATTCACGTACGACTAGTCGCAAATCTCCCGTTACCCAAGCCGCGTAGATGGGCACATCAGTTGTGTGCGCCGTCAGAGGCCTTTGGTTATCACGCGAAAAATGTCCGTGTGAGAGATCCCTGCGGAGCATTCGGATCAGCCCCCAAACACTATAGGATTTGCGAGCCCACGTACTTGATTTTGTTCACGATGATTGCGAACGTCGTAGGGTCCTTTTTCGTAGTCTCTCGCAGCATTTTTTCCGTTCGACCGGAGATCAGAATCCACCAGTCGCCAAACCCATCGGCATGATCGAAGTAAATTGCCGAATTGGTAGGTTGATTCCTTTCATAGCCAACAGTACGCGCGGCATGAGGAGCGGGACCTGGATCGTGATTGCCACCTCGCACTGTGTTCGCGGCCATACCATCGCCTACAACCTGCTTGAGCGCGTCCTGTACATCTGGCCATCGGACAACCTCGAGGTACACCTAGTGTACAATCAACGAGAGGATAGGAAAGACGTAAATTCTCACTCAGTGACTTACCAATAACGAGCGCTTGAGTTCTTGAAGGATAATTGGAGACGGTTCACACGGATGCTTGGACGATATACCGAGGTCACGAAGAGCCTCCAAATAGTCGTTGGTGGGCGCAACAGGACCCCATATAGTATCGAAAGTGCTTGGGGCGCGACCCTTGCCTTTTCTCGAAAACTATGGCCGCATAGCATAAGTCGACGTCCGGGCAAGAATGAAGAGAAACGAACATTCAGAGATCCGTCAGTCTTCGGCGCTTTCTGTTTTCCCGATTGACGTGCAGCGTGTGTATCAGAGAATCTTGCTTCAGTCGGGGATGACAGGCGCTCAAGCACTGTGTTTGCGCTTGAAACGTATGTAACCCGCCGATTCAGGTCCCTCGAAGTATCATCAGAGCTATCGACAAGGATGCACAAATTGGCGGAGAGGCACGATAGTAATCGTGACCATGTCCCAGTGAAGTACTCCCCGGCATTTGTTGGAAAGTTCTCCTCAAAGAACTTTCCAAGAAAGGCCGATGCCACCTCATCAAGACCTATGGGATCGTGTGTTGAGCTCGCAATGATCGAGGACGTCGCAAGACCCAAGGTAAGGTCGGCGGAGGAACACACTTACTACCTAGCACGAACTCGAGGAAGAATCGTTTGTCCTCAAGCTGCGATTCAGCGAGCCACGATTCGATCGCCTCAAGAACCGGAGTTTTATTGCACGCAGACGTCTTTATAGCCCTGAAAAGGGCATCGTTGGCTTTGTGTAGGTGTTCAAAGTACACGTCCATCGCTGTCGTGAGAGGAAGTGAAGGGATCGAAAGCCGGGGGGGGGGGGGGTTGTGAGAAGACTTCCCGCTCCTCATATAAGCGGGTACTCACAACGCGTGAACGCGCTCCGCATGGCGATTGTGCTACAGAAGTACACGTTTTGGCCAGAATTAGATGAACGCCGTTCGAACCCCGCCGTTGTGTTGGTGAGTGTCCGAATCCTGCAATATGCTGTCCTTAAGCTTTCATTCGCCAAACACTGTCGTACACGTTCAAGCCACGCGGTTTGCCCAAGAACGCGCAGCTTGCGATATCTCGATCGCTGGCGTCAATGCTATCCCGGCGCCACAGTGAGCTCGGCGCAGTTCATGGGATGCTACGAAATCCTAAGTTCGAGCAAACAGGATATCATGTCGTCGCGCGATGTTTGGGGAACAAGTGAACGCGGCGACGATCGCGACGATCGCGACGTCGTGTATTCGGACTCCGCTCTAAACTCGGGCAAGTGGAAACAAAGTTCGCCATTTGCAGCTGTCCTGGATGAATCATGAGAAAGACTGAGAGGTTTTACCGAAAGGCATACACGCGGTCCCCGAGTGGGCCGCAAGCAAGCCATATACTACACGTTCTCTCATGGCACCACCGACCCTCTGAACGAAAGCTCGTGGTGACCAGTATCATCACGCACCGCGGCTAATTATCGAGGTATGCACTGTGTCTGCACCTCCAGATACTGTATATACGCCGGACATTGCCTGCCCTAAGCAGCGGGGCCATATTTGTCCATCTCCTTGACCTCTGCATATGGATCCGCTTTCGGGGGGTAACCGTACCTGGGTTCGTCCGTTTCTGCAGGCATTCGTCAGACATTGCGGCCTCGGTATCCGAACGAAAGATCAAGAACTTACTAAGGACGTCCTGGTATATCTTCGATACCTCCTCGTTCCATACCTCGCGCCACATATGCGCGCCCCCGCCAACGGAGCCGTCCAGCCCGTGTTCGGCCATGAATCCGCGCACGTCGAAGTTCTGGCGATCGGCGTCGGCGTTGGTCGGGGGCTTGATGTCGATTCGCTTGTCTGGTTCGGCGTGTGGGAGGAGGAGCAGCGTGTAGCGGTGGTAGTCGGTACCCTTTTGCGGATGTGGGGGAACGTAAGGGAAGGGGATGTAGGGCCGGGAGGTTTCGATGAGAGAGGTGGTCGAGGAAAGGCGGATGTTGGTGCTGTAGGCACGCATGAATATTCAGGGGTGGTTCTGAACCCGCGAGCACTTACATCATCCAGTGGAGGTAGGTCTGGTATGTGCCGTCGGTTTCATTCGGTACATCTGGTACAAGAGATCAGAAGGGTTCGGATATATTGGCTGCTACCCTCTTACCGGGATCTACTAGGAGTAGGGTATAGTAGCGTTCCTCGGGATGCATAACACTGACGTAGATATGGGGAGGTTTGCGAGTCTGAAGAGCTAATGTGAACGCTCGGGTTTATTGCGCATATATCAAGGGGCTGACCTGCTCGGGTACGAGGTAGACTCCGGGTTCGACGGCTTTGTACGCTTTCCGTACTGTGCGGTTGCGCGGCGATGGTGCTTCAGGGAACGTCACACGGACGTCGATAGTAGGGTGAAGCGACGGGAGCACATCAGGGACGACGTTCATCTGGTGTATACGTTCCATCTTTCCCCGTTGTGAGTACTCATCGGTTATTACAGAAAGCACGTATACGTACCAGTAGGTCGAGGTCTCCTTCAGTCCGCCACTTCAAGTCCGTGAGCTTCCGATACACGGGTTGCGTCATGTCCGCTGAGGAATAGTCAGTCAAAATACATATCGGAGGATGTCTCGGAGACGTACCCAGGCCGTTTCTGAATTTCCATCGCACCTCCGGCCGGTTAATCTGGCTCTGCACCTCCACAATATTTGCCTTCTCCTTCAAAGAGTTTATGCTCTCCTGCACCGTCTCCTTCTCCGCGTCGGTAGCCATCTTCAACTGCTCCTCTTTCTCAGATATTTGCTTCTTCAGCTGTTGCGCCTCTTCGGTGAGGACGGCGCTGTCCCAAACGATGTACCGCAGAGCTTCGTCGTAAGCTGGCAGAACACCGGGTGCAAGCGGTCTTGACCATTCTCGCGGACGTTGGGGGCTAATATGCGGACGCCGAGTGGCATATTTGCGACGGCCTGCGGTAGTGGTAGCAGTGGTAGCATCCGTGCTCGGTGAGTTCTCAGCCTCCTTCGGCTTCGGAGATGCCAACGAGGCGGCGGCCTTCGACGATATGGACGCGACGAGGGGCGCGCTCGGCGGCTCCGGTATTTGGGTCGGTGCTGCAGATGAGGTCTGCGCCTCTGCCGCTGGCGCCGTCGACGCGAACGTCGCGCTGAGGCGCGCTGTACTTGTACGGAGCCGGCGTATGGCGAGCATCGTCCAAGAAAAAGCCGGAAGGTGGCTGTGTCCGCGTCTCTTTCCTTGCTCCCCGCATCGATGGCCGACCAGGAGCAGCACGATGAATTCGTGCATCATATCGCTATCAAGCTTTCCCGAGAGCTGAACATCATCAACCCCAATGACTTGCTCGCTAGGCGGGTTATTGACATAGCCCAGTCAAACACCCAGGATGCCTTCATCAAAGGTGTGCATGCTGTTCTCTTTGCTATGTTTCTTGCTGACTCGGTTGGCATCGACAGCGGCCAAGGGCTTCGGTCTGTCTCGAGACTCTTTCTTGAATGAGCTGCATGTGGAAATTAGTTCCCATTCCAAGCAGGAGGCGGCCGGTCTTGCTCCCCAACCGGTGCACGGCATCGCGGTCCACGACAGTGAAGTACTGGAGCCTGAACCCGTACGGCAAGGTGGTCTTATGCGCAAGGACGCGGTATGTGGTCGTGAATCTGGCATCGGTAGGGTCTGACCAGCGATCTAGCGACATGCTTTCCGCGCTCCAGCCAAACCACTTGAACCACCTACGCCCAGAACATCTGTATTGGGGCTCGACAAACTCGCTCACCAGAAGCGACTCGAGGCAGCTCAAGCTGACGGGGATCGTTCGCGGAAGAAGCCCCGTATTGACGACGATCCTGTCTTCAAGGGTCAGTATGTTCACCCATGTGCGAACGCATGACTCACATCGTTTGTACAGTTCCTCATCTGCCTTCTGCAAGAAATATGCGTCACAGAGGAGAGGAGACACCGTCGCACCCTGGTGGGTTATCTCAGACCGCTAAAGACAGGTTAGACGAGTACAGAAGACAGCGAGAAAGGAACCGAGGTACGCAACCTTCTTTACACTGATATTGCGCGATTTATCTTGCCGTTCCAGAGGGTATACGGGCACACAATGAACCCAATCGCGATCGACCGCAAGGTATTGGCGACTTCCAGCGACGAGCTAACCGTCGGGATGACGGGCGCGATCGAGGTGGGCGGGATCAACGACGCGACGGCCGAGGCTGGGACGCCACTCCCCGTTCCGAGCGTGGTCACCGTGGCGACGACGCACCCAGCGTTCGCGTGCCCAACGTTGGTTGGGATTCTACACCTCGTACCCAGCGCGGCAATGGCAATGACGGAGGCTGGGGCGGCGCTCGTGATCGGCGGTGGGACGCTCCTACACCTCGGATTGTAAGAGATGGTAGTCCTGAAGATGAGCGTGGCGCATTCGGAGTCGACGTTAGGGAATGGGAGGAGGAACAAGTTAGGCTGGATCGCGACTGGTATTCTGGTGCGGAGGACGGCGCGCTCGCTGGTGACGAGGAGCACAACCCGCTCGCGCAGTACGATGACCTTAGCGCTATAAAGCAGGCTGAGATCGAAACAAAACGCGTCGTAAGCATTCTCTTGCGAAACATCGTCTTTAGGCAAATGCTGAATTTCCTTGCAGAAAAAGATCTCTGCTCGTCAAGCGCAGTACAATGCCGACAACGACTTGTGGGAGGCCAATCGTATGGTTACCTCGGGTGTCGCTACCCGTAAAGGCGTCGACCTCGACTTTGAGGACGAATCCGAGTCTGCCGTGCATGTCATGGTGCACAACCTCAAGCCGCCCTTCCTGGACGGCCGCCAGGTGTTCACCAAGCAACTCGAGCCAATCAATCCGATCCGTGACCCGACGAGTGACATGGCCGTTTTCTCCAAGAAGGGCAGCGCGCTCGTCAAGGAGAAGCGTGAGCAGGCAGAGCGTGCGAAGGCCGCAGCGAAGCTTGCTGCGCTTGGCGGTACAGCGCTTGGAAACATCATGGGCGTCAAGGATGAGGAGGCGGAAGCTGAAGGTGCGTACTGTACCCTCCGTGTATGCGGGTAGTGGTGGATTGGCATTCACGCAGGACGTCGTGTTCTTTGCTTGTTTCTGCAGCCGAGGCGGAGAAGAAGGCCAAGGACGGAGAGAAGGAGGACTATAAGGGCGAGTCGAAGTTCGCGACTCACCTCAAGTCCAGCGCCGGGCAGAGCGAGTTTGCGAGGACGCGGACGCTCAAGGAGCAGCGGGAATACTTGCCAGCATTCGCTTGTCGCGAGGAATTGTTGAAGGTCATCCGCGAAAATCAAGGTCGGGATAATCAGGGGATACATTCATGATGGCCATCGCTGACGACTCCCTACAGTGATTGTCGTGGTTGGCGAGACCGGTTCGGGCAAGACGACGCAGCTTGGCCAGTTCTTGTACGAGGATGGCTACTGCTCTCATGGTATCATTGGCTGCACACAACCCCGTCGCGTGGCGGCTATGTCTGTGGCTAAACGTGTTAGCGAGGAGATGGAGGTATGTCACAGGTGGTACTATCTTGTTCTTCCACTGCTTCTCATGATCATCGCAGTGCAAGCTCGGAGGCACCGTGGGCTACGCTATCCGATTCGAAGACTGCACGTCTGCTGATACCAAGATAAAATGTGAGGAACTACCTGATCTTGTCCCTTCATTCGCTGACGATCATTTTAGTCATGACGGATGGTGTGTTACTCCGAGAGTCCTTGAATGAGGGAGATCTGGACCGCTACAGTGTCATAATCCTTGACGAAGCCCATGAGCGTTCACTGAACACCGACGTTCTCATGGGTCTGCTCAAAAAGAGTGAGTAGACGTGCTAGATCGTTTTGTTCGTGCGCTGACATTTCCCAGTTCTTTCTAGAAGGCGAGACCTCAAACTCATTGTTACTTCGGCAACTATGAATGCTGAGAAGGTGCGACTTGCTATGGTTCGGAGCCAGTAAACGTTATTGACCAGCTTACCAGTTCTCCAACTTCTATGGTTACGCGCCGTGCTTCACAATTCCTGGAAGGACATTCCCGGTTGAGATAATCCATTCCAAGTCGCCTTGCGAAGACTACGTAGACAGCACCGTCAAGCAGGTGTTGCAGATTCACTTGTCGGGCCCTCCGGGCGACATTCTGGTCTTCATGACTGGTCAGGAAGATATCGAAGTAACATGTCAAGTTGTTCAAGGTCGGTCTAACAAACGTTCGGACATTTGTGCATACTGAGGCGCTCTCAGAGCGACTGGACCAGTTGGATGATCCCGCTCCTCTGGCTGTGCTGCCGATATACTCCCAAATGCCGGCTGACCTACAGGCCCGTATCTTCGAGCCGACTGCAGACGGGCGCAGGAAGGTCATCGTTGCGACAAACATCGCAGAGACTTCCTTGACCGGTAAGCAGTGGTAACTGTGCGTTCCTGCCGAAGCTCAACCCCTACGTAGTCGATGGTATCCACTACGTCGTGGACGCTGGTTACTATAAACTCAAGGTGTACAACCCCAAAGTCGGTATGGACGCTCTGCAGATCACGCCCATCAGTCAAGCAAACGCGAATCAGCGTACTGGTCGCGCGGGTCGTACTGGTTCTGGGTATGTTCTCGCTATCGATCAAAATGTGGTTGTTGCTGAGCTCCGCATCAGATTCTGCTATCGGATGTACACTGAAATGGCGTATCGCAACGAGATGTTTGAGAGCACCATCCCGGAAATTCAACGGACGAACTTGGCCAACACAGTGCTGTTGCTGAAGTCATTGAGTGTTAAGGATCTCCTCGAATTCGATTTCATGGACCCTCCGCCTCAGGTATGTCATTAAACGCTCATTCCACATTTTACACCCTTCACAGTCTGACCGTCGAGCATGATGCAGGCGAACATGTTGAACTCGATGTATCAGCTCTGGGTTTTGGGCGCGTTAGACAACGTGGGCGACCTGACATACACGGGCAAGAAGATGTCGGAATTCCCGATGGAACCATCGATGGCTAAGATGCTCATCGCGTCCGTGGAGTACAAGTGCTCCGCCGAGATGCTTACGATTGTCTCTATGCTGTCCGTCCCAAGCGTGTTCTATCGGCCGAAGGAACGTATGGAGGAGGCTGATGCCGCGCGGGAGAAGTTCAACGTCCCTGAAAGCGACCACCTCACGCTGCTCAACGTCTACACCCAATGGAAATCTCATGGGTATGTTCTCTGTCTCTCGATCACATGTAGGTTGTCGTTCCGTGCTGATCAATATACAAGATACCGTGACGACTGGGCACTCCGCCACTTTTTACATCCCAAACTGCTGCGCAAGGCTCGGGAGGTGAGGCAACAGCTAGAGGACATCATGAAGTTCCAGAAGATGGACATTGTCTCCGCAGGGACGGACTTCGACGTCATGAGGTATGTATCGCCGTATCTCCTGATCGTATAGTCCCTGACGAGGTTGCAGGAAAGCTATCTGTGCCGGCTACTTCCACCAAGCGGCAAGGGTCAAGGGCATTGGCGAATTCGTGAACATCCGAACGGGTATGCCGACGCACCTCCACCCCACAAGCGCATTGTATGGCCTTGGGTGTAAGTCTGCTCTTCGCATTACGATGGGATCGCCAGTTGACAGTCCTCCGCAGACACGCCGACATACGTAGTCTATCATGAGCTCATCCTGACCTCGAAGGAGTACATGACCCAAGTCACTTCCGTTGATGCCTACTGGTTGGCTGAGCTCGGATCGGTGTTCTATTCCGTGAAGGAGAAGAACTTCGACGAGCGAGGAAACCGCCGCCAGGCGGATCGCGAATTCTCTAAGAAAGCGGAGTTGGAGACCGAAATGGCCAGACAACGAGAAGAGTGCGTAGCTTCATATATCTTCTGGCTTCTCTGACTCAAGACTCAGAACGAAACGGAAAGCGGAAGAGGAATCTATCGCCATCAAGGCTTCAAGCGGATCCGCTTCAAAGATTATTATACCTGGCACTCCCAGGACAGGCGGAATGGGCTCACGCATTGGACATACGCCGCGGCGAAGAGGCATCTGAGGTACATCATCTGCACATATTAGTGTCTGTAATATTATAGTCATCGGTCTTCTCGGAAGCCGCAAGCGTCGTGACGATCAGTGATCATGCTATGAGACCAGCTTCCCGTTTCTACGCCATGGTTGCCGTCTTCCGTTCATATTATCTGCTTCGCACTCTGCATTAACACACGCTCAATTGCCACACTTCTGGCTTGCTTGATCCGAAGTTGAAGGACATAATGAGCAGTTCGCAGTCTGCCGACCGCGCTCACTTTGAACAAGCGTCTCCGCTCGAGAGCCTCGTCCGACGTGCATCTTCCCGGAGGGTAGCACCTCATGCTCATCGACCAACGGATCTCAACACATCGAGCCCGGACTACGATGAAAGCGAACATCAGTCACCTTTTACGACTCCTCCGAAGCAGAAGTACGCCGGCCGTCCTCCAAGTTCCCCGTTGCTCCACACGCAATTCCGTGGCTCGACCGCAACCGCTTTAACGGGCTTTGACACGAGTTATGCGGACACAACTGGATCGTCCACAGGCTATGACTACGCAGGACCGGTTCGGGAAAGCGCGTATCACGACGACGAAAGCGTTTACTCTAGGCAATCTTATGCAAGTCACGGCTTGCCACCGCAACAGCCTCCCTCAGGGTCTCGCCGGCCGAACGTGTACTCCCAATTCTCCGAATACAATGTTGACAACTTCTCGGCTCAGTACAGGGATTCTTACGAGATGCCACCCGGCCCGGGAGCAGCTGGCGAGCCCGCAGAGCCATACGTCCCGACCGTCGTGGTCTCCGCACCGTCTGATGCATTTGGAAGCCAACGGGAGTCGCCACCAAGAACGTCCACCAGCTCGACACCTGCTCGTCCCAACTACTCCCGCCCCTTACGCCCTGCGGCCTCTTCAGAATCTATCCGCCCTCCCCTTCCCCCGACAGCGACCACCGAGAGCAAACGTCAAGTGCTCGAACGCAATGCGAACCGAAGACCCTCTCAGACCTTCACTCGTAACCCCAGCGCGCCGAACTCACCTGCGACCAGTTATATGACGAATGCACCCAATACACCCCCCTCTTCACTAGCCGCATACGGCCAATCCCCTGCATCCGCATCATCTCGATCTCTCTCTCCTGGCCTGCCCCCACCGTCCCCGCAAGCTAGATCTGGGCCCAACTCACGATCAACCAGCCCTGATCCCGGGCATGGAACTCCGGGCACGTCAGGATCACAGACCGTGACGTTGCCCAATCGACCCCCATCGCCGTCCTCAGGCTCGCCTACCAGTCTATATTCTCGTTATTCCTACTACGATTTGGACAAAGCCAACTCGCCGACCAACGAACAGCGAGGACGACAGCAATCGGGGATGCTGGAACCCGGAGCCTATCACAGCTCGAAGACGCACCTTCCCAGTCCCCTAAGCAGTCCGACGGAGCCAACGGAGCATAAGGAAGGGCCAGAAGACTACCTTCAGTTGGGCATCCAACATCACGAAGCGAATCGGCTTCAGGAGTCCGCGCGGTATTTCGAGATGAGTGCGAAGGAGCAAGGCGGATGCGGCGTGGGTATGCTGATGTGGGGATTAACTCTGAGATCCGGTTGGGGGGTGAAGAAGGACGAGAAGAAGGCCTTTAAGTGGATAAAGAGGGCGGCTGAGAGCGCCGTAGGTGATCTAGAGAGTACCCGAGGAGGCATGGAAGCAACGGCCGTGAAGGTGAGCGCACTCTGTTATGAATGTAGTGAATATGCCGCTGAGCCGTCTTCTTTCAGTCAGAGCTGATCCTAGCGATCTATGAAGTAGCGCAGTGTTTTTTTCATGGTTGGGGCGTGGCGAAAGACCAGAAGATGGCCGTAGTGTGTCTCAGTCACTCCCTATCTCTGTACCGTCACTGACCGCTATGGGTACAGAGTTACTATCAGGTTGCCGCCCGACTGGGCGATCCCGATGCCCAGCAGGAGCTCGGATACTGCTTGGCAAACGGCAAAGGTTGCAAGAAAGACCGCAAGGAAGCAGCGAAATGGTATCGTGCAGCGGTAAGTACTGCCTGTGCCGTATATGATCACCATCTGAATCAGGCCATGTAGGTCGCGCAAGGCGCGAGTGACGTTGGGATGGCATGGATATACAAGGAGAAATTCCAATGAATGGTTTCTAGCGAACTTCCGATTGCTTCCATTTCCCTCCGGGGTGTTTTTGCGCGTATTTGGGACTTCATATTAAATCGCCGCGTGTTTTATGATACAAGTGATGATACCAGGGACCAAGCCCTCTCCCCCGACTTCGCGAATGTGACATCCCATGAAAGTAAACTAGCGACGTGTATCAGCGACGCGTTCTCGTTCAAGTAGAGAATGGCTCAGCAAGATGTGGTTGTCTCATGCCATCGCCCCAGATCACACCGGCGAGTGGACCCTTAGCGGGACAACGGAGATCGAACGCAAATTACATAGTACAACATCATGAAAGATGGTATGAGGACTCGACTCACCCGATAAAACCCGACATAAGAGGCCAAAATTCCATCAAGGACCTCGCGCCTGGGGCGTCGCATTCTACCGTCCTCCACCAGGTAGTGGGCACGCTTCATGCATACAACGAGGAGTCCCCGCGCCCCACCTTCTCACCACCAGAAGGAGGCCATTGGCCCTGTACCTCCGCCTTCACCACAAGCCGCCAGGGTATCATCACCTGCCCGACGAACCGACCGTCAGGGTTCTCTGTCGGTCCCAGGCGAAATTCGCTGGTGGAGATCAAGATGATGTTCAGGTCCTTGTCGGTGCCGGCGAAGGTGCCCATAAAGACGCGATCATCGTTGATGGTGACGCGGAGCGTCTTGCGGAGGAGAGCCTTGAAGTGTTCGAGAGTGGAGGACATGAAGAAAATTCCGCTTTGTTTGGCTTTGCTTGGAAACTTTGCTTCAGCTCAGGCTTTCGGATACCAATCACTGAACAGGTATCTAATAAGCTCTGAAACGACTACGATGTTTATGCTATTGCCTATAAGTCGGTATTTGGTCTTCATCGATAGGTCAACCGGCCATCGAAAATCTTCTGCATCCTCGACGCCGGCTGAGCCATTGTTCTTCTCGCCTTCCATCATCGGGACAGGTCTCCGGAATCCGAAGAGACGTAAGAGTTCGTCTGGATGAAAGTAGCGTAATCGTAGAGAATTGAGGATGCGAACGGCATCCGGATCGCCATTCTCTTGCGCAGATAAAAATTCATCGAATATTGCAGTAGTCTGTTGTAACGCGAGGAAATCAATACATGAAACTGCGAAAGACGACTCAAGTCTGTACGCACGTCGAGAGTCTCGTTCATCTGGAGTATAGATCCCGCGCTTTCTACCAGCTGAGTATAACCTGATAGATAGTAGTCATAAGTATGGCGCTCTGAGCGTGATACAACGGTATGATCTCTACAGGAGGGTGATAGTATATGAATAAGGGATTGTGTGGAGCATGACACAGACCTCTAGTAAAGCAGCAACTCCGAGTGGACGAAGGCAATACGATGTCGAATAGGCGGCCCCACTTTTGGAGAACGCGATCAGGGATTGTACACGCTTCCATCCCGTCTGTGTTCAGATATCGACACAAAGCATGGACTTTAGACCCTTCTGCAGGTTGTGCTTCTCCGAGTGGTCCGTTGTTCTGATCGATCGAACGAGGGTCCACCCAGTCCTCTCCTAATCCGGGAATGTGGCGTAGAACGGCAGAATGATCCGTAATTTGAGGAGGAGGGGAGGTAGTTCGTAGTTTCGCTAGCAAGTAGTATCTCAACCGAGAATTGGGTACACCAAATTGTAACGGCGTGAGAAGCAGCTCCCTGGTTTCGTATCCGAGGTTTCGCAGGGTGTCGACGAGTGTCGTACGAGTGCTAGAGCTCTGATATGTTTGAATATGTTTGATGTTCGTCGCCGAGCGATGAAAGCGCCAATATGTTACCGCTAAGTGCAAGGTTTGGAGATAAGCAATGACAATACTGACCTCAAACCCTGCCACATTTTCCACAAGTAAACACCTCGGGTGGTCGTTTCGTTCCGCAAGTTGTGGGAGGACTCGGGTGACGAGGTGCAGAAAGCTCTGAGCACGAGGATCCTGGGCTCCTTTAGCAGATGGATTCAGGACAGTGTATGGCTGGCACGCAGGCGACAATAACCAAAGGTGTATTCTTTGACCATCGATGTTTCGCAGATCATCAGCGGTAAGCGTACTGATGTCCGTCTAGATGTTGACATTAACGGTAGAAGGTCGCGTACAAGTAATAAGTCACGAACTTTGAGGGCCATTGTCGTTCCATAATTCAGAGCGTATACCTGGCATGCGGACTGGTCCCAGTCAAATGAGCGAAGAACCCTCGCGTTCACGCCACTTCTGCGCAGCGCGAGATGAAGGCCGCCTGCAAGGATGAATTACTCGGTTGCGCGACCCCTAGAGAGATAAATCCGGCATAATGGTCTCACCAATCCCGCTGTAGAATTCAAGAGCATGAAGGCAGTCCATGATCATGCGTCAAGTCTAATTCAAGGTTATCCCTCGCCGCTGGGGAAGTAGCCGCCGTGCCGGCTTAAAGCAACATGTGCTGACTAAGCTTGTCGTCTCGAGTGTTCGACTTTAACGAACGCCCTTTCATTTCGCCGTACTTCTCCTCTGCGTTACATATCGTTCTTTTATCTATCTGCCTTACGACAATCTGCGATACCTATAACTACCACCCGCCATTTCTCTGCGAAGTTGCGCCTCTCTGGGGCCACCCCATATCTCACTGTCATGAACCAAGAAACATTTTCTGCGTACGATGCTGAGCGCAGCAAGGGGGCTTCAAGCACCGGAGATATCCCTTATCAACCACGCATGAACGATCTCAGGGACCCTATGAACATCTCCCGGAGGTCAGACATCGACGACAAGTCGTGTACTCTGACTAACGCAATGGTCTGCTTTGTTTCACATAGCCCAGCGAGAGATCCGTCGACACATCTCGCCCATAATGTGCTACCTACCCCCCTCAGTCCCAAAACTCATAACGCCGTCTTTCGCGCCGTCTCCCCCGAATCCCCGCTATCCCACAAGTGTGTGCACCAGATTGCCGCCCGTGTCTATCTGCTGAGTTTGATTAGGCGTTACGCTTCAGACACGATATCTATGTCGGATCCTGGACCCTCAAGACGATTCTACAGGAGGGCCCCTTCGTATGCACATGGGCTCGTCTCTTCACTACGTTCGTCTATTGATTATGTTGATTCATTCCCAGAGAACAATTCGATCGAGAAGAGTCTAGTTCCCTGGGCATGGTGACGCCAGATTCGAGGTATGATCATAACCTCAGATGATCTCCATGCCAGCGAGTCTTACGACTAGTCGTCAGTCCGATTCGTGCTCGCCTCAACTCTAGAAGGATGGCTGCTACTCCGCCCCTGATGTACGTCTAACTGAGTCCTACTTGGTGCAACCTTTTACTGTTCGTTGACGAGTTGTTCCTGTTCTTAGTCGAGAGACTTCGGTCTCCTCCGATCGAACACCGGGTGGAATAAAAACACCGCGGCTTGAAGGCTCTCATGTGCGGTGAGTATTCTGCTCTCCCGACTTCGTACTTGTTAGAGGGTCAACTCATTCGATTTTTTCCGATTGTTCAGAATCAAGCTCGAAGAGCCTGTTACGCCCCTAAACTCAACACATATGATGTCTCCTCCCTTATCCGCCCCTTCCCAGCATTCTCGCTCTCATTCCCAGTTGTCGTCTCCGTTCATGGGCAAACAACTTCTGTTCGAACCGGGCTTGCAAGTTACGCCTCGCGTCGCCTCCTCGTCACCCGCGAGTGGCCGCCTGGCACACGTGGACGATATCTTTTCCACGCCAATCGCGCAACAGTCATCGACCTCGATGGCGGCAATTCCGGCTACTCCAGCGCACACTTTTCAATACGCGCAGCCAGAGATGGCACGTGTGTACATGCAGAAGATGGAAGAGGCCGCAGCGGAGCAGGCTGCTCGACGCGAACTTCATCGACCCGATTACCTGCGACGAATGTCCCGCAATGACGGCGCCGAGGGGCAGGCTGGCGTCGATCACCGCCATCCAAGATATGAGCTTGATCCTGCGCTTCTCGCCAATGCGAATGCGGGCCCGTCTACTTTTCCCAGCGTGCCGGGTCTTGGAGTCACCGAAAGCCCAGTTAAGGGCCGGCGAATCACGCTGTTCCAGGAAACATCGGAGGAAAGCTTTGAGGAGAGTCTCCTCGCCGGTGGTTACGGCAAGTATCGCACCATCCCGCCCGAGCCCCAGTTTCATATCCCAATCAGCCAAGATCAACCGGATCGATCCACACCTGGAACGCCAGCGCAAGCAGGCGCATACCAGGGACCTCTCCATTGGTTACATACAGCATCTCCCGGTCCCAGCCCACAGACAAGCACGCCTGTCCCCGGCCCCTCGGCTTTACCCCAGGGACCGCCGACTGATGAGGCTCCATCATCGCCTCGGGATGCTCAGAAACGACGACGACTGGAAGCTTTCCGAGGCTCCTCACGCGCATCAGGGCACAGTCTGCATCCGGTGAATGTAGAGGGCATGGGCCGCATTCTTATGAACGTCACCAACGATGATGCGCCTGCATCTACCGCTGCTGAAGAATCTCCGGGAAAGAAGAGATCTGGTCGTCGCAAGAAGCCAACAAAAGGCGCCGCTTCTAACGCTCCTACACCGAAACATCCCTCACCCGTGCGGAGTTCAGAGGGCGAGGTTGAAGGACCCAATTGGCTAGACTCCGAGTTTCCCTGGTGCTTGCGAAATCAAGAGCGGGCGGAAGCGATGAGGGCTGAAGAGGAACACAAGCTCATGTGGATCTCGAGGTTCCTGGATCGCGAGAGCGATTCGGACGAGGACGAAGAGCACGAGATCCTCCCAAGTGCCACTTGGGGCGAGATTTACGAGCCGGGCGAGCCGCCGATGCCAGTACGGATGGGTAGGGGGAAGATGGTGCCCTTCCGCGCTGACTCCGCCGGGAAAGGCTCGGTGCAACATAAAGCTTCCACTGTTCAGAGACCGAGGAGGGGCATGTTCTTCCCGAGTGACCCCTCCGACGCTAGAGCAGCGTTGTTATCCAAGAGGAGGGCCAGGGAGATCATCTATAAGAAGCAGAAGCTGGAGAAGGGGTACAACGACGATGACGGCTCCGGCTCCGAGTCAGAAGTGGTATGCATTTGTAGAGGCCGAGACGATGGGAGGGGGATGGTCAACTGTGATGGTTGCAGGACATGGTACCACTTGGAATGTCTGGGGATCGACGATCCTGAGCAGCTAGGTGGCGAAGATGACGCTTGGTACTGTGCCCAGTGCCAAGAAGACCGGAAGCCAGCACGCGGACCCGTAGGCGGTCGGAGCCCAAGTCCTCGTGGCGCGAGCCCCGCAGAGCCTATGCTCGTGCCGACGGACGAGACGCCCATGCGACCCAAGTTCCTCGACCCATTGTTCGCACCAACGTATTTCCAGGCGTCGCCTTCAGCTGCATGGTCGGCTCAAGTTCCTTCTACTCCGGTTCGCGGAGAAGGCCATCGTTCCTCTGAGCCGTCGACTCGCACCAGTTTCGGCAGCTCTTCGTCCCGACTCACGGCTGCACCCTCAACCCCGCAAACCTCACATACCCTCCGTGCGGGCAGTACCCCAGCGTTTCCCGACGTTTATTCGCGGGAAGACTTCGATCCTTTCTCGACTCCATCGCGCGGGATGAAGTTGAGCAGCGGACCGTTCACCACCCCTAGGCCAAGCTGGTCAGTACGCGCGTCGGCCAACGGCCTGTTCCAGACGCCTTCAAGGCCTTTGGAGCCCTCAAGCTCGATGAGGTTCCCCTCTCCGCCTTTCGGGGCTCATCATGACTACCGTGATTCGTCAGTCAGACAGTCTGAAGACCGGACGAAGCTTGCGATGCATCGAACCCTTCCTGCACGTGCCCTCTGGGATCCGGAGTCGCCCTCCCCTGCGGCGAGGAGGGTAGACCGTCCAGAGATTGTGATACATGACCCATGAAGCTCGACGTACTGATACAATGTTGCTATCTGCTATGTAGTGTTCATCCCCTGCAGGATATAAAGGCCCCGATGTATGTGCCGATGTGATATGCTAACAGTAGTTACCCGATCCTTTCATACCTGCTACCTGCTGTAGACAAAGATACAATGTTATTGATGATCACGGTCGGAACGACCTCCTTTGCGAGCTGACCACGGTAACATCCGTTCGATGAGCAAATACCGCCAATTGCTCCGAGCGCCGGTGCTCATCCTTCCCAGGCAAATTTCCACTGTCTAAGCCTGAACCAATGCAGATTCTGGTTCAACCACAAGCACGCCTCATCATCTGCCTCTTCGTCGGCCTCGTTGGTATATGCAAAGTTATGTAGGAGGGCGTCCAAGTGCCAGAGCGGGAAACCCACTTCCCTTCGAGCTTCGACCAATTTCTTCAGGTCACGAAGCGACGTCGTCCGCAAGTCGCGGATGGCAAAGCTTCGAAGCTGTGGACAATGAGGTCCTGCAGGGAGGTTGGGGCGCATGAGCTTCTGGATGAAGGTCTCAGGGAGCCATCCGTCGAGGTACAGCAGTTGTAAAGATGTCATGGAGGAGTACAGTCTGTTGACTGCGCTGGCGCTGCAAGCCAGACCCCTTTTGATGGTCAAATGAGTGATGCGAGACAGCAACTCGGACTGGTGGGTTCCCGGCATGGTCCAGTGTTGGATGACCTCCGTGTAGTCCGGATGGTCTTTACCCTTGGATAAATCGAGAACGAGACTAGTGACGTCCGGGACCCACAACACGTTCATGGCGTGGGCTACACGAACTGAAGCGTCATAGGAGAGGGTCAGATGCTTGACACCAGGAAGCAGTGCCCATTGCGTGCTAACAGCAGGAGCCCACTGACTCAGAGATACGTGGCGTATATAGGCAAGATTGTGCGCTGAGATCTGTTGTGGGAGAAAGGACTCGCCACGGTAATGAATTGAGGAATTTCCCAGCACGCCTAAATGTAGTGCTTTCAGGCAGGGTGAGTTGTCTGCGAATAGGGCAGGTAGCCCATCCAGGGCATCAGTATGCTCTGGACAGGAAAATCGAAAATGCTGGAGCAGAGGCGCTGGCGGGCGCTCCAGGCTAATCCTGTTAACGAAATAAGGGACCGAAGTCGACCGAAGAACAACCGTGAGTGTTCGGCAACGGTGGATGTTGTCCATAATGAGGTCGACTGCAGCCTCGGCGCATGACATCGACGTGCGATGCTTGTCGTGCACGAACTCAATGTGCAGAGGGTAACCTACAGAGCGGCCGAAGTAGGCGGAAGGGAGGGCAAGAGCGCCTGACGTCGGATGGCCCACGAAGTTGCTGAAAGTGATCCGACTCCATAGGAAGGGCACGTCGTACGCGTATCTGCGCCAGCGCCCGCACACGCTGGCGAGACACCGTGACAGACGGGGTTCTGGCCCCGCGGGAAGCGTTTCGTATGCGAGAACGTGGGCTTGCACGTCGCTGTCGGGGATTGCTATGACCTCTTCAGCATCCTCTTTCACAACGTGCGTGAAGATTTCCTTGATTATATCGAATGGGAGGTCATGGACCGTGGAACCGGCACCCGATGTGTCATCAGGAGAAGGAGAGCGAGGCACGATCAGCTCAACCTCCGCTGAGGATGAGTCCGAGGTTTCCGACAGCGCCGATGCTGTCCGATTCTCGAGGTCTAACAAGAGCGAGACCGCGTCAGCAGCATCCCCGGATGTTGGATAATGGCATTATCGGTCTTACTAACCTGCCATATCCCCCCGAATGGCGCTCAGCACTGTCGATCTGTGTTTCTAACAGTCCTCCTCGAGCAGGATCGTTGCACGTACGAGGTATGTCTGCCGCCGTGGCCCAACGTGGTGGGTTTAAGATTTCCTCGGCCCTTTCACTACCAGCGTGAGTCCGCGCCATGCAGTTTTACAGAGAGAAGGATCGACGACTTGAATGCAGAGAGCTCGGGGCCAAACAGTTTTCGCTAAGCACGCCGGAGGTCAAGGTCGACGGGCTGCTGAAGGCTGCTCGGCGCTAGGGCATGCATGACAGGGCACAACAGCCTCAAATGGTACAAAGGCTATCGCATTTCTTCACCCGAGGCATTGTGGGTCCAGGGTTACTGTATTTGCATCACAAGCAGCAGAAAACCTTGGGGACCGCATATATGCATATGCAACTGTGCTTGAGTATACCAGACGAGTCGCACGAGTTGTGGGTGACTGAGCGCAAATTCTCGTAGCCAGATGAAGAGAGCGTGATGAGCGAGCATTGTCACTGATGATAATCGTGCCCAAGAGCCGTCCTCTGTATCGGGCCGGAGCGGCGCGGCAACGTTAACGGCCCTTTGTGCTCTACCATGACTGGTGACGCCTCGCATATGTACACTACGGCTACAGGAATGGCTCAACGGCTTCGCATTGCGATCGTATGCCGCTCTGTGTGGTTGTCCGTGCATTGCTGACGATTCGGCAGGGACTTGCGGCATTGCGATATAAGCCCGCGGACCAGTCATACGATTGTACGGGCCCTGTTGCACTATCTCAGCGTTGTCTACAGGCGTTATGTTGACCTTTTTCCTAGCATATATTCTTGATCTGAGGAGAAGATTTTTTCATCATTCCCCCCTTTCTCCTGGGCAAGCGATATGGCGCGAGAAGGCCCTAAAGCTTGAGCACCAAGTTCGCGAACTACAATCTCGCCATGACGCGGATATCGCAGGTGAGGAAACATTCTGATTCTATTTTATCGTGTGCCTGATTCATTCCATCGTCTATCTCTAGAGATATCTACGCTGAAGGCGAAGCTTTCGTTCTCCTCGACTTCCAGTTCGACTCCAGATTGCAGTCAGCTATCGACGACAAACAAGAAGAAGCAAAAGAAGAGGGCGTTGGGGCCCTCTCAAGCCCCGCCGGTTGAGCAGGGTTTCGCTATGGACAAGGCTCTTGTGGGCCTCCAGTCTTGTTTGGAATATATTCGCCGTGAGTGGAAGGTTAAGCGCAGCTTTGAGGACGGTCTAACTTTGTTCAGCCGATCACCCTTCCAGCTCAACGACCTCCGTGTCGTTGTCATCCTCCTTCCGTTCGATGGAATGTCTGGTATATCAAGTATCGCCAGCCGCCGACGAATTTGCTTTGCGGTCTGGATCTATGCTTCTGTCATGCGTCTCTCGCGCAACTCGTACCCTCGGATCTCTGTTCTGCTCATCACTCCCATCTAGCTGCCGATCTAATTCGTCAATACGAGTGACATCCACTGATACACGCACATCCGGGTCTACCTCCGCTACACCCCCGCCTGCTGTGACGCCCATCGCCGTCTCGCTATCGAACGTCTGCGATGTCGTATCTCCTTTGCTGCTCCATATACTGAACAATGCACTGCGTCTACTGGTCGACGCTGTAAAACGAACACCGAAGACGAAGAAAAGGCCAAGTATGGCTTCACGGCAGGAAATTGTGGACGGAATCGATGACCTCTTAGGCCTGATCTGCGAGCTTCTCCTACTTCCGACGATCAGGTCATTTGTGCCCGCATCCCATGCTGCCGTAAAAGCACTCGAGGGTCCTCGACCTTCCGCCAAAAAGGACAACGTATACGACACGCGGGCGAAGCTGCTGCTACTGTTCAGGGACACCATAGCTGCGCTCCGGACCGTTCTGCATTCCACCTCCGGCAACCCCAGCACTGTCTCCGGCCAACTCAGCCGGTCATTCGCCGCTTTGCAGGATCGCACAGCCCTCGAATGCGTCCGAGAACTGGAAGGCCTTTACCCCGTGCGGCCCTTCGCGGCGGAGCGGTCTGCCCCGGGTCCGTCGGACGCAGAAAAGCTCGCTCAGTTAAGCAAGAAAGACGCCCTCTGGTACATCTGCGACTGCCTCGTGGTGCTGCTTCCTCCAGGCTCGATACCCGCTGTCTGCATGACGGGCGAGCCGGTCAGACCTCAGCCGGACCCGCACACGGGTGCGTCCTTGGTGAAGACACGGCTCGTCGATAGGCTGTCTGCACTGCTCATTCGGACGGCTTCGCTGGGAGGCGTCAGCGGGCGCGCCGGGTACTCACGGATAAAGACCGACGATGGCTCTGCGAAAGCGGTAACTGAAAAATCGAATCCGACGGAAGATCCGATGGTCTCGAGCCAGGGAGAGTTATGCCGCGCACAACCAGGCGATACGCACAGTCCTCCTTCTCATTCCCTCCGGAAACGCAGCGCGTCTGCTACCGACGGCACCGACAATGTCACGGGCGCTAAAAGGAGGCGGAGAATGGGGGAGATGGATGATGTCAGCTGCAATATGCTGTTAGCGGTAATTGAGCGCGGCATGGGCCTAGACGGATGCATTGGCAATGCAATGTTAGCTTGACCTATGTACTACACCAATGAATGAATTGATCTCAGAGCTGACCTGAAGTGGGACTCTGAGCATCATCGTGCTCATGCCTTCGCAATGAAGAGATCGACATGTGTGTCTACTTTTATTCCCTTTCTCCCCAACGCGCTATGCCAAGGAAATGGATACAGTATTTCGTCGTAGTTCTCGTTCGGCCGTGCCCAGCTGCGTGGCGTAAAACGGCAAGCGGACGTGACGGTGACAACATGCATGCACAGCGTCACATTCAATATTTATGACCTTCGTCAGCATGCATGCTGGCCCAACTGCTCTCACCGCGACCACCACCTGCACCCCGTCCTTGGGTCCTCCCGTCCGCACCCAACCTCCACCATTTCGTCCTACTTCATCCCCGAGAACATCTTCTGTGCGAACAGAGGACTTTTCATGCTTCGACCTCCACACAATACACAGGCCATAAAGTTTTTTCACCGCAACCCGCTTCTTAGTTCTGTGAGTGCTGGCCTGGATGATCCCCGCCGCCCCGCGCTGACCGCCTGTCAGCGCTGAAATTGCCCAATATGGCTGGACCCATTGTTAACATTCGTCGCGATGTCGATGACAAGTTCTACCGCTACCGGTATGTCCAGCAGTCGTGATGTATCTCCAGCTCACGGGCGCTGATATCTGTTCATCAGCATGCCACTCCTCATGACCAAGATTGAGGGCAAAGGCAACGGCATCAAGACCGTCATACCGAACATGTCGGACGTAGCTCGCGCGCTCAGCCGTCCTCCGACCTATCCCACCAAGTTCTTCGGTTGCGAGCTTGGCGCCCAGACGTCATTCGATGAGAAGAACGACCGCTACATTGTCAATGGCGCGCACCAGGCCGATCGCATGCGCGAGCTGCTCGATAACTTCATCGAGAAGTTCGTGCTGTGCAAGTCATGCAAGAACCCGGAGACGGACCTGATCATCACCAAGACGGACGACATCATCCGCGACTGCAAGGCCTGTGGCCAACGCACGGGCGTCGACATGCGTCACAAGCTCACGACCTTCATTCTGAAGAACCCGCCGAAGAAGTCGAAGAAAGCGAAGGGCAATACGGCCGAGGCTGCCCAGCCCGACGCGATCAACGGCAACGGTCACGCAAACGGCGATGCCAGCCCCGTCGCGGACGACGATGCCGAGAGCGACGACGAGCTCAGCAAGCGCATCAAGGCGGAAGCTGCGGAGCTTGCTCAGGAGAGCGCGCTCGCTAAGGACGATTGGTCTGCGGACACGTCCGAGGAAGCCGTTAAGGCTCGCATGGCGAAGATGGGCGCTGCCATGGGCAACCTCAACTTGGGAGATGACAGTGAAGGAGAAGACGAGAACAGCCCTTACGCCCAGCTTGGCCACTGGGTCTCCGAGAACCGGGATGCGGGTGCGGTTGCCGTCTTCAAAAAGGTGCAAGACCTGGGGCTTGAGAAGAAGCACAAGGCTGTGCAGGTTCTCGTACAGACCCTCTTCACCGAGAACATTGTTCAGGAGGTGGAGACGTACGCACCTGTTTTCGCCAAGGTGAGCTGCAGTGCGAGATTTGAGATCCTTCGCTGACAGACTGATGTACCTAGATGGTCACCTCTGAGAAGCACCAGAAGTCTCTGCTAGGCGGCCTGGAGCGTTTTGTCGGCTACGACCATCAAGACCTCATTCCTGCCATCCCAAAGATCCTCATGGCCTTCTACCAGGTGGACGTGCTGGATGAGGATGTTGTACAGCAATGGGGCACCCATGTCAGCAAGAAGTATGTTGACAAGGACACCAGTAAGAGAGTCAGGAAAGCCAGTGAGCCATTCCTCAAGGTAACGATTCCATCTCAATGTCAATGACTCCTCGCTGACGTGCATTATGCATAGTGGTTGGAGGAAGCGGACGATGACGAGGAAGAGTGAGCGGGTCGGTACAACGTACTTACATTCCATGTGTGCGGATGACAGAGGTCCCGAGACCGTTGAGATCGTCGCGTTCCGTTTATCAAAATGTTTCCTCCTCTGTGTAAGACCCGTTCAGAATCTCAGAACCACTACGTGATTTGGTTACATGAAGCATTCGATTACAAAGCTATCTCAACATCCAACCGAGCAAGATATGAATATACATCGGGGGACATCCGGTATTTCAAGATGCCTGCAAAGACCATCAACGACCGTGATTTCTTGCGGAGAGCAGCAAGGGTCTGTTCGAGCCGCATTAACATCAGAAACGTCGGCAAGGGAGAGGAATCGCATACCATTTGACGATTGGCATCCGCTAGACCCGATTCTTTGACTCGGTGATGCACGCCTGCCAGACAATCCATGGTAAGCGTGAGGTATGTTTGCAGGTTCCGTTGCAGGGCCTCGTGAAGGTCCTTAAATTCTTCTGCCCGTCTTGTGATTTTCGCGACATCACCATCGAGCGGGATCAGATCCGTAGATTCGATGACCTGAGACGAAGTCAGGCGCACTCGGGGTCCGTCGAGAAATGATACTCACATCCAACGCCACATCGACGCGGCCAGCGTCCTTGGCGTCCATCGCCTCCCTGATCCTCAATAGTCGTACGACCGCTTCCCGGTCCTTGCCTACCGCGCGATTCGTGCGCTCGTAGTGCCGCAGTATCTCAGCCGCCGTGCGTTCGATCGTCCGCGCCTTATCACCCTCCCCGCCACTGGGGTTCGCGATCGTGTTCCCGAGCGCCTGCGCGAGACACGCGATCACTGTTGCGTAGTCACCCGCGAGGTTGTACAGTTTGATCGCCTCGGGCAGGCGATCGTTTTGTTCTGAATGCTTCGCGGCGCGGATCAAGATCTGCTCATTGAACTCGCGGCTGTCGCTCAGCTTGAGCAACGAAGCGCCCTGTTCGATGACGCCAGCCTGCGAAAGGAGGAAGTTAGCGAGAGGAGCTGCGAATGTGCGAGAGGCTTACGAAGCGCGTGCCGTCGGGCCTGAAGCCGCCCACGAGTTCCTCCCAGGCGGCCCCAGTGTTGGCGAGGACGATAATGCGTCGGACGAGCTCCCAAGCATTTTCGACTTGCTGCCGGCCGACGCCGTCGCCCTGGTCCGCAGAGAGACACACACAGTAGACGTATTGCAACGCCTCTTTGGCGTCCATTTTGACGAACTGGCGGATGTAGCGCCAGACGAGGGTCGTGAGGCTAAGCGCGGGTGGCCCGTTCGCCGGAAGGGACACTGATGAAAAACGTCAAGTCATTTTCAGGATAAGAGAAAGGGAAATTATACAGGGTGTCATCTCGGATGTTTCTGCTCTGCTAGGCACCCGCAAGAGACCGTGGTACGCGAGCGCTATGGCTAGGTGAACGGCTTCCACTTCCGTCTCCTGGTGCTCCCACAACGCGGCTACTGCCTGCAATACCGCGAGGAGTTGAGTAATCTGACAGATCACCACGACAAGTGCTTTACCCGTTCGAATTGCCCGCACATGAGTAACACACCGGCCCAAACGCCACGCCTGGACTTTTGACCGGCAGGACCGTCAAAGTGCTGTTCGCCGTAGCCTAATAGCACTTGAGCCAAGCCACGGAGGCCGCCCTGCTCATCTTCGTCTGCCTAGTACCTCATGTTAGCGAATCGCATGTTGCCGCGGTATATAAAGTGGACCAACCATTGAGAGTTGGAACCATAACCAATCCTCGGTGGTCATCGTCACAAGCGCTACGGTTCGTCGGGTGGGCTCCAGTTTGCCCATAAGCTTGTACAACGCGAGCTTAAAAGGATCCGCGGTTGAGGAATGAAGCATATGTGCGTTGTACACCGATTGCAGGTGATCACGCTGGGGTTTCGGAAGTCTGCGAAGCCAAAATGGACAATGAGCCGAAGGATGAGTCGGAACGCTGCTTACTTGCGATCCGGAGATTCGAGCCATGCTCGGAAGTGAGTGACGAAGCCAGATTCGCGGTGTTCGATGGCGGTCTGATGTTTCACAGCCTCTGCCAGCGCTTCCTCCGCATGCCCTGTTCGAATGAGGTAGAACAACTGCGCCCACATCGGAGAACCTTTGACTATCTGCTCACTCTGCGTCAGCATCAACTCTATGCTTTATGCATCGGCACAAACCTCAATTCGCTCCTCCCACTCCCCGCTCCGGAAATGTCGCATCCCCACGAAGGCTCTTATCCTGTTCGCCACGCTCGGATCACCGCCTACCATCGCCTCCAGCGGCCTCTGTTGCAGCGTCCGCTCCACGATGTCCCAGTATTGTTCTTCCAGCGCCTCCCGCCCGCCCCTGGCAATCTGTCGGCGCAACGCGACGGCTTCGCGCGATTCTTGCGAGCCCAAATAGACGCGCGCATGCTTGCGTTCAAAGAGTGGTGTGTTGAGGATGTGCGCGCCTGCGTGCTCGAGCGGAGGTAAAGAGGGCGGCTCGGCGGCAATTTTGGATAGGACGTGCAGATTTTGAAGCCATTGTTGTGTGATTGACTGCCATCATTGTCAATTAGCAAACAACGTCATTCCCGCGAATGTCAACGCACATCGATTGGAAGCGAGGCGGCGGCTTGCATGAGTGAGTGGATGATGGGGTATGAGGTACCTCGTAATCTAGCATTGTTGAGGTCCCCGATGACGCGGTCATACGCCATCATCTTGCTCTGCGTCTGCAGACTGACGCTGGGACCCGTGCTCGCCTGCATGTCATGTCAGCGACCTGCGCTCGCCACCAGAGCTGGACACCCACCGCCAAAACCGCCTTGCCGCGAAAGCTTTTCTTCAGTTCGCCGACAGCTTTCGCGTCACCAGACACGCGACCACCAAGCTCCTCAAACACCCGCCGTTTCTTCGCCTCCCATGTCTTGCGCCCCCGCTCACGCAAAAGACGGTAGAACTCGGCCTGCGTCTCGCGTCGACCTTCTTCGATGGTAGAAATAATATTTTGCTCATGCGCGTGCCGGAGATAACCCGCGACATCGGTATCCTGGAGCGCCTGAAGAGGTGTAAAGGTAGCAGCGGTGTTGAGATGCGCGATGGACGAGGCGAGCGCTGGAGCATCAACGTGCGCTTGGGCGAGGAGGTAATTCCTATGTATATATCTTCAGTATTCGTAGCCCGCAAGATCTTGATAGAACTTACGCCTTGTCGTTATCCGTGGATGTTCCAGGCTGACGTGCAACAAGGCGGCGGGATTGTGCCTCAATCTGGTCCAGAGAAAGCTTCACGGACGGCAGGTCCGGCCGCGACAGGTGCGAGGTTAGGGCCTGCGCTGAGTTGAGCAGCGACGAGAGGTCTGCCATGCTTGAATTGCAGCGAGGTCGAGGTCGAGAGAGGCGTGGTCGCCGTCAAGAACGGTTCAACGCGACTTCGCGCTCGACGCGTCGGTGACTCTTTCTCGGTGCCACCCATCCTCAAATGCAACGGACTCTGGTCTCATACGATGACATAGCTGGGCCACCTCCACCTCCACCACCTCCTCAACACCACTCACAGCACCATCTACAACAAAATCGATCAAACGGTGGTCCACCGAACAAGAAGCGAAAACGGAATAACAACAACCAAAACAACAAATATAAAGCAAAAGGGCGCGCCGGATCCTCTGCATATGCGTCGAGCTCCCGTGCGGAAGACGAGGGCTACGACGAGCAGGACGAAGAGAACGAGGAAAGCCGAGAGCTGACCCACGAGGAGATCTGGGACGACTCCGCGCTCATCGATGCCTGGAATGCCGCTGCTGAGGAATACGAGGTAATCGTCTTTTATATGCGGCTTTGAGCAGGCCTCAATTCCTTGCTTCATCCAGGCCCTGAACGGACCTGACAAGGGTTGGAAAAACGAACCCGTTCACAAATCACCGCTGTACAGTTTCCAACCTGTTCACATTCGCACACGCTCAGAATCGCTTATGATAGGTGGTACAACGTCCCTCCACCGCCCGAAACGCTCTCTGCGAACAGAGCACCAAAAGCTGCGCCCGACGCCGATGCCGAGGGCGATGACTCAGAGCCAATCGACTTCAATACCTTCGTACCGACGCACGATCCCTCCCTCGCGAGCGGCGCAGCACTGACGTTACCCACTATCGGACCATTTTCTATCCCAGACCCAAGCGGTCCCGTGGCCACTCAAGACGAAGCCTTCAACAATGCGCTTGGTGCAATGTATTGGGCGGGATATTGGACGGCCGTTTATCACGTACGTCTGTCTATCATCGCTCCGCTGTTCTGTATTTGATGGCCTGCGTCCAGAGTCATAGAAAGGGAGATGCTATCCCAGAAGGTAAGGCAGGCGAGAATGAGGAAGTGGACGACGAGAACGAGGAGGAAGAGGAAGAGGAGGTAGTGGACTACGCGGAAAACACTGACGAGGGTATGCTGTCTACGCAGCGCTGAGTTGCAACTGGGCGTGCAACATGTCATATTCCCCATGTAGGTGCTCAGATAACTTATGGCTTTACGGATACCATAATGAACGTTCCCGGCTTGCCCAGAACACAGAGCCGGTTTGCGAAGGGTAAAGATTTTTTTTAGGTTGGTGCAATTTCCTCGTTTTACCCTATTCGCCGCCGTAAGGATGGAATCTGGAGTGAGCCTACGTAACGATACCAACAACAAGTGATGTAATTGAGTGAATTACGAGATACATATAACATGAGCAGAGGTGTAGTCAGGACAAACAGCACGAGCGACCTGCGCTCTCTAGACGTGGACAATACTGATAGCGATTTGCTGTCCGACGATCCCAACTTCTTTGAAAAATCCATCCGGATCAGCAACTGGCTCTGCACGAATGACGACGATGCCATGACAGCTTCTGGGTGCAGACGAGGACGATGAAGCCGCGGCTTGTTGCTGGTTGGGAAAAAGTATTGGCTTCAGACCGTAGTGGAGAGTGTTGGCGTCGCAGGGGCACCGGAAGGTCTTCGTGGCGTGACCATCGCCGATTTTGCGCTCTATCAATACGCTGAGCTTCAGCCTGACGATCATCAGACAAGTTGAAGGCGCAGAACGGAACGGAGGAGCTTACCCGGAACGGCATAGAGATTCATGGACGAGGTCAACGCGGTTTTCGGGAGAAATGCGGGGGTCAGACACAATGGCGAACGATCCCCAAAAATTGGTACCAGAGGGCAACTGTCTGAGGACGGATAGACAGTCTGCCTGCGTCTGATATTCTGTTACCTGACGCGGAAAATTGGGGCCTGTTGTCTTCGGCTTCTTCGGTGGGACTGTGTCCAGGGGAGCGCCCTCAGCTTTCCTCTTCCCCGCCGCAACTTTCTTTCTCGCGTTAACATGGCCAGCCCCGTCGCCACCTTGTTGGCCACTGCCCGACGCCACAGTCTGGGTCGAAGCTTTGGAAACGGCCAGCTTCTTGGCGACCGCGGACGCTTGCTTCCTCCTGCCCGTTTCTCGGCATTTCATGCACATCCTGAAGGTCAGAGCCATTTCTTCCGGGGAAAAATCGTTTTTGCAGTGGCTGCATTGCCGGGCGCCTGATCCGTTGACGTCTACCGAACGGTCAGAGTGGGCACGAGTGGGGAGAATGCGGACGGACTAGACGAGCTATATCGTGACACCGTGAGCACCGAGCTATACATATCATGGGCTCACAGCCAGGTTCACGTACGCTATTGGGATCTCATACTGCACCGGCTTCGACTGTTTGTTGGTGAAAGCGGATGATTGGAGCGGGCGGTTCGTCAGGTCCATGGAAAACAGGATGCCAGTCCCGAACTCTATATACATGTCTCAGAGGAGTACCGTCAATGTCATAGTCCCAACTTGCCATGTATGCGGGGCCCAGGTTTGGTGAGGCTACAACAAAAGGAGATGTCGACGACGCTACTCAACGAAACTCCTTCGCGAGGGCGGGAAGTCGATGAAAGTCACCTGATCGTACTCTCATATTGCCACAATCCACAGTACCCATATAAAAGCTCAGTATACCTTCATACACGTGCCCGCCTAGCTCAATCGGATAGAGCGTCAGACTCTTATCATTACTGGCTAGTGCGGAATCTGAAGGCTGCGAGTTCGACCCTCGCGGTGGGCTAATGGTTTTGACACGTTTACCCTACGTCATTTGGTAACACCATGTTCCACCCTTCCGTTGACTACGACCGCTTTCGCGGAATCTCTTTTGGACCAATCTCATACTGAATGAAAGCCGTGTCATCAACCTCTCGGATCGCGGGCTTCCGTTTGTCCTCGGCACCACGTGCATACCCGTGCATACGGAAAGGCAGCGCCAAGATTAGCGTGGTTATCTACATCGTCCATTGATATGACACCCATGCGAAATCTGGCGCGGATGCCCCCCAGATTCATTCACTCTGTATGACGACTCCTTGTGTGGATGAGCAATGCGGATCCTCTCCCTTCAGACTGTGTTGTCTGGTCTCTCGTCCCTGTCAACCCTCGGAAACTCTACGACCCCTGTTGTGGTGACGAAAAGCGCCGGTACCTTCGTGGGGGAAGCGAACACTACAACTTCGATCGACGCATTCCTGGGCATACCGTTCGCTCAGCCGCCCGTGGGCCCTCTACGGTTCAAGGCGCCTGTAGCTGTACCCGCCACGACGGGGACCTACCATGCGACCTCCTTCGGTAATGCCTGTCCTCAGCCACTTGGCTATCCTGCCGGAGCGCCTCTGTCAGAGGACTGCTTGTATCTTAATGTAGATTGGTATGGGTCGACCATATTTGGTACCATTGCTGAACGTATGGATTAGATCTTCCGTCCTGCAGGAACGAACGTTTCATCTGCTCTTCCGGTGCTCGCTTGGATTTACGTGAGCAATGTATCCAATTGGTTCGGAATCGCGATCTCACGGACATACTTTCAGGGTGGAGCATACACAACCGGATCGGCTTCGCTACCATCGTACAGTGATCCGACGCGTAGGATGACTTCAAAATAGCGCATATGAAGGATACTGACATGATTTGTAGCGATAATCCAGCGAAGTATCGAGCTCGGGAAACCCATCATGTTCGCTGCAATGTGGGTATTTCAGCTGGATCGTCTCTATGTGCCTGTAACACGTATTCTGATCGTCAGGAACTACCGCGTGAACACCTTCGGCTTCGTACGTTGCATGTCCACTCATATTCAACCAGGGCTTTCACTAACAAAGCGTAGCTCGCAAGTCGATACGTACCTTCAGAAGATCTCAACGCTGGTCTACAAGACCAGAGATTGGCCTTGGAATGGCTACAAGACAACATCGCCTCGTTCGGAGGCGATCCAACGAAGGTGAATGCAGCGCTATTGAATTCCAACCTCACTAACGTGGTTGTGGATTAGGTCACCATATGGGGACAGGTAGAACTTTTCACTAAGCGATTCCAGCTGCTGTGCTAACGCAGATTACCTTATAAGTCAGCAGGCGGGGGAAGTGTGGAGGCTCACATCTTGTTTCCCGCCAACCGCACGCTCTTCCGAGCCGGTATCGCCGATTCCTCTACGGGACCGTTGTAAGTTCCTGCGCTCCTCCGTCGTCGTCTCTCTAACATTTGAACCTGTCGCAGCAAGAGCTCACCGTATCCGCATCAGTATGACGAGCCAGGGAAGCCATACGCACGTCTGACGTCAATGGTCGGATGCCCGCTCGACAGCACGTCTTTCGCCTGTCTGCAGCGGATTCCGTTCGAGGTCAGGCTTCCACTCGTGTCCATCCCTACAGGGGCTTGACAGATACAACAGACCTTGATGAACGTAAGCAACTCCCTGATCGAGGACACTCTCAACGGGCAGCTCTGGCAACCAGCTGTTGGACCCCCGGGAAGTCTCCTTCCCGAGCGCCAATCGGCGCGGATCGCGAGCGGCGCCTTCGCGCGCGTGCCTTATCTCGCGGGCACGAACAACAACGAGGGTACGCGCCTCAGCGTCGACGTCTACAACCGGACCCACGACCCCGCGGACGAGGACGCGCTCTTCGACGACTTCGTCGGGCGGCTGATCCTTGACAAGACGACGCTCAGCGCGGAGACGCTGGCGACGATCCGGGCGTTGTACCCCGCGAACGGGACGAACAACGGCGCACCGTTCCAAACGGGCGATTCGCTGTTTGACAGGGCCGAGGCGTGGTACGGGGACAACATGTACCTCGCGCCGAGGCGTCTCTTCTTCGAGAAGGCGGCGGCGACGCAGCCGTTGTATGCGTAGCTCTTCAAGGAGCTGTTGCCGGGTAACGACCCGAGTCTCGGGGGTATGTGCTTCGTCCGTCGGATTGCTTGGGCAAGGCAGTATGTCTGATCGAATATCTGTTAGTCGCCCACGGATCCGAGCTCAAGTTGCTCTTCGGGAGATATGGCGTGCCTTCCAGTCACGCCGAGTTCGCCACCAACTTCACGGACGCATACATCAATTTTGTCCACGATATGGATCCTGGCCGTGAGTGCCCGCTTTTGCGCGAATCCGCGGCGTCGCCGAATTGAAACGGTCTCCGAATGCTCAGCGTCCTGGCCGCGGTATACCGCGGACTCGAAACTGGTGCTGCAATGGACGAAGGACAATATCACGGCGATCGATGACGGTGAGCCTTAGCGTAGCAGCGAATCGTCCGCCGTTGCTCAATACCATCTGTATGACAGACTGGGATCTGGAGCGGACCGGATTCCTGAACTCCCCGCGGGTCCTGGATGAATTTGAAAAATAGGATAGCGGCACGAGCGATGTCCGCGCTTGGCTAAAATATGCATACATTCTGACACATCCGTTATACTCGGCGAATCCAAAGAGCACACCGCAAAGCGAGGTACCGCGGCAGCCTAGAATGCCGGTTGCTGAAGTGGAGGATTGCCCGTGAACGGACTGGGGCGCAGCATAACCGGCGTCGAGACGAGTTCGGGTCGGGGCCCGCCGTGGTGTTCTCACTCTCAGGCTCTTCCAGCTGGTCTATATGTCGATGTTGCTGGTGATCATGAGAGCATCCGTCTCCCATTGCCGCTGGGATGGGTGAATTGATGAGGGAGCCGCTGAACGGATATATATCGTTCTCGATGGCAGATCCAGAGATGTTTCATGAAGCTGTGAATGTGTCTGATTATCGTCCTCTGAGACGTGTAAGTACTGATCCCCGGGATCGCGGTCTATAGTAGTTATACCAGTAACATCGAGTATCGATTGACTTCGAGTCTATCGGAAGCATCCACGGAGAAGAGTGACGATTGCCGGGCACAGCCGCCTGCGCGGTCGTCAAGCCGTCGGATGGGCCGTAACCGTGGCTCGGTATAGACACGCTCGGCCAAGGCTAGCCAAGCCGGGCTTAACTCTGGGTAACATAGCCTACCAGTGTCTCAGCCTGTAGTGCTGATCTCAACGCTCGTCCTCGTCAGGGCCATCGGGGGCAGCAAAGTACTAGTCCAGGTCGACTTCCAGTACCACTCTCCTCCATTTCCTTCCCCTGGCAGGGCACCTACTTTATTTTCTTCGGCTTTTTCTGGCTGTCTTTTCTGGTTTTGCTCTTGACGGTTGTGTGAGACTGTATACTTTGCCACCTCGGCGATCCTGGGCGTTGCTTGCGATTCATGGTCATATTCTGGCGGATACCCGCGCTGGTCGTCATCCTCGCAATATGCGTTGAGTTGATCATAGGTCCGTGCTTGTGCCCAAGGGCGACACGTTTCCGATGTGGTACTAAATACTAATCCCCCGGCGACCCGCAGCGCACTCCGCACCCGCTCGCCCAATAAAGCGCCTCGCGCACCCCTCTACTCTCTCGCTCGAGATCCTCCCAAGACGTCCAAGCGCCGCCGCCACTCATGCGAACAGACGCCGATCGGCACTCCCTTCTCCCTCCTCCCCGATCCTGCTTCACTCCGACTCCCTCCGCCTCGTCCTCTCCGCCTTCTCCGACACGTTCCACCTCCACCTCCGCCCGAACGATGCGCTCATCCACCCCGCCGCGCGCGTCACGTATGTCAACCCGGACGGCACCTCTCGCTCGGAGCCGCTCCTCCGCGAGAGCGTCAAGGCCTACTGGGGCGAGGTCGTCCCCGCCGACATCTCCGCCTCCCGTATGAGGGCGGACGCGGCCGGCGCGCTGCCCACCCCGGAGGAGACGCTCGGCTGGGCACGTGTCATGGTGCACGAGCAGGGCGACGCCACCAAAGGCGTGGCGCCCGTGTTCGAGGGCGCGTTCTCTGTGCACGGCGTCGTGCACCACGTCATGACGAAGGACAACTATCTCCGGACGAAGCACGCGCTCGACCCGCAGCTCTCCTCGCTCGTGGACGCAGCCGACCGTGCGCTCGTCATCTGGCGCGATTCGGACAAGATGACCGTCGACGAGGAGCGCGCCGTCCTCGCCGGCCAGCCCCTTCCCGTCGCGGACGGCGCCGTTCCGCCAGCCAGGGCACAAAGCTGCGGACACGACCGGCTGGCGTACAACGCCGCCAACGACATCCTCCAGCGCCCGCTGCAGGTGGAGGCAGCGCCCTGGTACGACCCGTACGGCCTGAGCCTGGCCCGTCGAGACGACGTCGCCTCGGGCTCGAGCAACATGTCGACCAACTTCGCGGACGACATCGGGAACACGTCGGGCTGCCCGAAGGAGCAGAAGGTGCTCTACATGGGTGTCGCGGCCGACTGCGAATACGTGTCCGCGTATGGCTCCACCTCGAACGCGACGAGCACGATCCTCAACAACTGGAACAAGGCGAGCGCGCTCTACAAGTCTACGTTCAACGTCTCGCTCGGGATAGTCGAGCTGCAGGTGCACAACGCGACGTGTCCGACGACCGTGGATGCCTCCGCGCCCTGGAACCGGGACTGCGCGAGCAACGTGACGCTCAACGACCGGCTCTCGCTCTTCTCGGAGTGGCGGGGGGACAAGGGCGGGTCGGACGGCGCGGGGCTGTGGCACCTGATGAGCGGGTGCCCGACGGGGGACGAGGTCGGGATCGCGTGGCTCGCGACGCTCTGCAACCAGGGCGCGTCCAAGAGCGGGGACGCGTTCGTATCCGGGACGGCGGTGAGCACGGCGGGCAAGACCGAGTGGCAGGTGATCGCGCACGAGATCGGCCACAACTTTGGCGCGATCCACGACTGCGCGGACGGGTGCAACTCGACGTCGAGCTGCTGCCCGCTCACCGCGTCCTCGTGCGACGCGAACAGCCAGTTTTTGATGAGCCCCGTGGCGGAGACGGGCGAGATGGTGTTCTCGCAGTGCACGATCGGGAACATATGCAGCGTGATGGCGAGCGCGGCCGCGTCCGGTGCGATGCTGAACACCACCTGCCTCGTCGACGCGGCACAGGCCCACGACCAGATCACGCTCCAGATGTGCGGGAACGGCATCGTCGAGGCCGGGGAGGAATGCGACCCGGGCCAGGGCACCAACTCGACCTGCTGCGACGCGGCGACGTGCAAGTTTGCGGCGGGCGCGGTGTGCGATCCGCTGGACAGCGCGTGCTGCACGGACACGTGCACGTTCGCGCCGGCGACCAAGGTGTGCAGGACGGCCAAGGACCCGCGCTGCGATACGGCGGAAATGTGCACGGGCTCGAGTGCGGACTGCCCGGCGGACGTGTTCGCTGCGAATGGTGAGTGAACGCTGGGTTTACCCACTGCTGTAACGACACGCGGCTCATTCGTACCCTTTCGTCAGGCAAGAGCTGTGGACCCGGACTCGCATGTGCCAGCGGAACCTGCACGTCTAACACCCGTGCGTAATTACTGCGCGTGCTTCCTTAGGGAGTCTCTCGCTGACATGGCTGGCTGCAGAGCAATGCCAGTCCGTAGGGGCGTCGATGGGTCTGCAGGAGGCGTGCGGCCAGACTGGCGACAAGTCGTGCCAAGTGTCATGCCAAGATCCGACGAACAGCAAACAGTGCATCGTGCTTCAGGCGTCTCTCATCGACGGATCGCCATGTGGTGCGTCGACAACGTTATTTCCGCCCTCGCCAACTGACGGCATGTACTAGGCTACGGCGGCACATGTGCGACCGGCAAATGTCGTCCGGGCAGTTTGCTCGCCACGGCCAAGGTTTGCCCGACTCTTTCGGGAATTACGAGGAAGGTGATCTGACCAATAACTTTTCTAGTCATTCTACACTTCGAACCTCCAGATATCCATTCCGGTCACCGTCGTGGTGGGCCTTCTCGCCCTCCTGCTGCTTTACGGCATCTACGTCAGTAAGTACAACGTCTCACCATGTCGAGGGGGGTGCCCTCAATCTCACGCTCTTGTCTCAGTGTGCAGGAGTTGCTGCTGCGGTCCCCGCGAAGACGAGCCCAAGCCAACGATAGACTCGCGCTTCGTTGGCGGGTCCATCGCGCCAGTCGTCAGCGCAGCAGACAGCAATCCGTTGCAGAACGCGCAGCGCATTTCGGCAGGGAACAGTTACTACCGAGGCGAGACTCGGCGCTCAGGCGAGTGGGAGAAGTTCCATGGCGGTTCGCAGGAGGGCGGGCCGCCGCCGACGTACATTGGCTGGCAGGATGACCAGCGACGGTAAGGTACGACGCCCCGATCTATACGAATCCGATGCTCCATGTACATATACAATTTGGCTGTGTGGATACCTCGCTGCTTTTTCTGTACCAACCACTGCTATTTTTCTCTCGTGCGGAAGAACATGGGGCCCATTTTTGGGCCAAAATAATAATAAAACTCCCGCCTCGGGTCCCACGAAGGGCTTATCTCCGCAGTGGCGCGGCTGGCTCAGGGGCGGGAGATCGCCAGGGCGGGTGGGAGTTGCGTGCGCCGTGCAATGTTCTCGGCCGCGGAAGGGGGCTTTTCACCTGACCTCCATGTCTTGACACACGACCACGACCGCCGAGTAGTATCACCGTCAACATTCTGGCCAGCACTTGATGCAACATGACGAGGACCGCCGTCCGGCAGCTGCCCGTCCGAGCCCGGTCGTGTCAGGTACTGCTCCTCCTAGACCCCCTGATGGGCGCTCGCGACTTTAGGAACGGTGCATGGACTGATTGACTGCTCTTTCGACCGCACTTCGTTACCTGCGCAGATCTTCTCGGCGCCATCACACCGCCCTTGGCCGACATCGACATCACCGAGCGGCTGTTCACGTCCGAGGACGACCTCCAAGCCGCCATAGAAGACGCCGCGGACATCTCCGACCCTCAGGTACATACACCAATTCCACACCACCGCATCTATGCATACCGCTAACGATTTACATGACCCGCCCCCCCCCCCCTTAGTTTTCCGTTTCCAAGTCGCCGATCTTTCCGGAGAACGCGCTGCAGCTACAGTTCGACGGCCCCGCGCCCACCCCGAGCCCGTCCTCCTTCGGCGGGAGCAGCAGCCGCATCACGCCCAGCCGGAGCCCCGCGCGCTCCCCTTTCCGTCCCAACGCCGACGGCGACCGGGAGGAAGAGGGCGCGCGGCGCACGGTGCGCTTCCGCTCGCGCGTGCGCATCGCGTCCGGGATCCCGCGCGAGCGCCGGGGGAGCTACGGCGCCGACTCGGCCGCGAGCGACTCGCCGTCGAGCAGCATCTCGGCGCCGCTGCGCCGCGCGTCGGGCGGCGGAGAGGACGACCCCCGCGCGTCGTACGCCAAGCGGCTGCTCGCCATGACCGTGGCCGCGCGGCAGAAGCGGGCCGCCGCCGCCGCTGCTGCAGACGTGGAGGAAGGGGGGAGGCGCGCTGCTGTGGGGACGCCGGCGCCGGGCCGGAGGAGGCGGACGTTCGACGAGCGGGACGCGCTGCGGCGCGGGCCCCGGCGCCGGCCGTATGTGTGCGACGTGGACGAGGACGACGAGGTTGAGGAGGAATCGGACACGGAGGAGGCGCGGCGGAAGAGCGAGGAGGAGATCGTGTTCGGGCCGTGGTCGAGGCGGATCTTCGACCGACATGTACGTCGGGGATCCGCGATATGTGTTTTTTTTCTCTTGCTCAACTGACGTGCTCTAACAGTGGTGGAGGTGGAAGATCGAGTCTGTGACCTGCTGGTGCTGCAACGACGATGACGACGATGGCTGATAGGATCCATGTATATACCCTCCCCCCCACTCATTCATGCGCTCGCTCACTCTTGGTGCTCTGCCTGATCGCAATTCACGACCCCGTCACGCATGGCTGATATGTGTATCTTGTAGCTGTAGCAATAACAATACATCTGTGTGTGTTTTTTTTCGTGCCGGTACATTTGGCGTCCGATACATCATGCCGAAACCCACGAAATGCGGATGTGCTGCTGCTGCTGCTGCTCTTGGGGGGGCGGTTGACGCCGATGAAAAAAACCTTGCTATATTCCAAGCCTCCATGGCGGTTGAACGATGGAAAAAAAGAAAAAATCTCGCGCAACTTGATCCCAGTTTCGATGGCGGTTGAAGCCAACCCCGTTCCCCCCGTCGAACTACTGCGAGCGCTTGGGGAGCACCATCGTCGGCGGGAGCGTGGTGACGGGCGGGAGGCGCGCGGCGGCGGCGGCGCGGGCGCTCTGCGCGAGGAGGGCGTCCATGACGACGAGGCTCGCCATCGCCTCGACGATGGGCACCGCGCGCGGGACGACGCAGGGGTCGTGTCGCCCGCGCGCGGCCAGCGTGCCGGGCGTGCCGTCGTACTGCGCCGTCGCCTGCGCCTGCGTGATCGTCGCGGGCGACTTGAATCCGACCCTAACGTCGCTCCGTCAGCATATATGTATATATATATACACAATGATGAAGGGAGAGAGGGGGGGGACTAAGGTGATGCGCACCGGAAGTAGATGTGCTCGCCGTTGGTGATCCCGCCCTGGACGCCGCCGGACCAGTTGGTGGCCGTGCCGAGGGAGCCGTCGGGCCTGACGACGAACGCGTCGTTGTGGCGCGATCCGGGCACCTCCGTCCCGCGGAAGCCGGAGCCGAGCTCGAACCCTTTGGTGGCGGGGATGGAGAGCATCGCGCGCGCGAGCTGGGCTTCGAACTTGTCGAAGACGGGCTCGCCGAGCCCGGCGGGCGCGCGGCGGACGACGCAGGTGACGGTGCCGCCGATGGAGTCTTGGGCGTCTTTGGCGCGGAGGATGCGCTGGGTGTCCCGCGGCGAGGGGTGTGTGTGATGAGAGAGGTTATGCGAGGATGGGGGGGGGAGGGGGGGTGCGTACCTTGGTCATGCGCTCGGCGGTCTCGGGGTGCGGGCAGCGCGTCGGGTGCCGGTCGACGTCGGCGCGGGTGACGGTGTTGAGGAGCTGCACGAACTCGGGCGAGAGCGCGTCGTGCGCGTCGTCGTCGTGGTCGGCGTCATCGTTATCGGCGGGAACGGCGTTGGACGGGGGCGCGGCGACGTAGGGCAGGTGGATCTTGCCGACGGAGGAGACGAAGGCGACGATCTCGATGCCGTACACCGTTTTGAGGTACTTTTCGGCGATCGCGCCGGCGGCGACTCGGCCTTTTTTTTTTTTTGGAACGCGAAGAAAAAAGAAAAAACGAGGACGCGTCAGTTCGTGGGGTTTTCTCAACCGAGGCCGGAGATGAATGCGCCGCGAGAGATGGAGACGGATCGAAGGGAAGGGGGTGGATCGTGACGAAGGTGGCGGGTGGAGACGCGGCAGCTGAAACGCACCGATGGTCTCGCGCGCGCTGGAACGGCCACCGCCGGAGGAGGCCTTGACGCCGTACTTCTGGAGGTAGGTGTAGTCGGCGTGGGACGGGCGGGGGTAGAGGTCGGTCTCGGAATAGTCGTGCGGGCGCTGGTCCTCGTTCTTGACGAGGAGGGCGATGGGCGTGCCGAGGGTGACGCCGTGCTCGACGCCGGATTGGAGGTGGACGAGGTCCTTCTCGTCGCGCTGTTGAGACCCGGAGGGGTATGTAAGCAAAAGACCCGGAAACGCAGACGCAGACGTGGAAGATCAGATGTTTTGGGTGGCGTGTTGAGGTTTATTGGTACGGGATGCCGTGGGGCGGTGTACATACGGTCCCGATGATGGAGGAGATGAAGATGGAGGGGTCGATCGCGGTCATGTCAGAGAAAGGCTGGGAGCGTGATGGATGGGACGGGTATAACTGACGGGTGTGGTGAGCGCGCTCTGGCCGGGACGGCGCCTGTTCAGCTGGGCCTGAATGTCCTCCTGTGCGAGCAGCAAGCCCTGAGACGAAGCCCGTCAGTCACTCCGGTCACGGACATGCTGATTAGATGGAGATGGTGGGGCAAAGAAGTCGGATGGTAAGATGGACATAACCAGTCCAGTGGGCTGATATGAGAAGGATATAGGTAGCGTTGTGATTTGGGGTGAAGAGCACCGCGGGTTACTTACGGGCGGACAACCATCAATGATAGCTCCCACCGAGGCGCAGTGGCTCTCCCCGTACGTCGTCACACGGAAATGCGAGCCAAACGTCGACATGGCAGCCGCAGATGAGACGGAGAATAAGGAGGAAGGCGAGGCGAGGGCGTGTATACAATATAAATGTAGGAGAAATGCGATTCGCTTAGAAGCCACCCCGTGCGAATCGGCCGAAGCGTCAACTGGGCACAGCCACCGGCCGCGGGAGAGACGGACACGACCCACCGATCCCATTGCGACACACACACCAACCTCGCGAACCCGTCCCTATAGCGAGCGCAACATCTCGTCCCCCTCTGCGAATAGACACAAACACGGAAAAAGCAGCAAATGGCGCCTCCATCGAACGGCGTGGTACCGGCCGGCAACGACGGCACGAGCACTCCCGTCCCCGCCGCCCTCGCGCATCAGACCGCCTCGCGGCCGCGGAATCCGGCGCGGAGGAGGGGGGCGAACGACGACGCGCCGTACGTGGGGCAGCTGAGCGCGGGGGCGAAGCGGCAGGCGCTGGAACGCGCGGAGGGCGAGCCGCGCCAGAAGCGCAAGCGGGTCGTGGACGCCGCCCTGCCCCTCGCCTCGTCGAGCGGCTCAAGGCGGGGCCCGGCGCACGACGTCGACCCCGAAGAGGTCACGGCGCTGGTGAGAGAGCCCTCTCCCCACAAAAGTTACAACGGAACGGCTGATATACGTACATATATTTTTCCCTCCTTTTTTTTACCCCTCTTTTTGAAAGGTCGACTTTGCGGACATGCCCACCGAGTCGCTGTACCGATACCTGGTGCACTACGACATCGTGCCGCGGGTGTACCCCTCGCCTCTCGCGCCCGAAGACCCGCTCCCGCCGATCTGCCTCCTGCACCCGGACCTCGCCGCCGCGGCGATCCGGGCGCACTCGCCGCCGCCTCCCGCCGCCCCCGCGGTGACGGCGGCGAACCGGCCGCGTCGGGACCCGAAGGAGCACGCGCGGCGACGGACGGCGGCGCGGGCGGACGAAGAGGCGGCGGCGCTGCTGCTGCTCGCGCGCGCGCCGGTGCTCGCGGACCGGCACGAGACGCACGTCGCGCTCGCGTCGCTCGCGCAGCGGCACTTCCGCGGCGCGCACGTGAAGGAGGTGGACACGCTCGCGGCGTTCATGTGCACCGTCAAGGCCAAATGTGAGTTCTGCCGTCGGTTGTTGTTTCTTTCGCGACCGTCGCGCTCACTTCTGCCCAGTGCGGACGGGGACGCGGCCGTGACGGCGTGACGGTGACGGCGACGCGTGACTGGGGGGGGGATGACGCTCCCCCTTGTATCTATTCTCGTGCACACCTATTTATGGCGGTGCCGTGCTTCTGCGATGACCGAGTGCGCCGGATCTGGGCGCTGATTGGCTGGCGGGCGGGGGTACGAGCTAAAGTTGCTAGCCGGCGCGGGTTCTGTGTGCCCTCGTTCTGAGAGACATCACCCCAGCGCCGAAACTACTGCTCCTGCCCCGTCGAGATGGCGACCACACACCACCAGCCCAGCGCCCGTCCCTGATGAGAACTGCGATTGCCTCGGATATAAACCTGCGCGCGCCCCACAGCTCCCGTTCCTCACCCCCCTTCCCTCCTCCGACCCTTTCCACCCCACACACTTCGGTTCGCCGAGCAGCTGTGCTGTTTCGACTTTCATTTGTCCGTACCGTCCTCCTTTCGCTATCCTCACCTTCGACCAACTGACCGGTTTATCTTATCATAGCGCTTGTAGGATCCTTCACTCGCTCTCGTTGCCCTCCTTTTTCGTGAAGCAAGCCTTCGTTTCCCCCGAGCCGCCGCATACAAAAATGTTCTCCAAGTCTTTCCTCCTCGCCGCCCTCCCCCTCGTGGCCCGCGCCGCGGTCACGCCCACCCCGATCCGCCGTGCCGCCGTTGCCAACGACACGGGCGACATCCAGTCGTCCCTCACCCTCGACCCGTCCGTCATCGCCACCGGCTTCGCCAACGACGGTCAGGATGTCCCCGCCGCCGGCCAGGTCGCGTCCCTCACGTCCACGAACAACTTTATCAACTTCTGCGCCGGCCAGACCATCACCAACGGCAAGCAGATCACCACCGGCTCCTGCAACCCGGCCCCCATGGGCCAGATCGCCGCGCAGACCGTCATGCCCTCCTGCAAGTTCGTCTTCCCGCCCAACGGCGGCTCCGTGCCCGCCAACCAGGCCTTCACCATCCAGATGGCGATCAACAACCTCGAGACCGGCAACTTTGTCAACGCCGAGGAGAACTACTTTGCCGCGCCCCAGCAGGTGAACGCGCAGGGCCAGATCATCGGCCACTCGCACGTCGTCGTCGAGCAGCTCTCCGCGCTCGACCAGACGACCGTCACGGACCCGACCAAGTTTGCGTTCTTCAAGGGCCTCAACGACCCCGCCGCCAACGGCGTCCTCTCCGCCGACGTCACCAGCGGCCTCCCCGCCGGCTTCTACAAGGTTTCGTCCATCAACTCGGCGGCGAACCACCAGCCGGCGCTCGTCGCCGTCGCCCAGCACGGTTCCCTCGACGACGTCTCCTACGTGCGTTAATTTTTCATTTTTGGTTTTTTTATTGATCGTATCGACTGACGGTTGATTATCGAAACATCAAGTTTACCGTGACCGACGGCGCTGGCAACTCGACCGCCGACGCTGCTGCCGCCGCAACCGACTCTGCCGCCGCCGCCGCAACCGACTCTGCTGCCGCCGCCGCCGCAACCGACTCCGCAGCAGCAGCTGCTGCCACCGACTCTGCCGCCGCCGCTGCCACCGACTCCGCCGCCGCCGCCGCCTCCACCGACGCGGCCGGCGCGGGTGCCGCCGCCGCTGGTGCTGGTGCCGCTGGTGCCGCCGCCGGTGCTGCCGCCGGTGCCAAGGGCGCGCAGGGTGCTGCCGGTGCTGCCAAGGGCGGCTTCCAGGGCAAGGGCGCGCAACAGGGCCAGGGCCGCGGCAAGGGCGGACGCTTCACCAAGGCCCGCTTCGCCCGCGCGTACTGAAGCGGATCGCGTGTCTTTTTTTTGTGGAGGGGGCGGCTGTGATGGGATGATATGACGGGGACGGGGGACGGGCATTGCATTCACTGGATTACCCACCGCACGCGGAGAGAATGACTTGCATTCACGTCTATGTATTACTGACTACTACCGGCTCGCGGGCTAGCTTTTGCTGGCTGCTAAATGGAAACGAGGCGGGATCCTGGATGTCGAATGATATCTCGGGGGTCGCCCAGTTGGTGGAATCGTAGCATAGTGTGATTGAGAGAGAGAGAGAGGGCTTGGGACAACTCGGTCTTTAGTGCGACGCCCTTCGTTCGCTTCGGTGCCAATTTCCGTTTCCTTTACTATATCCACGAAGGTCCTTATTCGTAGTTACTCACACGCACATACTACAGCAACATTTCAGTCGACAAAGGCCTTCGCCTGGAGAGCCCAGCTCCGCGCGTACTCTCCCTGCTGCTTCATCAGATGGTCGTGGTTCCCAGCCTCCTTGACTTCCGAATGGTTCATGTACCTTTTTGTCGCCATGAGCGACACGCAGCGTGATGAAGCGCGAAGTGGTGAAGAGGAGAAAGACACGCACAGGATGAGATCGGCGTGGCGGGTGAGGTTGCCGAACCGGTGGGTGGAGAACACCATCGTCTTGGAACCACGCAGTCCTCGCAGACGTTCGAACAGGTCTGTGCGTCGCCACGGTAGTGAGAAGTCATTGGCGGGTGGGGTGCGCGCAACATATCGAGACAAACCATGTTCTGCGACCGGATCCAGCGCAGCGCTGGGCTCGTCGAAAAGCAGCAGCCCTACAGTCTTCGACGACGGCAGAGACCGCATGAAGGACCGCGCACTGCAAAGAAAAGACAAAAGAAAAGCCACACAACGCTTAATCAGCATCGACCCCAGGCCGGCGAACGGTTACCAAAGAGAGGGAATCCCATGCGCGACGTACATCGCCAGCCGCTGCAGCTGACCTCCGCTCAGGTTAATGCTCGTCACGTCGTCCAGCGACCCGGCCTCGCGCACGCTGCCAAAGTCGACCGTCTTGCCGAACAGCGTCTTCGTGCCCTCCGGGATGTTCGAGTACACGTCCGCGACCGGACGCCGGAGCCAGGTGTCGAGCCCGTCCGGGAGCTCGCGGATCACCTCGTCCGCGCCGCCTAGCCGCGCTGCTTCCTGGATGCGTTCGACGTCCGTCGCGTGTTCCGGATCGCCGAGGCCGATGTTGTCCTTGATCTGCGGTGCACGGGTGGGTGTGGTTAGGTTCCGAGGTGGGCCACGACTGCAAGACTGCAAGACCGCACCTGGAGAGGGAAATGGGTAAAGTCCTGGAAGAGCACGGACAGCGCACGCCGCAGGTCGTCGAGGCGAACGGTTTTCACGCCCACCCCGCCAAGTAATATTTCGCCCTCGTCTGGGTCGTACAAGCGTGCGATCAGCTTCAACACGGTGGACTTGCCGGAGCCGTTCGATCCCACGATGACCTGACGGGCCGTCAGTCGCTTGTCCCCTGAGACAAGCGGAAAGGCTTACGCATAGGCCACCCTGGGGAATGTTGAACGAGACGTGGCGCAGAGCCCACTTTTCCGTCCCCGGATACCTGAACGACACGTTTCTGTGTGCCCCCCATTTTCCGCTCAGATCGAAACCAGTCCGCGCGTTGAGGGCAGAAATACCGCGACAGACCTGAACTCGAGCGAGATCCCGTTTCGGATCGATTGCTGGTCCTCCGGGAAAGGAACCTTACCGTCCGCGACCCTGTTCGCGATCTTCTCGATGTTATACAGCTTGCGCAGAGACGACAGGTTCTCGCCGATGCCGCCCGAGCGCATGTAAACGTCCACGATGGCGTTCGTGCACTGGTGCGCCGCGCGCTTGACTAGTTCGAGCGACGCGAGCGAGACGGGGATCTCGGCGGGCTGCTTCACCGCGCGGAGCGTGAAAACGATCTGAGGAAGGTAGGGGCCCGATATCAGTATAGTGCGCAACTCTCGCCGAGGAGCACCGTCACCTGCGGCAACTCCCTAAACGGCTCCTTCAGGAGCGAGAACAGCTTGTGGTTCGAGATCATCATCCAGTTTCGGTGCGTCTCATGGAACGGGGCCGCATCAGGGCCAGCAGCGATGACAGCTGCCTCGTACTCTGCGGATAATTGTCAGGTTGCAGTTCGACAGTATAGCGCCAGCGATTGCAATCGACTGACCAGCGCTGAGGTGGTTTGGCAAGTCGGCCGTAGCGGCGATTTCTTTGCGATGCGATGGCTCCATGATGAGCGCCTTCAAGCCCGTCGCTCGCACAAAGTGCTCGTTCCGCACGGTGGCGGCCCACGCTGATGTGAGACTGTGAGTTACAGGACGACGGTCAAGAGTTCAGGGGGGTTACGCACTCGCGCCCCGCGACCACAGCGACGGGAACGCCGCAAACTCCATGGCGATGGGGATAAACGTGAGCACGGTAGTGAGCATCGCGTCCGGCTGGTCCCTCAGCACGTTCATCAGCACCGAGAACTGGGATATAAATTGCACGACCTGGCTGCCGACGTCGACGAGGGTTTTCATCGTCTCAAACGCGACGCTGCCACGCTTGGGCCAGACGGTGCGGAATTGGTTGTACACCGCGGGGTCCTCAAAGGTGGGCACGTCGAGGCGTGCCATGTGGTGGAAGACGTGGACGCTGTAGTGCTGCTTGATGATGGACTGCAGCGGGATGGTGACGCGCATGCGGAGGTGGTGCAGAAAACCTTTGCCAATGGCGCAGAGGATACGTCCTGCGGCGATGCGGAACAGGAGCTTGCGGTCAACGGTGCGGGTCTCTACCGCCGTCTGGACGATGCTAAGCAGTTGTCCGGAGTACCTGCGTCGCGTCACAGATGAGCACCTCCAATGCGCGCGGTTCAAGATGGCCGTACCATAGCGATGTTGCAGGGAGCAAGGCCGAAAGGGCAGAGATGATAACGTACATGGCACACAGGTACCAACACCTCCGCAAGCTCAGAATCTCCTTCAGGGTGATCCATATGTACGGGAGGTCTTGCTGCATTGCGAGGAGGTTCTCCAGTTGGACGGAACCGGGGAAGCGGGCTAACCGCCATGACGACTTTTCCTCGTAAAAGTCCCAAACGCCTATAGGAGTGTTCAGTCAGGCGCGCAAAGGAAACAAGGTCATCAACCCGCACCGAGGCGTCTATACACGATCCGCGTAGCGTCGTGTATGTCAAACGCGCGTTCTTTGGATCCGGCGCCACCGCGGGGTCCTCGCTGCTGTCGTCTGCCTCCCTTAGGCATAGCTGTCGTGCTCTCCGAGGACCGTCGTTCCTTGGGTCTGAGATGGGCGCAGGTGGCAAGTGAGTACCTCCGGACGCAACAGCCTTCCTAATCATACTCCTCGAAATTTCTCATATATCGCCGGCCGTGACACGCGACCGCAGCAGATGCGGTGGGGTTGCTATCATCCAGGAGGAGCATACGCGGGTGATCGCAAGCCCGATACCAGTTCCATACACATACATTGAAGGTGGAAAGAGCAGGAGCGAATAGCGCCGCAGTGTCGTCCGCAGGTTCGCAGTTGTTTGATGACCATGTCCACGATATACGAGGCCCGATCAGGAACTGGATGTTCCGGTGCTGCGCCGGGTAATACTCTAGCCTATTTACCTTGCACGACGCAGGGCAGAACAAGAAAATCTGCCGTAACGGTATCGAGGTCAACGCACATAATGGTACATATTTCCTTGGATACCACGGCGACGCAGAAGAGAACAGCGCGAATGATGCTCGAAGCGAAAGTGGTACACAGAAGAAAATCAATTGAAGGGTAACCGTTTCGCGGCGGATTAAGTTGCACCTGGTCGTAGGGGGGGACGTCTTAACAGCCGCACGGACGATGATGCGAAATCCGTACGGGGACGCATCTTCGAGCTTCTCTGAGAGCGCTTGCAGCGGTTGTGTAAGACAGTGGCAACGAGTTTCTTAAGCGATTGGGACGGGCTCCTGAGTGTCCCGCACGCGGTGGATGGATTACTCCTTCTCTTCGACAGCAGAAAGGTGGAGCCCTGACATGCCCTCCAGAAGATCGTTGACTGCACCGTACTCATCATCGGAGTCTAATCCAATGAACTCCATCGAGATTTGGGCCGGACGGCGAGGCGAGTCTGAAAGTCATGATTGAGTATGACGCTGGTATACTTCGGATACATGGACGTTTACCTCGTGGCTGATCCGCACCCATCCGGCTTACCGCTGACTCTTTCGCGGCCTTCGTTGTCCTCGTGGTGAACATCGCGACCAGCCTTCCCTTCTTGCAGGCGCCGCACACTACAAGCGCGGATGAGAACACGCTGCAACAATGAATCAGCCAGCGATGAACCGAACATACTGTGAACGTTGACATCAATTGTCTTGGCAAACCGGCCATATCTGTGCTTGAGGGTTAGTCATATTCCTAACTATCAATGAATCTGCACGGACATCTTGGAACACTCGGTGCATTCTGTAAGGTTCAACGACGTTAAATTGGCCTGCTTTCATCGAGAAAACTATGGCTTACTCCATTCGTATGGATGGCTGATCACATAGGAGTGCCGCGTCTGACAGAGAAGCATCCAGTCAGTTGATTGGAAGAGCAGCACAAGTTACCGGAAACATACCGATACTTCGATCTCCGGCCTCTTCCTCATTACCTTCACCGCCCTGAACAGGATGGTGAGCGATGTTGTGCAACACGAAATAATTTTGTCGGTTTACCATGATTTGAATATCTTTCCATGCCCTTCTTTTGGCTGACCGCTGATGGTCCATGAAGCTAAATGACACATCTCGTGGGCGAGGGTATGGCGAATACGCTCTAGGGAGGCTCATGAGCTAATGCAGACCGAAGTTGCCAACACCGACCTTCGCAGTCCAAGACCTTTGTAGCCAATTCGATCTTCGTGGTCTCTTTACCTGATCTATCTCTGATGACAAAACAAGCCCTAGTTGTCGAGAAGGAATGGTGCAAGACGCCTGAAAACTCGCCTATGCCAGCTGGCTTTCCCTGCCGTACTAAGCAGCCTTTTGTTCCAAACGAGAGTTGTCTCTTTCGGTAGCCCGTTGTCGAAAACTGACCTGTTCAGATCGCTGAAGAGGTCATTGGCGTACGTGGCAAGCCGAGCCGCCTTGGCTTCCGCTTCGGCTTTCTTCGACATCCGTTTTGGTGTCCGTCCTGCACTACTTGAGCCCTTTTTCGGAGAGCGGGACGGTGTGGAGGGAACGGCGGGAGCATCGATGACGGTGATATCCACATGGGTTGCGCCCGGGAAACGGACTGAAGTGGGGTTGGCACCGGTGATTGAGAGTTTGGGCACGTCTTCGTCGGTGCTCACTTCGTCCGACTCGTATAGCGACAGCGCCCTGCTGTGGGGTGTCAAAGTCGTAGATACGGGCCTTGAGCTGGTGGATATCTTTGTAAGTGGGGAAGTCGGTCGCCTGATAGGCTTGCGGGACCCGCGAGGTTCGTCACTGCATCGTGAGGCCTACGTTAGGAAAAGAAACGGACACGATTTTCGCTGAATAGACGCACAAAACTAGGATGGACCCGTCATCGATATCCCACGGCTCCTTCTCCGCGCACATGTCATTAGGAATCTTTTGCTTCAATCCTGGCTCAGCCGTGGCATTGTGTTGGTCCATCCTTGGAGGCCGAGAGTTGTTCGCCGAGCCCTCGTCGCTGTCACTGGCGTACAGCGAGCGTACGCGAGTAATCTGCGTCTTCTCGGGTATGCGGCGCCGTGGCACCGTAGTCTCTCGTCTCGCAGATGGGGTGCGATTGGGTTCATCCTGCGTTGGATCACCCGCCAGATCATCGTCGCTATCCGAAATTTCGATTACATCTGTCGGAAGGGGTCGTCTGATAGGCTCCCGCCCTCTCGCTCCCGGTCCACTCTTGGAGAGGTTCGTAGCGGGTGACAGACCAGGAGGTGTGAGCTCGGGCTCCGAGTCCGAAGATAGGACCACACGTCGCAAATATGTTGAATGCCCTGTCTTGGTCGGAGAAGTACAAGGAGATCTGGCCACGAGGTCAATCCTCTGGGTTACATTGCAGGTAAATGGAGAGCTTACATATACTCTTCATCGTCTGACGCGTGTTTTGACGGTGACGGGAAGGTTCCGGGCATGCAAGTTGTGGATTTATTGGCGGCTCCAAAGCCCGTATCGTTTTGACAAGGTCGAATTGTCCCACTGTATCGATTTCCGTCAGTGCATCCTAACTACAATTGTTCTCGCGGTACCTGGATGGTATGAGGGGAGTCGAAACCATCTCCGTCTCTGAATCAGAGGACTGAATAACGCGCGGTCTCGTGACAGGACGAGAACCCTTCTTCGGAGAGCGGCATATAGACCTACTAATTTCTCGCTTGAATTCATAGGAGAGCCGAAGAGCGTGTTGAACTCACTCTATATCGTCTTCTGAAACCTGCTCTCCGGAAGGAGGGAAAGTCCCGGGCATACGAGTGCCTGCCCCGTCATCGCACGAAGAGTGTGTCCTTCTAGGGGCCTGAGGTAGTTCACTTGAGTCCCATCAGTAGCAATACTCTGGACATCTTGCAAGGATCTCAGCGTACTTTTCGGTTTCCGTGTCCGACGATATCTCAATGACCTCCGGCTGACCACTATTGATCCGTCTATCAAATTAATTGTCGTTTGATATTATCCAATACATACCCGCCCGTCTCAGACTCATTATCCGATATACTAAACCCTTCTCGACGAGTTGGCTGCTTAGGCGCCTGGCGGCGCCGCTCTCTATCGAACTGTCGCGGTTGTTGCCGTAACGCGGGGTAAGCTGCCGAGATGGCCATATAGTGTGCACCGGTATGACTCCTATGATGACTGGGATAGCAATGGGTCGTCTTCGACGTCTAGGTTCAAAGAGGTTCATACGCGACCTTGTCAGGTGAGCGCCATTATCACCTCACATGACCCGCATCTTCTTGCACTGCCTTCCTGTCCCCGCTCAGAAACGCGAAGTCCGCTGCTGGCGGTCGCCCGCAACTGCTTCCACGTTTACACCGTCTGGCGGTATACCTACATAATAAGTGACGGTAATAAATCAAGACGCTCGTTTCTCTGCATACACCAATCGTGAGCCTTCGCATAAGTATCCAAGGATACGGTCGCGTAACCTACGACTTTCCTTCTTCGGGCTCCGGCATCAGAACGAAGACGTCGCTAAAACGCCTCATTGGATGTCCAAGTCCAAAGGTTCGACGAGGCAGCGTCGGAAGCCCAAGCAAGAGCCAGCACCGTCATCGGATATGCCGGTGACCCTCGATCCATCCCAAGCAATGTCATCCACGTTGGACTCAATACATATTACACCTCGAACGCCACGGACCGCGTCGAAATTGCCTAGAAATGGACAAGCATACGTGGAAGATGATATAGACGAAGTGCAGATGTCGTTACTGGGGGAAGAGGAGCGACGAGAGGCCGCAGCAGATCTTCAAGATGAAGAAGTACCCGGCCACGAACAGCGAGCATTGAGTACGAAGGACAAGAGAGGAATCGTGCTTCTGATCGTCTTGTGTATGTGTTCATTACTGTGGGCATCAAGCAATCTCCTACTCACATTATCCAGACCTCATTCAGGGCGTTCCCGTACGTTCATATATTGGGGCTATGCACCTGTAGCTGCATCCTGACGCTGGCTTAGTTGGGACTTGCGCTCGGATCTGTGCCATTCCTTCTCCGAGAACATTTGTCATATTCGCAACTCGCCGTGTTTGCTCTCTCCAGTTACCCTTATTCCCTCAAGCTCTTGTGGTCACCATTCGTGGATTCAAAGTACTTCCCATCAGTTGGCCGTCGCAAGTCATGGATCATTCCAATGCAAGCTATCATCGGCACCTTGATGCTATATATCTCTTATAATGTTCAAGCACTGTTGGACAGCGTGAGCAGCACCTGCCTCAATCTGAGACCCGTGCTGACGTTTCCCCGTAGCCAGCGGATAATGTCTACATGTTGACGGCTGTCTTTACCTCATTGGTGTTGTTCTCTGCGACCCAGGATATTGCTGTGGATGGTGAGCTGCATTCATTCTTGTTCTTCATGTTGACTTGACCGACGCGTGGCCGAAGGCTGGGCTCTCACCCTTCTGTCCCAGGAAAACATCTCATACGCTTCGACCTGCCAAACTATTGGCCTGAACTCGGGATATTTTGCGTCGTTCACTGTCTTCCTGGCTCTCAATAGCCAAAACTTCAGGTCCGTCTCACCCTTTCTATGCTTGCCTCGGCTTATAAATCGCCTCCAGTGACAAATGGGGGATCCCCCGCCTCGAGCTCGCGACATATCTACGTTTCTGGACAGTGATATGCTATTGTGTCACTATTTGGCTCCTCTTCTTTAAGAAGGAGGTAAGCTACCGAACAACCTTCGTTCAGTTGCTGCTCATACCAAAGTCACTCCAGGATCCAGAAAGCCACAGCGACGAACCTATGAGCATAAAGGTCGTTTACAAGAACATTTGGGGAATTTGCAAACTGTCGAGTATGTTAGGTCACCCCACATACCTCACGAGTTTGCGAGCCTTCATATCATATACTAGACATTCAAACGATGCTTATCGTGCATCTTCTCGCGAAAATCGGCTTTCAAGCCAACGAAGCTGTCACTCGTCTGAAGATGGTCGAGAAGGGTCTCGGTCGTGAAGACCTCGCAATCGCTGTCCTCATAGATTTCCCCTTTCAGATCTTAGGGGGTTGGCTAGCGGCGAGGCTCTGTACACCCCAAAAACCGCTCAGACCATGGATATGGGCTTACTGGCCCAGGCTTGGTTTCGCGTTATCAAGCACGTTGATTGTATATTGGTTCCCGAAGCCACCAGTAGGCTACGGCTTCTTCGTATTCCTGGTAGTGCACACCGTGGCACAAAGCTTCTGCGAGTAAGTCGATTCGGAACCTGGAAATGTGTTTGCATTGCTCATGTAGTGCCCAGAACTCTGCAGTTCGCCGGTATCTCTGCATTCCACACGCGGATATCGGACCCCCTCATTGGCGGGACTTACATGACCGTGCGTCGTACCATGTTCTGCGCACGATGTTCTCGCTGACGGTCTGACAGTTGCTGAATACTTTCTCCAACCTGGGAGGTACTTGGCCACGATTTTTTGTCTTGAAGGGCGTCGACTTCTTCACTGTTGCGACATGCAAGGTGAAAGAGGCTGGGACTGAGCTCACACTCAAAAGTAGGACGGTATTTTGCGCTGCGTGTTTGATGTTGCTGACATAGATGACAGCTGCCGAGTGTGTCAGCGACGCGGGCAAGGCGCACTGTGCGGACATCAACGGAGAGTGTGTCACCGAGCATGACGGCTACTACTACGTCTCCGCCATATGCCTTGTACTTGGTGCCATCTCGATCGGCTTCTACATTATACCGACAGCGCGCAGGCTCCAATGTGGGTCACAATTCCTTCGGTCGCATTGCGAAATTGACGTAGCGCGCCGCGTTTCGCAGCATTGCCTCCAGCAAGATGGCGAGTCAGCGCGGCATAGACCGCTCAGCTCGGAGGTGCAGCCTGAGGGGCATTTCTTAGTTGGTGGCCGTAACGATAGCAATTCTGGATGTCTGAATACAATGGCTATGGATTCGGGCAATGCACTACAAAAGACTGGGACATATATAGCTGTGGTGTTGCTGACGTCGCTGTTGTTCTGCGGCACGGAGCACAAGCCAATAACATCCCACCCTGAGGCACTGCTGCAAGTGCTTAGACCGTTCACGCGCCTCTCTTCTACGCCTCATCGGTATTTTTCGTGCCGCCACTGCTCGCCCATCCTTACTCAGGATTACCTCCATAGCATCATTAACACCAACACCAACCAACCACTTAGTTTCCTGCAAAATGACCACCACCACCATGCACTTTGGTCCGGAGTGGATGCGCCCGAAACAAGCTCCAGCGCACAACAACAGCTCGTCGCGCTCGCAACATGACCATTCGCCTGACCCAGGCGCAGGAGCACCATCGACTCCCGGTGCTGCCACGTACTCTGCTCTTGTCACGCCGGCACCACCTGTAGCAGCGGAAAAACGCAATGCAACGAATCCATTCAGCTATACGAAGGAGGAGTTGCTCGCAATCTATAAGGAGGGTGGTGGCCAGGGAGGGCTCGGGATTGAGGTGGAGAGATGGGAAGGAGTGGTGCGCGAAGTCGGTTCGGAACCCGTCGGATTGAAGGAGATGACCGAGGCGGAGAAGAAGGTTAGCGCTTCATCTGTGAAGCAGATTCGTTGATTATCGACCTCTGGTGCTAGTTGTTCCTTGGGCCTCTGAACTCCGAGCTTCGCCGCCGCCAGTCTACAGACTACCTATCCCCCTTGAACACGCCTGCCATAGGTGGAGAGCGCCCTCGATTGGTGCATCAAGCATCAGGCGCTATAAGCCCAATGCGCGAGAAGTTCAGTGGTCTCATGGGTAGGCGAAGAGACTCTGGTACGTCGCCCATGAAGTACCATTCTCTGTTTCATCATTAACCTTCGGCCATCTAAAGATACTCTACCACCTACACTACCGCGGAAGTTGTCACTGTCGTCAGTGCAAAGTACATCGCGCGACGGTGCTTTGCCATCTCCGCGAACCAGAACTGGATTCACACCGGGGTTCGATGGTATCCTGAGCACCCCTAAGGAGGATTCTTGGATGGCGAAACGGCGCGCCGAACAGGGTCTCCCTAAGCCGGCTAATGGATCCTGGCGCGCAGGCGATCCATCGGATGTCAAAGGGCTTGGGATCAAGGAAGAACCCGAGGAAGGAATCCCGCCTTCCAATGGGCAAATCCATGCTGAGCCAGAGTCCTATACGAACGGCGTGGAACCCGAAGGGGAAGGACCTGCTAATACGAACACTGCCCGCGCTCACGGGACTGGGCAGGGTCTGGACGTTCAAAGTGGTGTGGGCTCAGACACAGCGCAACCTTCAGTGCAAGACCTCAAAAGTGTTGAATGGTCGTATATAGATCCTCAAGGCATTGAACAAGGTGCGTATATGCCGCTTGAAGCCTGACGGCTCTCTGATTGACAAGTGCTGTAGGTCCTTTCCGCGCCGATATCATGCAGAAATGGCACGACGATGGATACTTCACACCGGATCTACGTATGAGACGCACTCGAATTGATCGAGATTGGACGACTGTAGCCGAATTGTGGCTTCGTGCGGGAGATGAAGCTCCGATCTTCCTGACACCAATCATGGATGTTGTCGCCCCTCCTGGACTCGCACGGCGCAATGACAAGGTCACGGAGTCGCCGATCACAGCTACTCCTCCTTATCAACCGGTACCCCAGAGGACTCTGCGAGGCAATAACTTGGACGCGTTCCTAGGAGACGGGTCTACTCCGTCGGACTCCCCCGCCTCTTCCTTTGGCGCGGCCCGATTTGGCAATGGTACGCCCGAACTTACTGGCTTCGGTGGGCGCGCAGCTGGGGGCATATACGCTCCAGGCGAACCGCTGGGCGGCAGTCGTTTGTCCGGTCTTGGTGTTGGTACAGACGCTGGAACGCCATTCAGAAGAAATACTCAGGCGGATCAGATACTTGGACCTGGCTTTGCGAATCAGGCTCCAACTCGAGCTGCAACTCTGGACAACTATCCATTTAGTGGTACGGAACCAAATTCATGACTACACACCATGCTCACGACTACCGCAGGATTCCAGAGCAACAATGTAGTGGGTTCGCCTGCTCTGCAATCGCCCATCACCCCGGGCAACTTCGGTCCGAATCAACCCAGGCTTGCAAGCCTAGGTCATGGTCTTGGAGGTCAAATGGGCCCTCTGAATGGCTCCCCCACGCCCTACAATCGTGATGCATTCGGCAACCCTATCCTTGACGAGAGGATGGACATTCCAGGACGGGCCGTGTATAACAACAGCAACTATGGCAGTGTTCAGGGCTCACCGTTCGATCGCCCCCAGCACGCTATGTCATCCCCGTCGCTGGCGAGAGGATCTCCCTCTCTACACGCCGCCAGTCCCGTCATGAGTCAAGGTCTTACTGCTTCGCCTCATATTGGCCACCCACAGCCTGCTAGCACTATTCCCACTTCTGGTATGTCAAGGGGTCCCTGGGATGATATCGACCCCGCTGGTCAGCGCCGTGCACGACCCTTCGATGCTCTCCAACCACAGGTTCATGGTTCGGAGCTAGCGCGCTCGAAATCCAGGGGAAGCTCTTCCCGCGATGTAGAGGCCAGAGGGTTCGAGGCAAATATAGCACAGCAGGAACATGTCTCATCTGACACTTGGGCTCAGAATCGGAACGCACCTGCTACTCAATCGATAGGTGTGCCTCAGAACGCGTCGCCATGGGTTTTGGCCTCCAAAGGAGTCGTTGATGAGCGATGGGGAGAAACGCCTGGCGATCCCAACAGGCTGACCCACCGCAATCTGATGAAGCTCGCGGAGCAGCAGCAGCGGGATCACGATCCGAGATTTGGTTCTCAAAGGTCGGAGAAGCAACAGGAGATCGCAATGGTTGCAGAGAGCCCCATCTCGGCGCAGCCAGAACCGGCTGTTCCTCTCACAAGCACCGCTGCCCCTGCTTCTGCGGAACCTGCCGATGTCTCGACGCCTACCGTGAAGCCGAGGCGCAAGTCCGCAGTTCAAACGCAAGCGGCCACCGTACAGCCTGCCGCGCATACGCCCCCCGTTCCACAAGCCCCCCAAGCTGAGAGCACAGCTACTGTCACTGCTGGATCCAAAGCCGCGCCCTGGGCCGTCGACGATAAGAGCAAAACACCCGCAACCGCCATGGGGCTGCGCGAGATTCAGGAGGCTGAGGCGAAGCGCGCAGAGGCCCAGAAGAGGGCTGCCGAAAAAGCAGTTCGTGCCGTCGCTGCTTCGCCGGTAGCACCTGCATCCGAGGAACCAGCAACGTTCACCACCTCTTGGGGCCTGCCGACGTCCAAGGCCGGCGTTGCACGCGCAGGGAAGGACGCCACCGGGACAACGGGCTCCCCTATCACTCCTGCCTCACCCGCCGTGCCGGTTCCCGTTTGGACCAATGCTGTCAAGGCGCCTGCAGCGAAGAAGACCATGAAGGAGATTCAAGAGGAAGAAGAGAAGCGCAAGAAACTGGCCAAGGAGAAGGAGACGGCTGCTGCCACTGCTAGGAGAGCGTATGCCGAAACCACCACCAAGGTAGCTTGTATTTATACGGTTTCCTGTGCAATCCGCTGATATTTCTCCAGACTGTCGTGCCTTCTGCTCAGGCAACCGGTGGCGCCTGGACTACAGTAGGTGCCAAGCCTGCCACTCCCGCCGCCGTTCGTCCCGCAGCGACTCCCGCAGCGAGCTCCAGCCCTGCGCCGCCTACAGCTGCGACTCGCGTCACCGCCAACGGTACTTCCGCTCGTACCGTGAGCACTCCACAGGCGACAAAGCCTGCTCCCTCAGCGCCGAAGGATGATTTCCCTCTTCCACCTTCGCAAGACTTCCTTAGGTGGCTCGCTGACACGCTCAAGGGACTGAGCAGCTCGGTCAATCGTGAGCATTCATCTTCTCATCAACAGGTCCGTGAGCTGATGCAGTCTGCTGCAGTCGAGGAAATTACGTCCATGCTTCTCTCGTTCCCGCTCGACCCCGATCCATCCACGACGGAGATCATCTCCGATCTTATTTACGCGAACAGCACGACCATGGACGGTCGTCGCTTCGCGTCCGATTTCATCAATCGCCGCAAGGCCGACGCCACCAACCGCTCGAAGAACGGCGCGGCGTCCGGTGCGACGGGCAAGGGCACTTCGGCCGCTGATGTCGTGAAGGCCCAGCCGAAACCGGCCCAGCCCGAATGGGGTTTCAAGGTGGTCAACAAGAAGAAGAAGAACGCCCGTGCCTGAGCAGCGTCGGGCGGTCCTCGATCTGGTTTAGCTGACAGCCTACCCCGAATACGTTCATTGCCTTTCGACGGCTGCCAGCCCGACCCGCATCTGAACCTATACGCTCTTTGATTTACCAGCTAGCTGTAATACTAATGAAATGCGAATGTCACACTTCTTAAAGAAATAATCATCATGTTAATGTCCACCATATGCGCCTTTACCGTACCTACAAGCGTGTTTGTATACCGTGTAATCTATCCACCGTATGCATCAAGCCCGTCTTCAAATCCATGGTACACCCGCAACGGGGATGAATGTCTAGCAATAAATACAAGGTCGGATCGACGTCCAACGAGCATGCATGGAACTAGTGATACAGCATCTATACAAAGGTTCATGGCGGGGTCGTGTGCATGGCGGCAATGTAGATATAATCAACGCGATGCGTGGATCATGATGTCTGATAGATCGTCACACTCTTGACTTCCCAATCTGCGAAGAGCCAAGGTCAGCATCTAAGGAGAATGCGATAATAGCGCGAAAAGAGGATTACGCACATGCTTCCGCAAACGACGCCCCGTTGTTCCTCACGAACGTCGCGCAGTCCGACACGCCCGTCCGCTGAGCGCAGCTCTGCTCCTGCCCTGGGATGCCGGAGGACGACCAGACGCCGCCTGCCCAGTCGCCGCAGAGCGTGGTGTCGAAGATGACCGAGTGGTGGGAGAAGAACTTGGACGTGTCGCACTGCGTCGAAGGCCAGTTCGCCATGGGCGTGCCCCACCCGGCCGGGTTCGGCGCGCCGGAGGTGATGTCGGAGGGGATGTTCGACCTTCGGAAGAAGTAGACGGAGATGCCGGTGTCGTTCCAGAGCATGGCGTAGACGCCGCCGCCGATGTTGTTGAAGGCGGCGCCGTACGAGCTCGTGTCGGCCGAGCGGACACCGCACCCTTGGTTGCCAGAGTCCGCGGCAGCGCAGTCTGTGCCACCAACGATGGTACCCTGGGGAAGAGGTTAGCTCAATGAAGAACACGACGATTCGCGTTACAAAAGTTAAAGCTCACAGTGATGCCCAGCGCGCTCGACGAGTCAGTCGCTAACGAACATCCAGGATTGGTATGGATCGTCGCCTGGTTGTTCGTGTAGTCGTTCACGCCTTCGACGATGTCGATCTCGCCTCCCGCGGGCCAGTTCGGACCGTTACTCCAGAACGCCGGCCACGTCCCGCATCCGGTCGGCATATGGACTGCGTCAAGGATGACGAGGCCGCCGGTGTAGACGGCGTTGGTGGTAATCCGGATGGCCTTGCGGTTCCCGGTGACGACCGCCGTGGTGTCGACACGCATGATAGCATTGCCGGCGGAGTTGATGGAGGTGAGGTTGGCAGACTCAGCATCGGATTGAGACTGGAAGTCGACGATGCCTGAGCGTTCGTGTGCTGATCAGCTACCAGATGCATGTGGCAATGCGGATGATAACGCACCATTGGTAGGATCGGCCGTATCCCAGAAGGTCCACCCGTTGAAGAAGTCGTCGCCTTGCTGTGAACAAAGATGTGAGTTTCATATGATAGAGATGGCATCTCTGAAATGGGCGCTAGCTCACATATTGCTGGAACACCTTCCATTCCGAAGTGGCGGTCGCGCTCGCTCCGGACTTGGTCGACGTCGCGGACGCCCCACTCTTCTTCGTGCTTGTGGCTTTGGCAGTGCTACTGGACCCGCCTGCGGATGCGGTGCCGTTGCCTCCGCCGGTCAAGCCATTGCCAGCGGGACTCGTCGACTTGGGCGCGCTGACACAGTAGACGCTGTGCGACACGAGATCGACCTGCGTGCTTCCGTGCTGTTCGACGAGGAGTCCTCGGAAGGCGGTCCTGAGGTCCCTGGCGAGGCCAGCGGAGCGGCGGATCGCGGCATGGTGCGCGCGTGCGAGGCCGTTCGACGTCCGAGAAAAGAGCGAATCCGCGGCAGCCGCCTCGGAGGCGGCGAGGACGGCGAGGGCGAGGGGCAGGTGCGCGCGCATCCTGCGTGCTTAGCTGAAGAGACGGTGGATGTTGGTAGTCAAGAGAAGGAGGAGGTGATGGTCAGACAAAAAGTGAAAAGGGCTCTGCACGGAGTGGCTTTTCTTAGCTTATACATGCCGGTCGAAGCCCGGGTGCGGAGTCGAGCTCACCTGCGTGTGGCCCGTTGTGGCTCCACAAGAGTTTGGTAATCGGGTGGATCCTCCGGCTCAGCCAGGATAGAAACGGCGGAGAAGAGTTTGAGCAAGTGGCCAGCAAGGCGATCCCGACGGGCGCCTTATAGACCGAACAATGAGCCAAGACGTCCATGGCGCAGTTGCGGGGCTTGGCCGACGGCGCCGGCACGAGGCGGACGCGCTTTGCCACGCCCAAACACGCCTTTTGCAGCCCCCGGGACGGCTGCTCTGCCTCTGTTTTCACCCGGAATGTATACGAACATCCTCGAGGCTCCTTCGAGGACGGCGTCATGTCTTTGTCGGGGCCGTCATCAGAGAGGATGGCGATGCTGGTCGCTCCCATCTCCACCGCTCCAGAGTCCGCAACAGATTCTCCCCATGCGGTATCTTTGCTCGACTCCGCAGACACCGGCGAAGACAAGTAGAGGAAGTGGGATCATCGGCAAAGCGGGCGGACTTGGCTTTGACAAGTTCTGCAATCTTAAAGCTCGGGCTCGAGCATGCGCGATCCATCCTGACCCGTTCCCACCCCCGGATGTTCCCAATACGTTACTAGAGGGGTTATGATGCGCTGTTCATATCATCGTTCGGAGGGTAAACGGGATCTTGGAAAGTCCACACTGCCTTTACGCCAACGATCACTCCGATCCTGAGGCGCAAGACGAGCGCCACCATCTTGCCAATGCGCCAAGATCTATATAAGGACATGCTGCTACTCCGGCCTCATCTCCGGGCGCGAGAGGCCTTGAGCTGATCGAATGCAACCTCGAACCTGATTCAAAGTTCATCAAGATACGCCTCAGTGTATAGCTGCTAGAAATAAGCAAGCCTTCGCCTAAACTCGAACGATCATCGGCACCCCTGGTGCTATCAGGGTGGCTAAAACCAGATGACCCCTCTATATATGCCTGTTGCGCGATTCAATGGCCAGAAGGTCATTTTGGATTCATATGCGGGTGGTACCGATGCACTGGAGGCTTTGAGTTCGAGGCTATCGCCGCCCTGCAGCTGTGGACGGTATACATAAGATGCCGCGAACCTCTGGGAATTCGGCAAGACAGGGTCCTGCTTCTGCCCCGGACCTTGTACGAGAAGGAGGAACCGATTCGTTGAGATGCCTCCCAGCCTTGGGCTATTACGGATACTCGGCTTGGCGATCTCCGCCCTGCAGGCCCACGAGCCCAGGGAACGCCCACGAAGGCTATATACCCGGAGATAGTCCTTCCTTTGAGGAATTTAACCGCGCAGGAGTACGTCGCACTGACCAAGCTGTATAGCTACAGTAAAGTGCAATAAATAAGACCGATGCTGTCTCTGCTGTAGAATGCACACGCGAATTTGTGTTGGTGACTATCTGTATATGGGGTGGATGAATTGTTGCAATGAATGAGCCGAACTGTGATCGGGTACGGTACTGTTGGGTGATTCTGATTCGAGAGAGTTCGCGCTGCATGAGGTATGCGGCAGCAAGGTCGTATGACTGATGCCAGTTCATGGGTAAGAGGACTGAATGTAACTTATGCTGCGATATGCGACTCACACCATCGTCTCAGGTTTGCCCTGCTGCGCCTCTCCCGCGGCCCCGCCCTCGGCTCCTCGCTCTCCACTGGCCACGGCCGCGGCCGCGACCTCGTCCACGGTTTCCATGTGCTTCAGCCGATGCATGTCGACGCGACGCCATCTTGACCACGACGGCTGAAGGCTCGAACGGATCCGCTGGTCCTCCGAACAAATATGAGTCCTGTTCGGCCGTTTGGAAATCTTCATAAAGAGAAGTGTACGACGGCCTCTTGAACGCCTCAGGCTCGAGCGACATTGCTCCCCGCTTCATCGGTGGGTCGAACAATGCTGAATCCATGTCGGCCGTCTGGGTTTGGAAGGGTTCTTCGGTCATATCCCAGGCCATGCGCACTGCGACGGGCGTGAGTGGAGGCGAGATCGGAACGAACGCCTGTATTTTCGTCTTCCTCAGCTCTGCCTCCCTGGCCGCCTCTGCATGTCTCTGCGCCTCCGCACGCTCCCGCTCACGCTTCTCGAACATTTGCCGTCTTTCGGTTTCCGCCGACCTGGCCTGCCTCCTTGCCTTCTCCTGCTCCCTCGCAAGCTGATCTACAGCCTCTTTCTCCATCCGTGCCCTGTGTGCGACATCGGCTCGTGCGCGCGCCTCTGCCTCCCGTCTGGCCCTCAGCTCTGCCTTTTGCTTCGCCTCTTCCTCTGTCTCCGCTCTATCGTGTCTAGCTTTCTCTTCTGCCTGTCGCTTGGCCTCCGCCTCCCGCTTTGCCTTCTCCTTGATCGCCTGTTGCTCATACCTCACACGCTCCTCCGCCTCCTTCCTTGACTTGGCTTCCGCCCTCTGCCTCGCCCTCTCCTCTAATGTGATTCGCTCCCTCTCCAACCTCTCCCTCTCGGCTGCTTCCGCCTGTTGCCGTTGCAGCTCCCGTAAACGTTCGCTTTCCGCTTCGGCTCTCCATGCTGCTTCCTGCTCGGCTCTTATCGCCGCGTCTCGTTGCATTTGCTCTTGTTCCGCCTTCTGCCTAGCCTCCTCTTCTATGCGCAAGCGTTCCGCCTAGAAGCAAGCGATGAGTTTGTGTGCGGCAGTCAAATATTGGTGTACGGCACCATCTCTCTGTCGCGCCGTTCCTGCTCCCGACGCTTGTTCTCTTCACTCTTGCGAAGATCGGCATCAACTCGTGCTTGCTATAATTGGAGGTATGCTCAGCTGATGCCCGTCGAGCGTGGAAGATAGGGGAGCGCACCTTTTCCGCCTCCTTCCGCAGCTTCGCTTCCTTGAGCTCTTTCTCCTCCCTAGAGAACATTCATCGTAAGTGAGAAAGACTCCGTACTATCGGGTGAAGTCCCACCTCTCACGCCGATTTCTTCGCAGACGCGCTTTCTTCGATTGACCCTCACCGAATCCCGGTGATGCGGAATCACTGTCCGCTTGCGAGCTTGAGGGTCTGCTGGGGAAGTCATATGGAACGAACCCGTTCTATTGTAATGCACGTCAAGGCAGCGTAAGCATGTAGTGTCTATGGAGCCGGCGTGGCAGGCGAACCTTTGTCAATAGCGCATCCTTAATCTTCGTGAGCGTCTGCCGCATGTCTTCGTCGGCTTTCTCCATCTCATTCTCGATTATCGACCAGCATCTCGTGACATCATGAACCGGCGCAGGCTTCACCAAGAGAGCCACTAGGTGAGCCAGCGTGTCTACATCTTTCGCATGAGATACAGAGCCCATCGCGAGCTGGAGCGGCGTCTGCCCATTCTCCGCCGCCTTCGACGGATGGCAGCGCTGGATGTCGATGAAGTATTTGACGGCCTCCAAGTTGCCGTACTTCGCTGCGACATGGAACGGCGTTAATTTTTCGCCGTTAAGACAGGTCAAGTCAGCTCCTGTCGTAGATGTCGTCAGACCCCCTACTATGTTAGAATCGATGGGGGAGCTTACGCCGAGACTCAACGAGGAAGTTCAAAATGTCGGCATCGCCTTTGCGCGCAGCGACGTGCAGAATCCTATCGAAACCGTCTTTTCCGGCGTTGACATCGATGTCATATTGCTCGATTACCGATCTCATCGTTATGAAATCGCCGGCATGGCCGGCCGTCATCGCACGACCACGAGCTTGCTGGCGCTCCCGGCTCATCGCGATCTCCTCTTTCCTCGTACGGAGCAGCTCAGCCTCTTCCGCTGCCAATTGCTTCTCTGGGTAACAAAGCATGTCAGATGTCATCGAATGGCAGCTAAGCCGATCTACGCACCCCACCGTCGCACGCGCGCGGCGTACTCTTCATTGACCTTAGCCTGCGCCTGACGAGTATAACGTTGATTCTCTTGGCGGCCTTGTTGCTCGGAAACCCAAAATGGGCTGAAGCCATAAACGCCCGATCCCGACGCGCCTTGCCGTTGTCGCCTGAAGCCTGTCTCCGAGGATTAGGCGGTGGTAGCGGGTAGAGACGCAGCAACGCACGTGCGCGTTGTCTTCTATCGTGACGGTTTGCCATCTCTTCGTCGAATTGGTATCTGTAGAGGTCTGTGTCATGTCAATATCCTGGGACGGAAGGGAGCATACTCACACGCAGAAGAACAGGAACTCTTCCATATCCATCTTGAACATATATTGAGCGAAACTCCTGGCTGTAAAATGGCCATGGTTGCCACTGAATTCCATCTCCTCACTGGCAGCCGGGTCTTCGTAATGCTCTTGCAGGATTTCCCAAGCTGCGCCTACTTCCTGGAAGCGCTCAGTTGCCTCTGCATCCCCATAGCATCGATCAGGACTACAGTGTTCGGTCAAAAGGAGGTCGCAGAGGCGTTACTGAGATGCAGACTGACTGATGCTTCAAGGCGAGCTTCTTGTAGACAAGTTTGGCCTCATCGAAGTCCACATCCTAACGCATTGGTCAGTGGTATGGGATGAGGCCTAACGTATGATGTCAAGTACCGGAGTAAGTCCCAGTGTTCTGAAGGCATCCGATATGTGTTGTTTTAGAACCATAGCGATGGGAGGAGCCTTGTCCAAGATACGGTCAAGCGCTGCAGCGACCCCTAAGGCCTAAGCCATCCCGCTTCGAAGTGTAGTACACGTGCTGTCACAGGCCATCACGGCTGTGACATGCGCGCCTGCTTCGGCATTCTCCTCGCCGAGCAACTCGAGGCGCGGCAATGCTGTTGCAATGATGCTGCATTGCTGCAGGCCACTCCCACCCGAAAACGCTAAAGGCTTCGATAGAGCAGGATTCATCAAGGCGAGCGTGGCATACACACGATCAATGTCCAATACAGTGTTTTGACCCATTAACATCCGCCGTTTATGTCCTAGGTTGCTCTGATTTAGGTATCGATCTCCAGAAGCCCAATTGACTGACATGAATCACTCATGATTTTCTCCGATTGAAGCTTCAGAGGTTTTAACCTCTGTAACGTGATCAGCACCCCTTTATCCTAAGGTACTAGCGAAGTATCATGGAAGAAGTAGCTCTCGCTCTGGCGGACCGTTCTAGGTACGTGGCATGCCGAGGCTGCTCCCCTTCTATGTATAACGCCGCATCATCGTCTAGATTGCCATATGAAGTGTCGCACGTCTCCGCTGGCCTTCTCGGCGTGCCACGCCTCCTGTTTCTTCCCTTGGTTCCACACGCATTTGATGCCGCACGATCGGAAGATCACCGTGTACGCAAATGGCATCGCAGAGCATCGTGGGATCAAAGGATGTCACCGTGATGAATTGCTGCGAGCGAACCTATTCCAGACCTCCCGGAAGGGGGTGGGAAGGCTGTTCAAGGCAGTTGCTTCCTGGAATAGGATCCATGATTACCGGTATACCGCTCAGAGAGCGTGGTTGTTGCTTCCGCCGCAATTCTCACCACCGCTACCAGAATGACCAAGCCGTATCGTCATGCAGTCGAGCAAGCGATGATCGAAATTTCAGGATTGAGGATCGCGGACATTGTTTACCACGAAGTACCAGCCAAATGCCCAGTATCCAGCATATACCACCACGCCGTATGATTTTGCCAATAGGAGTCAAAACTTCCTTCTCACACTCTTCGTTAGTTCGGCAGATCCCATGAGGCGGCTTGATTCTCTCCAAGGCGCCGCTAGGGTAGTTTCCCTATCTCTAATCATCTCAGGAGGCTGCGGAACTGCATAATTCACGGTAAGTCGAATGAAATATTCGACAATACCGACTACAGACGGCTGTCTTGTTTACCTGACTGAAGCTTCTTCACGATGATCATCGACTCGCGTCATCCCGTATGTTTGTTCTTACATACGCTCCTCCTACATCCCACACCCACGAGCCGGCCAATAAGCTTACCGGAGAAAACTCGCAGCAACCGCACGTCAGATTCATCGGCTGAAAGCGTCCCATGGGACAAGCACTGCCACTTGCAATCATCGGACTAGGTTGCGGCCCAGATATCAAGGAATCTTTACTGCGGACGTGCGAAAATAGTGTTTTGTTTAGCCCACTATACCTGATTCGATGGGAATGTGCGCCCGCCCGGGTGTGTATAGAAGCCGAGAGTAGTGAGTTCTGTGATGTCGCCCGCCCATGTCAGTGGTGCAGTACCCGGTCGCTCTTGAAGCTTCCACTTGATGGCAGTTCGGAACGATGTGCCGTACGATACAGTTGTTCTATGGTGCGTGGCAGTAATCTAACCTCTTTCGTATCGCAACCGCGGTAATTTGAGACTCGGGAAAGCGGCAATAATTACTGGAGGTCAAGCGCCTCGGCCCCCAAAAGCGGGCAATCGCCTCCTCTCCTTGCTTTCCGTACGGCCGGAGCGTGCATAGAATGGGTATGGCACTTCTCCGAAGTCGAGTGCACGATCCCCTAATGCCCGGCATACACATGTAGTACCTGAGGGACGGCCGCCAAAGCATCTGCGCAATGGAAGTCGTTGGTTCATCCGCAGTATTCCCAAGTCCATTAACGGCGTATGGGGTTCCGCTAACACGGCCACTCTTCGCTGCGAGAGACTGCACTTCGCTCCCACCATTCAGAACACAAAGTCGGAGGTCGGCGTTCGGCAATATCAACGGTGAACGCTAGTGAACGCCGCGTAATATCAAAACGTTCGTCCATGTCTCCGTTCTCCGCGAAGGCATGTCCTACGTTTCCAACCCAACGCCAACCAATAAGTATAGACCTAATCTTGCTGCATTCTGAGAATCAAGAGGTCTTCTGAGCGGCCTTCTCTCGAGCTTGTTCGCGTCCTATAGTCAGGCCGGCAACCGGTGACCCTGTGCCCACGGGATCCTCGGATCATCAAGCTTCTCCTTCATACCGTATATCAGACTGCATATGACTTACGCAGACCTTGACGCGGTCTCAAGAAGCAAGCAAGTCCCCGCCCGAAGTTTTCCTGGTCGCGCGATAGGTCGAGGTGGTTCTATGACATAAGTTAGGTAACACCGTCGAGTCTCCGTACGTATCGGACGGCACGCGTCGATGTAGCAGGCACCGGAAAGCCATATAGGTGCATCATCGATGGTCGCAGTGGCGATGAATCTGCACTCAGAGAGGTTCGAGCCTAGGCTGGTTGATAACGTATTTCATAGAAAGCAGATGAAAGGTATACAGAGCGCACATATAGAGCAATAAAACGAGAATTGCAGGCCACAGGAGTTGGACGAACGGCCTAGACACGCCACGAGATCGCGCAAGAACTCTGGCAGAGGTCGCAGCCGAGAGGGCTCCCAATCGTTGCTATTTCTTCGTGCCACCACCGGCTGCTGCTGCTGCTGCTGCTCGCGCTTCCTCTGCTTTCTGTAAGGGTTTAGCGATCGAAATCTGAGCGCTGCTGCGAGTCACGACGCGAAGTGGCGGGGAGAACTTCACCTTCTGTTTTTCTCGCAATGCTGCAGCATCCCTGTAAGCGAGTTCACATATGAGAGAGACCGAACGACGGTTGTTGGTACGTTGAGGGTGACTTACGCCTCTTTCCGCTTCTGTAGACTTGCCGCTGATTCCTTCTTGCCTTTGTTCTGCGCGGCCTGCTTTTTTGCGTTCTTTTCACGGGCGAGTTCGCGCTGGTTACCTCCTGCACAGTCACATGACGGTAATTGTCGATCGCGATGCTCGCAAGGTTCAGAAATGGTGAGAAAAGGCACTTACGGGTCATCGTGTACGGGAGGATAGCGATGAACGTTATCGTAAACGGCAAACGATGAATCTTGCTGGCATTTCCCACGACCACGTGGTGAAACCTCGCTTACCGGCGTAGCGACCCTGACCGCTATCCCGCGGCTCTTGTGAACCGTTCCTTCAGGCAGACGAATGCATGAGAAGCAAGCATATGCTAACGACTTCGATATTTCGGCGTGCACCCCCGTTGGACAGCGACTATTCCGGTTAGGGGCAAGTCACGATCTTCAACTGAATCAACATCGCTTCCCGATGACTGTTCAACACCTCTCACTGGCGCCCTCAAGATGCCATCTCATTCCATATCTGGCCCCCACATTCGCAGCCTACTTGGGCTCAGCAGACCCTGATACACGCGCTTGGCTGGAGGCCCAGAGCATGACCATAAGAGGAGAAAACGCGTTAGCCATCTGTCGTCAAAGGCACAGTTGTCTCGGCCTCATCAGTGGCGGCTGCATCGGAATATTCCAGACCAGGGCGCTCGATCCGGAAGGGAACCCCGATAGCGAAGCACACAGTGGCCATCACCGCGGCACCGACATCTGTTCGCCCGGGAATTCGAAGTGGGAACGCGAATATAAGATGCCAGGCTTTCGTGCCGAGGAGATCGGGAGGAGCCGGTCGCGTAAAGGGAACCCGCGGCACGGACCAGGGGTTTAAGGTGGTCGGTGGGCTTTATGCACAACCCCACCCGCAAGGTTATTTTATCGGCTTCTGCGTTCTTATCAGGAAGGGGACAGAAGATGGAAGTAGCCAGGCTCACACATGCTCCGCAACACGAAGGGCGCGTGACGGACCGATGAAGCCTGATGACAGACGGGCTATATGAACATGTGCTGCAATTAGCACAACGATTGCTTCGCAGTTGACGTGAGCAGGTAGATCTCAGATGGGCTGTGAAATGCCCTGCGTCAGTGGGCATTGGTCCCGAATGTCGGCGCCAGACCGTGGAGCTTGATTGACTCTTATCGTCTCACCGAGTCTGACCTGCTGGCGCCCTTGAAACTCGGGCGAATCAAAATAGCAGGCAAAGCGCTGCCAATTGGAGTGATCCCAGATCAGGCGCCAGCGCGGCGGTCGCGTCTGCGGCGGTCGGCGGTAACCCGCATCGCGTGTTCACCGCCCTGTTCTGAACCCCCGTCGACGTTCCACGCCATCAAAGCGATGCTCTCTGCCTTTGACGGACATCGGAAGCGGATGCCTATGGCAAATGACTCCCAGGCTCGGACCGAAGCCTTCGGAGAATTCAAATCGGCCCAGACAGCCGTCACGTGCCGTTGCAGATCGGTGAGGGCATGAAGGTTCTGCCAAGCTTCTGTTAATTCGATTTCTCCGGCCTCCTGTGGCAACCGAGAAGCTCAGGCGATTTCGTATCAATGTCATGCGCGGACCGAGCCGTTGGATCCTTGCGCGATGGGTTGTGCGTGGGGCGAAACGTTCTCCGAAAGCGTTCACTGGACGCAAGCTGGTGCGCCACGCCGCAGGTTAAAGAAAGATGAGCGTGTTCCCAACAAGGAAGGCACCGCGACGGCGCCTGCGGGGTGGTTTTGTTACCGGAAGTCCATGTGCGAAATGATGATATTTAAATTACCGAATCCCCAGGCACGCGGCGAAGAAGTCGAGTGACGAGATACATCTCGTGAAGCGATCGCTTGCGATCCGCCATCTGGCTTCAAATTCCGCAGACCTCCATATATACCCCCGGCTCCAGGTACTGACGACCTTTTGCCCCCTCCACCACCCGCTCGTCCTTCCCGCCGGTATCCCTTCCCCTCCCTCTCCCTCCGCGTCCGCACTCGGCCTTTGCGATGGCGATGCGACATACCCCTCGTCAATCCGAGCGCGAGCGCGATGTGAGGCTACATGACGTCCACCCCCATGCGCACGTCCTGGGGCCCCCTGGTGGGCACGGCCCCGGCCACCCGCCCCCTCACATGAATGGAGGCATGCCAACGCCAGGCGCGCTCGTCAACGGACCACCACATCCCGCGCACCAGATGGTCTCCCCGACGGTGGTGCCGGCGCCAGCGAACGGCGGGCAGCCTGTGCCCCCGTCCATCCAGAAGCTCGCCTCGGCCAATGAACAAACGTGGCTTCTCATCGGTGGGTTGCTTACTTCAGCGATGCTTCTTAGGCCTGTCTCACCTGCCGCCAGGCCGGGTCGCGGAGCAGATGGGGGATTTGGAACACGCGCTGTCGGCCTATGAGAACGCGCTTCGTCACAACCCGATGTCCCTTTCGGGCTTAACGCAGGTCGCGGGCATCGCCCGCATCAAGGAAAACTACCCAAAGGTGCGCTTCTCCATTCCACGCCTGCTTCGAGAAGCGGTCGCCCGTGTTCCCCCGCCTTCGGCGGCGAAGGCCCGGGTTTCCGCCGATGCCGCGCCGTCCACGTGCTTTGATCGCCCGATCTCAGATTCAGGGTCAGTTCATATCGCTGATCACACTTATCAACAGGCTGTAGAGTTCTTCCAACGCGCGCTCACCATCCAGCAGGACAACGGCGAAGTATGGAGCGCGCTCGGCCACTGCTACCTCATGCAGGACGACCTCCAGAAGGCGTACGCAGCCTATCAGCAAGCCCTCTATCTTCTCCCCAACCCGAAGGTTAGCGTTATACTCCGTGTTGGAGCCACCGCCGTCTGACGCCGTTGTTGATCAGGAGGACCCCAAACTGTGGTATGGCATCGGAATATTGTACGACAGATACGGTTCATTGGATCACGCCGAAGAGGCGTTCGCGTCCGTGCTCCGGATGGACAAAGGTATGGGTATGTTGGTATGGCACCTTGCACTCGTTCTCCTCATCATGCCGCCCCAGAGTTCGACAAAGCCAACGAGATCCTCTTCCGTCTCGGCATCATCTACAAGCAGCAGGCCAAGTATGACGACAGTCTCGATTGCTTCGATAAGATCTTGCGGAATCCGCCGAGCCCTCTCGCCCACGCGGACATTTGGTTCCAAATCGGCCACGTTTACGAACAGCAGAAAGACGTACGCGCTCTGGTTCTATCGCTTTGTTCGTCGTTCATATTACCATGCAGTTCATGAGGGCCAAGGATGCCTACGAGCGTGTCGTCGCCGAAAATCCCAACCACGCCAAGGTCCTGCAGCAGCTCGGATGGCTGTACCACCAAGACGGCTCCTCGTTCCAGAATCAGGATCTCGCCATCCAATATCTCACGAAGAGCCTCGAAGCGGGTGAGTGGAAAGCCATCGAGGTTTCCAAACCCATCGACTGACGTCATTCTCTTTAGATCCCTCCGATGCCCAGAGCTGGTACCTACTTGGCCGCGCCTATATGGCAGGCCAGAAATACAATAAGGCATACGAAGCGTACCAACAGGCCGTCTACCGCGAAGGCAGGAATCCCACCTTCTGGTGCTCCATCGGTGTCCTTTATTTCCAGATCAACCAGTACCGCGACGCGCTGGACGCTTACTCGCGGGCGATCCGGATCAACCCTTACATCTCTGAGGTCTGGTTCGACCTCGGCAGTCTCTACGAGAGCTGCAACAACCAGATCTCGGACGCCATCGACGCTTACGCCCGGGCCGCCGAGTTGGACCCCAATAACGGCGTCATCAGGCAGCGACTTGAACTGTTGCGGAATGCGAAAGCGACTGGCAACCCCCTGCCAGCCGCGCCAGGCCCTCAAGATGTCCATCCCACTGCGTACGCCAGCGCTGTGGTACCACCGCCTGGCCCCCCGATGCTCCTTCAAGCGGGTCCTGGCGGGGCTCGTCCTCTCTTCCGACCAGACTCTCGCGGACCGATGGAGGGTGGTACGCTGCTGCCGTTGCCACAAGCGCCTATGCAAGGGCGCAACTCGCCCGGGCCGTTCCGCGGCGGCCCTCCCCCGCCGGTGATACTGGACGAATCGCGAACACCCCACGGACCGAATACCCTTGCCCCCATGGAGGTCGATCGCCCGCCGATTGCTCGGCATCCTACGGGTGGTTCGGTTTCTGATCGTGACGGCCCGTCACGAGGTCCTCCGGGCCCAGGTGTACTCCTTCATCATCCCGTACCCCAGCAGCAATTCGCGGAAGATATGCGGCATGCCCCGCCCCCTGATAACTACCGAGGCTCTATCCGCGGTGGACCCTCCACTTCGGTGTCTCCGCCCCCTCACAGCCGGCAACGTTCGCCTGGATCGATCCCGCTTGCTTCGTACGCGTCGCGAGGCCCGGTTGGTCCTGGGCAGAATCCCGATGCCTCTCGCCCACCTTATAGCTACGACCCTGACGTCAGCAGGGATCATCCCTTTGATCGTAGGAGAATGCCGAGTGAGCGCGAATGGGATGAGCGGGAACAACGTCGCACCTCCTCGAACCACCCTTATCCGCCGCCGAATTTCTATGGAGAGCCCCATGGCCCGCCTCACGCGCCGTCACCCGCTCAGAGTGTTCGAGGGCGTGGACGCAGCCCTCAAGGTTTGCGCGAGCGTAGCGAATCCGCCAGGTCTCCTCGCGCTCCTCATCATCGGACATCAAGCGGCTACTGGGACCCTAGGCAGCCTCAATCCGCGCCTCAGCAAGGGCATCATTCGTACGGTCGCCCGTCGCCGCCCGGGTCGGTCAATGGGATGCAAACTGAACCATCAGGACGGCGCCATGATCCGCGATTTGATGCGCATCCTCGCGAGTATGAGCGGGACATCGATATGCGCTCCGACTCGCGCAGTTACGCGGGCTCGCCAGATGCTCAGCGCGCTATGCGTGGCCCCCCTCCCCCTCACCTCATGAACGGCAGCATGCGCGGTTCGGAATCTCCTCATGTCGGTTCCATGCAGGCCCCGGATGCTAAAGGTCGCAAACGTCCAGCGAAGGATAAGGATGCCGAGAGCGACACCGCATCCAAAAAGGATCGTAAGCGACGCGCGCCGTCGAAACGCGTCAAGGAGGAGGCATCTCGTGCGGGCTCTCCTAAGCCCCCTTTCTCGGCTGATGGCCCGCCTTCACAGCACCACGTGCACTCTTTCAAGGTGAAGCCGACCGGTACTCCCGAGCCTAGCAGCTCGAGCGCATCCAGGTCGAACGGATCCGTCCAGCCCTCACCGACGACCGCTGCGCCTCCTTCACGGGTGGTTGATGAGGACTATGACGAGGGCGTCGCGGACACCTTGTTGGGGCTGTCCCAGTATCGGGAACAAGGCGCCGCATCCGCCACCCAAGTCGGCCCGGGGACGTCTGGCGCATCGGCCCGTCCTACGCACTCCCACCGCGGCTCTATATCTTCAACTGTTAGTCATACCTCGCCCCCTCACCACGGGGTGAACCTCAAGCGTCCCATGAGTCCCCGGTCGGACGAGACGAGCGACAACAAGCGTGCTCGAGTCGAGCCAGCCCCGAGAAGGCGCTCCTCTGACGGCCGCACGCCTGGACCCTCGACAAGGCCGTCTCCCATCCCATTCCGTCAACAGCCATCGCAACACAATTCACCTGAGGAGCGATCCATGCCATTGACGATGCACCCTTTGGATCGCACCGGTACCCACTCCTTCGCCGGCAGTCCAAGAAACGCCCCTCTGCAAGTTGTCTTGCCTCCCCATCCGCGACCCATCGGTACTGGAATGTCGGCCCATGCCCAGGTTTCACTACCCCCCATGAATCCCCGCTCTCCCTCGAACCAACCCTCGCCTGCAGCGGAGGATGATCGCATGGCTGTTGAGAGCCGCCGTTCCTCCCAAACAGGGTCGCCAACGAGCCGGGGCAAGTTTGCGGATATGATGCACCGTCCGTCTTCGTCGCCGCAGGGCAAGGCGGTTCCGTCCCCGCCGGATATCGTAACACTGAGTGAAAAGCCCGATTCTTCTTGATGATGGACCTCATAGACTGTCGCCGTGTATACCCCGTAGTCACTGCCTGCATGCTCCCTCTATGTCGTACAACCTCGCCCCATGATGAAATGTCTATGATATTGTATTTTTCGAACTGTATACAATTCCTTGCGCTTGACTATATCCGCTTTCTCTGAAGTGCGCTCAATAAGGATGATCTCATCCGCTATCGGCTACGTTCAGCATGGGTGGCTTCTTGGTCTTGGCAGCCCAGTTCATGTATGCGACTTTTTGGGTGGGATCTGGAAGGGTTGCTGACCATTGTCGACGCTGGAAGTCCCTCCACGCGCTCCTTCGTGGAGAAGAGCATGCACTCCCTCATCGGGACGTAGCGCTCGATTCCGTCTTGCTGACGCGGATTCACGGCACCGCCAAATCGCAGTGCGTCGCGCCACCTCGGTGATTATACAAAGCCGTTCATGTTACCGAGTTCATTACAAGGCAGGACAATAGAGTGTATTTGCAGCACGGGAAAAGTGGAGTGGGACGTTGACTACGCACTGCATGTTTTGGCGGGGCTCCCCGCGGACATCTTTGCCTACTGTGGAGAACTTTCACCACCTGCAAATACACTCTAATGGATCTCGAGCTACATCCTTCCCGAATGGGGATTAGCTCGTAACCCCGGAGTCGGACCGCGGCCTCTTCTCTAGAATGCTATCCACAATCCCAAAGTCGAGAGCTTCCTGCGCAGTCATGAAATAATCACGCTCCAAGGCCGTCTCTGTAACCGAATCATAACACATCGCAGTCAGCGCTACCTCCGGCTAAGAACATCGGAAAGATGGAGGTTTTCATACCAAAGCGTTGTAGTGCTTCTGTCTCGAGCTCATTGGGCCGTTGACAATGGTGCTGATAGACCCTCGTAAGAACCTCGCGCACGCGCAGGATCTCTTTGGCATGGATAGCGATGTCCGAAGCTTGCCTGAAACGGAAAGTTATGATTGTTTAGAGGGCGAATGGCTAGGAAGCGAGAATGCGGACTAACCCAGAAGCACCTCCTGAAGGCTGATGTATCATGATGCTGGCGTGAGGAAGACAGTGACGCTTGCCTTTCTCACCTACGTTCTGTAATCAGCATCGACAACCGTAGGCGGAAGCACAATGCTTACCAGCGACTAAGAGCAGTGATCCCATGGAACACGCTTGTCCGATGCAGTACGTGTGGATGCTCGACGAGACATACTACAGATCCAAACAGAGTATTGGGGAAACGTTGCGCGAGTTAGAGCAAGAACGCCACTAAGAAGGAAGGCCATCAGACCTGCATCTGCGTCTGTCAGCGAGATAGAATGGGAAACGATCCGCCACGTACTGTGTCATATATAGCCATTCCAGCCGTGACACTGCCTCCTGGCGAATTTATGTACAGATGTATTGGCTTGGACGAGTCCTCCGCTTCGAGAAACAGGAGTTGGGAGACAATCAGAGCAGAGTCCGAGTCATGTATCTGCGGGACGTCCGCGGTGTCTATGAACAGTGCGATCCACCTTGTTAACTACTTCGAACGTACCGGGCCGTGAAGCATCACAACACGCTCCCTCAACAGACGGGAGAAGATATCGTATGAACGTTCGCCCCGTCCCTGGATGTACTGATGAGCACAGAAACGTCAATCGTCCCACGAATCCTACCGTTTGTTCAATGACGATAGGGACCAAGCCCGACGACCTGATTTCACTGGTGCACGTCCGTTGGGACAGATGGTGAAACTGGCGATACGCGGGATGCAAGGAAGATTTGAGCGGCCTATTATAGACATCAGATACAGAACGTCTGAGATTCGCTCTAGCGCAGGGTAGCATTGAGAAATGGTGGAAGGAGGTGGTCTTTGGCAAGTCGCGACCAGGTGACGAACGCGCCGCATCGCGTGACGCACCTCTGTCTGCAGGACCTCTGTAGCGGCGCCAGCAATCCAGCCTCCACCTTCCAGGCTTCAGCCTTTCAAGCTTCGTAGTCGCGTCGGTTGCCGGTATGGCTTACAGGAACGCACGTTCGACAGAAGCGCCCATGGACTTCGAGTTCACCTCGCGTCCCAATACACGGCCACTTTGGGCTCAACCGGGCGGCGGAGAACCCAGCACACCGCGTAAACGTATGTCCACCTTCGTCCCAACTCGTCTTGACAGGTTCATCTTTACTGGAGGACTAACGACGACAATGTTCTGAAGGCACACAAGATGATCTGAACGCGCCTCCCTCCCCATTCGCACCGCGCCCGCCGCAACCATCCTTTGGAGCGAACCAGAGTGTTCCATTCCTGTTTCAGTCGCCCCAGATGCCGGCACCTCAACCAAACTACCCCTGGGCACCCCCTTCGGGGTTCTCGCCAACAAAGGCATTTCCGCAGCCTGAAATTCCGGAGGTGACTATGGGCGAGGCTAGCCCGGAGGTACCGAGGCCGAAACCCGCCGTCTCTGACGACGTGAAGGACAATATCGAGGGTGATGGCCCGGTCGAAGGCGATAGCAAGACCGATGAAAGGAGGGTAGTGGCCCTCGGCGGACTGAAGAGAGTGTTCAAGAAAAGACAGGCCGCTCTCGCGAGGACTAGACGAAGAGAAGCGTTGAGTGAAGGAGAGACAGACGGTAGCAGCGAGGAGGAGGGTGAAGAACGAGGCATGAAGACTGTCACGAAGAAAATGACAAACCACTACACACTCAATATGCCAGGCGTCAGTGGTCAAGGAGATCTTCCGTACTTGCTTCTTGGGTGAGCTCGTCATCTCTCCGACACTGTCCTTCGGTATCGTCTCAGAGCGTGTACCGCAGATACCTTCAATTCTTCTTCAACTTGTCGCTGGTTCTGGTTTTCCTCTACCTGTTGATACAGTTCATCCTGACGGTTCAGAGGGATGTCGAACATCGTATATCAGAGTATTCTATGGGTCAGTCCATTTCCGTTGGACATGTCTTGGTCCAGTACTTACTATCGGGTTCAATGTGCAGACGTCATTCAAGATATAGCACACTGCGCACTACAGTTTCGTACAAATCTATGCGATGCAAATCCCGTTCCTGCTATGGCACATCAGGCAAGCACCTCTTTTCTCCGCCTTATTCCACTTATTAACTATCAATATGTGCATGCAGTGTGCGTCATGGAAAACATGCATGGATCGGGATCCCACTAAGGTCGGCCGTGCCAAGGTTGGCGCGGAGTTGATTGCGGAGGTCGTCAATGGATTCGTGGAACCGATAAGCTGGAAAACCTTGGTGAGCTTCCAGTCCCGCTCAGTCGCCTTGGTCCTTCTCCGCTCCTTATGGGAAAGGGCGCCGTTTTGCAACGCACTAACAGCACACGTTCGTGTAGGCCTTCACCTTGACTTCGCTCTCATTTCTGACGGTGTTCATCAACACCCTATTATCACTGTACCGATCCAAACACGCACATTCCTCGGTCACGGCAGCGATTTCCCCTCAACATCATCCCTCTCTTACCGGTGTGTTGTGTTCATCCTACACGATTTGTCACCTTCACGTGCGAAACTTCGGTTCGGACCACCGCGATCTCATACGTCCTGCGCTTTTCAGGTTTTCCCCCACAAGTTGGTTATGCTCAGCCGCATTTCGCTGTTGCGCCGGCGGCCCCTCACACTTGGCCAAAAGGGGATATCAATGAAGGATGGGAAGCTCGACCTAGGAGAAGACGGTTGAAATGAACTACTGCTCCAGACGATCAACACACGTCAGGCGCTACCTAGACATGGCCGGTGATCACATTCACCAAAGTTAGATTGGACACAACACTTTCGGTGTAGCTACTTTCGGACATGCGTGGCCCTGCTCCGAGAGGTCATCGCTGGGTGCGATGGTTAAAAAGAACACGAAACAATGTTTTGGCCTTGCGTATCATAGTCATACAGTTCATAGCTTACATCGTGGGAAAATGCCATTACGCATTTCGAAGTACCAGCTGATGGACTGAAGTGCCTATGCCACCGACTTTGTGCTCGATGGCCTCAGAATTGTCTTTCATCCACTAGACAGTGAACATGTGGATTGGGCCTTTGGCCATCTTGCAAGAGACGCGGTGGTGAGCTGCGTGCTTGAGGAATGTGTCAAACTCAAAAATATCTGGGTGCTTGAGTGATGACACCTGGTCAAAATCGCTCAGGAGCAGAGTGGCCAGAAAATCCGATTTTCTGGATGAACGGTCCATGGCTGGTCCATGGCCTTGCCATGTGACTACATTGTGGCACACCAGTCCCGCATTGTTCTGTGGGGGCCACTGCCCATAATCCCTGGAATAAAGAACGACTTAATGTGGGGCATAATTGTTACAGGCCTGAGCAAACTGCAGCCCGACAACCCAACATCCCGACATTGTGATGCACCGATGTCAGGTGGCTGTGCCCATTGGGATCATGCACAAAGAGTATTAAGACCTATAGCTGCATGTAAGGCTACAGGTTGTTTAGTTAATACATGAAAGGAGGAGTACTGTACTTTTACGACCATAAGTTCAAGCGGACCCCTTGGGGACAGGGGATACGCTGTAAGTTCAGACCCATGGGAAGTTCATGAACTGATATCAATCAGATTGCTTTGTTCTCACAGTAAGTGTCAATAGCTCCCACGGTCAGTAAGGTTCAGCTGAAATGGGAGGGGAAAGGGGACAAAACCCTGATTTAGGTTCAGTTCAAGGGTAGGGGGAGGAAGGGGGACAAACTTATGGTTGTAAAAGCACAGTATGCAGGGAGTTCTCACCTCCAGCAAACACGCTAGTGTAGTAAACAGTGGAGAGAATGAGACGAGCACAGCAGGCATATCAACGCACCACATGTGCACCTGTCAAACAGACATATAGGAGGGATACTCATCCTGGTGTTACTGCCCTATCCTCACATTCCTCCTTGCCATGGAGAAAGAACTCCCTCCTCCTCATCTCCAACAAACCCTCTAGAGCATGATCTTCTGTAAACCAAGTTGAAGATGGAGATGAGAAAAGGCGGGGAAGGGTAAGGCTTTTGTAAAGATGTCTGCAGTGTTATGTGCACTTGGCACATAGACAAATTTGACAATGCTGGCGGTGACCTTCTCACAGGTAAAGTGGTACTGCATGTCAATATGCTTAGTCTTGCCATGGTTTGAAGGGTCCTTGGTAATTGTGTTTGAACCTTGGTTGTTGGCAGAGATGATGGTCGGCCCAACTTGAGGAAATCTGATACCCGCTAGCAGCTGGCAGATCCATACAGCCTCCTTCATCATGCTGCAGGAAGCGACGTATTCCGCTTCGCACGAAGACGTAGACACAGTAGGCTGTTTCTGCGACGACCATGGGATGGAGCCGGAGCCAAGAGGGAATGTATACCTGGACACGGAGCGGCACGTGTTGGGGCAGTTAGCGTGGTCAGAATCAGTCATACCAGTCAACTGCAGCTCCTTCTTTGAGCCCAAGGTCGCGAGGTGCCTTGAGGTAGTGTAGAACATGCATCACTGACTGCCAGTGGACGAGACCAGGGTTCGCAAGAAACTGACTAAGGCGTTGAACGGCATGAGCAATGTCAGGCTGGGTACCAATCACGAGGTACATCAACGTTCCGATGACTTTTTGGTAGGGGTAGTTAGCCATTACGGCCTTGTCCTCCGTGGTAACAGGACATTTGAGGCAAGAATGCTTAGTACCAGGAGGCAGAGGTGTGAGATTGGACAAGTATGCCGCTGTTTGCATAGATATGGCCCAAAGACAGGGGGGTAGGTACGTGGCTGACATGCATGTGCATCCACGACCCATGATAGTCCGATGAGCACTTTTGCACATCCCGATGTGAGCAGATGAATATGGCACGGAGAACTGTTGGACAGTACTACTTGTGAGGATTAAACACATTGTGGTGCTGTCAAATTTGCGGCTGTTGTCAGAATGATAGATTCTGACGCGAGTAGATGTCACGTGGAAGATCTCGTCCTCCCACTTCTTCAGCGCAGGGGTGGTGTCCAATTTGCGCACAATCAGCAGGCTCCAGATGTAAACGGACGACTCATCAACTCTATCTAGTAAATAGAAATAGTCTCCAAGAGCACATATATGGAAAGGACCCTGAAGATCAATGTACACCACGTCCAGCATACCCGTCACTCTCACCCCCTCACAAACCTTTGGCATGGCAGTTTTGCTCTGCTTGCCAAGGATGCAATGGTCACATGAGGGTGGCACTGCAAGCAAGGGGGATATGGGCATACCTTCGACAGTGTGGGTGCACATGGCATGTATCAAGGCGCGGTAGTTGGCATGCCCGAAGCAGCTGTGCCAGGTCGAAAGGGGTACTGCGGAAGTGGCGATGGGGCAGGTGTCACGTGCAGTGACAATGAATGGTGCTCCCAGGTCATCCAAATGGTAAAGACTATTGTTTTTGTGGGTTGCACTGGCAACGGGTTGGGTTTCCTGTTTCCAGTAGACGGTGGCGTAACCTGAATGTAATTTGATGCGGTAACCCTGATCGCAGAGACGACCGACAGATAGAAGAGTGATTGTAGTCTCAGGGACCCACAGAGTGTTTTCCACCAACAATTGATGACCAATTGCAAGCGCAATACACATAGTTCCCACTCCCGACGAGAGAACCTTTGAGCCGTTGAAGCCACCAATAGCAACATGGAGTGGGCGGAGAGACTCGAAGAGATGCTGACACTTCGTCAGGGAGATATTTGCCCCAGTATCAAGAGTGTACTCATGCGAGGCGTTGAGTTCCACCAAGCGTCTCTCTTCAGTGGACATTGCACTGGCCAGCCCTATGGCCGTACTATTAGCTGGAGACAACAGCTCCCAGTTGACAGAGGTTGTGTGCACAGTGTTTGCGACACAACTGCACTTGCCAAAATTGACGTGGGACCACGAACTGGAGTCGATATCAAGTAAGCAGGGATCCTCAGGAGTCGTTGCAAAAGCGAGGTGAGCAGGCCAGCTGGTAATGGCAGCAGCGGCGGCAAACAAGGGGGAGTGCAACAAGGTACCGGTTTGCAAAGAGGGCAAGACCTCTGTGGAGGTATATAGCTTCCCATCCAGACCCTTCACAACAGCCATGTTAGCTCAGGAAGCCAGAGCAGAGCTCTTGGGGGACTTCATAGGTTCCCTGTTGCATGCAACCAGAACGGCACCTGGTTGGTCCTTCTTCATACAAGGGGAGGCATTGCAGACCTTACACCAGTAGCTCAAGAAAGTGTGGTTGTGGTGGTGACCATCTTTCTTGCCATTGCTCGCACCGGAGGCCTTGGACTGGTGAGAAGACGCGTGAACACAGACAGCATTGGCAACAGTGGAAGGCTTCTGGCGACCAAGGACCGAACACTCGATTTCTGAAGTCAGCACCTTGCAGCTAGCCAAGTCGTGCATGACGTTGGCAAAGATGTCAGGGAGATTCACAGACAGGGCATTGATACAAATGATGTTCACGATGTCCTCAATGGTCTTTGGTAGCCGGGCCTTGAAGAGGTGTCGGGTGTCCACATGAACAGAAGCAATAGTGCTGGATGCGGTCTGTTCGGGACCAGGAGTGAAAGCCATACCAAAGAGGTTCATCCAGATTTCAGCCTTCAGCTTGTCACCAACGGCCTGATGGCGAAGATGGAGCACCTGCCAGGCGGCCAGCAAGGTGTCGTGGATATCAAAGATCTCACGGTCCTCCGGCGACACGTTTCTCCATAACAGAGATTTGATGAGTCCATCATTGTGCCTGAATGCCTGATGGATAGTTGCCAGCGCAGGATCAGACAGCACTTCAGGGACTGTGAGGCACGGAGGGGGGTTGACATTGACAAAATAGTCTTGCAGGAATATACAACCAAGTTTGTTCAGGAATTGCATCAAGAAAGCTACTCAGTTATCTGCCGCAAGCGACAGTTGGCGGTCATCTGGAAGGTCATGAAATGTGCTTGAGTTTGAGATGCAGGGAATGTCTGTGTAGGAGGATGTTGCAGATGCCGTTGTCGCTGTGGTCGGCATGGCGGATGAGGTATCCATTAAAACGATTGTGGGTATGGGAACGGGAGAGACCAATCACAAAGCTAGCAAGGGATCTGGAGTGATAGGACACAGGGTTAGTGCCGGTTAGAACCCCAGTCACTGCACGAAGTTCTCGACTTGACACCGACTATGTATATTAGTGAAGGACTCTACCAACTTCTCTTGGTTGGATTCACTTACCGATACATGGACCCAGAGGTAAGTACGGACAGCACTTGACTACTCTGGAGACTCAAAGCACCCTTCAAGGGAGATGCTGCTCATTGTGACAAGTCTGAAAGTGCCATGAACTACCTACACAATGGCGGGATTGACCCGTACCCAGACCTTCTGGGATACTCCCAATAGGATGGATTTGCCATGTCCATTGGGCAGCTGCTGTTGACACCAGACCATGTCAAGCTCCCAATCTGTGCCTGCTCACCTCTAGGACTTCCCCAATCTGTCCATGACCTTGCAACCCATGCTCCCAACATCTTTCGCCCACTCTCTGCGCCTCCAACACTGCCCTCTGAAGCCAACCCTTACCGACACTCACTCTCAAACATACATCCTTGAGCTGGTCCTAATGGATGATGTTCGACTCTGCTGACAAATTCTCCATAGTAGCCGCCAGCTGCTGCCTGGGGAACTAATTAATAGGTACAGTGTCGACAAGTTGACACCTCGCTTGTTCTTTGATGAACAGGATTACATCAATATTGTCGACACAGTCCGGGAACTGACCCAGGAACTGGCAGATAATGAGGTACTCACCTACCCTTGTCTCGGTATCAACTGAAGACTGAGAGCTTCGCGATCGGCACTCGACTTTGACGACAACACAACCAGACCTCCCTATGGACCTTCCAGAATGTGCACAGGCCTTAACGTGTTCCCCAGCCTTCCTGGACTGTACTACCCATCTGGAGGGTATGTAGTATCTCTCTCAGAACCGTTGGACAGTCACCTGCACATCAAAGTCCTAATCCATGTCGCTTCACTGCCCAATTATCCCAGGATCGTTCACGACCTCTCAAATCAAATACCCCAAACCTACCGACTGCTGTCTGCGCTTGTGACCCCTGAACCACCAACAAATAATTATCGGGCTTTGCTCATGTACAAAATTGAGCTTGTTGGCCAGGATGACCCCATCCTAAAAGGCTGCTTGCTGAAGGCTGCGTATGATCAGGTTCTCACCAGCACCTCACTTCACCACGCAAACACCCCCACCACAAAGCTATATTTCAGCCATAAAATATTCCTGCTGATCATGCAGACCGCTCAGCTTGACATGGACGCCCACGCTTGCGAGGAAGCTGGTGGCACGTCCCACCAGTTCTTCATGGACCTCCCCAGCACGTACTACCCCACTGATGGGTTTGCCATATCCAAAGGACAGCCACTGGACAGCAACATGCAACTCAAGCTTCCCATCTGTGCCACATCGCTGCCAGGCTTCTTGCACTCCATCCACAACTTGTACAAGGAGGCTCCGTACATGTATCGCCCACTCTCAGCTCCCACAACATCCAACCCGCCTATCCTGGAGTACCCTAAGGCCCCGATCGGGACACCGGGTTGGGTTAGGTTGGGTTGGGTTCGGTTGAGTTGAGGCCCGGGCTGGGTGACCCGTGTTACATGTAATGTATTTGTCACCATTTGTCACCATTTGTCACATTAACCTTCGCCACAAATACAATGTAAACAGTGCCCAGGTAGACATAATAGACCACTGAGCCTTAGGAGCCATGAGAGGGAGCAGGAGAAAGAAGAGGATACAGTCCATTAATCCATGAATATCTATTGTAACTTGACTGCTGCTCAACGGCGTGACTCCGAGTTCCTCAGCCTTGCCGGCGTGATTCCCGCATCCACGCCACCTCGACTCCCACACTTTTTGGCGGGGACAACCCAACCTGGTGTCCCGATTGGGGCCTAAGTCTTGTACTTATGTGATCGAGCTCATCTTGAACGTCGACCCATGACTTGGCGGCGCCAAAATGAAGGCAAGTCATTTCCCCCTTCCCAGCTCAGGAAAAATCTACATTGCTATGGCAGGCTATATATACTGTAGAGTACTATCATAGTATTACCATAGTACTCTGTAGCTTCCATCATCTGAGAAAATCTAGATCACTATATGGCACTACATAGTGCCATATAGCCTCCATAGGTCTATAGCAATGTCCTTTGCTACCCGTGCTAGAAATCTGCCAGCCAATGCTATCATAGTGCCATAGGTGCTATAGAGGGTTCTGTCATGGCTACAGTAGCTATCACGGCGGTTGGATCAGAGTTCCGACATGTGTTGAATTTATAACCACGCGTGAACCAGATTTTGAAAATTGGTTGCTCAATCACGAAAGAAGGAAACAAATATCTGTATTTTATAATCTCGTGTATTCAGCACGCCTTTCAGCATTTCCAGAATTAATGAATAGGGAATTTAAAATGAACACCATGCGCGTATCTACAGCTACATTACAAGAACAATTGGGCATATATGATACATCAGATCTTCAAGAATGCGAGTGGTGAACGTGCAGATTAGAATTTTGAGTGCGCGATTTTCAACGGACGAGGCGAGAATTTTGAATTCGATACCGATGCATATTGAAAGGTCCAGTCAGCGACCCGTGAGCACCCGCTCAGTACCCCATGAGCGGGTCTTCAGCCCCCGTCGTCGAGATCCGCCGGCCGACGTCGCTTGCCACATATGCGAAGATTTGAAGGGCGATGAGCGCTGCTCGTCTCAATCGGGTGATTAGCTAGAGCAGTGGCATATGTTAGTCAATGTCATAAGGAAGAAGATAACGACTTACAACAACGAACTGACACGGTCGAGGGCGATTGCCACATGTTTCTTGGCCCCATCCATGAGGTGCTGGACCCGCCGATCGAGCTTGAGCTGCTTCGCCTTCCAGGTAGTCCTCAACGATGGCTGACATGTCTGGGGTGAGCTATATCGCTCAAGCTGATGCTGGAAGAAGTTCTCCGCGTTTTCGGACCACCAGCCTCGATCAACGACCAAATTGCGCCACATATTGGGGTGGGGCCACCACGAAAGACCAGTACTAGTTTGACTGATGATCAGCTCGATCTCCGCGGTCCGTAGTCGATCATCGCACAACTCCACATTGCGGTCGGCTAGGGTGAGCATGATCCTATGGCCATCTCTGTCAGCGTTGGCCGATGGTCCATCCAAGGCCACGCTGTAGTCGAGCAAGTGATGAACTATCCTCCACAAGATGCCGCCACTCAGCATGGCTGCGTGAAGGACCGAGGGATGGTCCCAGAGATACGCATCGCGAACCTCGGTATAGGTGTCGTAGTCGTCAGGGGTATACAAATGATCCACAGCACGAGGGAACGTAGGCACTTGAGGGGCGAACACAATGCTGTTGTCATGAACATGTCGTTGAATTTCATACGAACCAAATGTGATTCCCCTCTCGAGCAACCAAATAGTAGCCTCATCGACGACAGTAAGGCTCGGATTGGTGATGATCTCGATGACGAACATCGGGTCGCTGAGTCGGAGAAATGGACCTCTTGGTTGGCTTTTGGCGTATGGCGTATAAACACCATCCCTCAGGGCCGGAACCGAAGCGGACATGTTTACAAGTCCAAAGGCGAGTCAGGCGACTCGCCAGTCATCCTACTGAGTCCCTGCGGTATAACCACGCCTTCGGCGGAGGGTACTTAGGACCATTCAACGGGGCCTTGATGTGATGCGCTTGTACGATTGACCGCACGAACCCAACAGCTTCTGACGCTGTCTGCGATGGCAGCCCTGCCACAGAATGAAGATCGCCTTGCCCAAGAGGGAAGAAATATCCAAGGACTTTATAAACCTCTGAGAGGTCCTTGACGTCGAGCGTAGAGTCGATGTCGATGTCGATGGGGCCGGGGTTGACTTCCAAACGGAAATGATCTCTCAGAAGGTCGACAGGTGATTGAGTCGGAAGCCCCAGGTCATTAGGATACCTGTTGATGGCACGCATACGAGGAACAGGGATTGGGGCGGGCGCAGAGACCGCACCAACTCCATCCACGTTCATCGAAACCACATTCAATGACGTAGCAACCTGATCACTTGTAAGTGTGGGGGCGGGCGTCGAGGCAGGCGCGGGGACGGTGGCGGGCGTCGGGGCAGGCACGGGGACGGTAGCGGGCGTCGGGGCAGGCACGGGGACGGTAGTGGGCGTCGGGGCAACGGTGTGCTCCGATGCGGCCTTGGCGTCTACGTGCATCGACACCACAGTCGATGATGCAGCGATCTGACGGCTTGTAGGTGCGGGGGCAGGCGTTGGGGCAGGCACGGGGACGGGGGCGGGGACGGGGGCAACGGTATGCTCCGATGCGGCCTTCATGTCTATATCCATCAAAACTGCGCTCGACGACGTGTCGCGTGTGCCTGAAAGGGAGTCAAGTTCGTCCACATCCATGTCTGAAGGTAATGATATTGTAGCCGTGGACCAGGAGCCTGGAGCGATCAAAGATAATGCTGCAGAGGCAGACGAAAGATTGGACCACGTCGAGGACGAAGGCACATCTGACGACGTCACGGAAAGCCACAGAGATATTGACGTGGCGGAGGGTAATGTAGACTGTGTTGACGACGTTATCGAGGGGGACGCTGACGGCGGCGACGGACCTGGAAGAGCTGGCACCGCGGAAAGCTGCAAGGTAGGCACAAGCTCCGGTGACGATCGATATGGGGGCAATGGTGGGTCGAAGTCGCAATCACGATATAAAGCAGATGTGAAGTCATCATCATCGCCAGGAAGGGAGACGGCATCCTCGTATTCATTGTCGGAGTCGGCATATGGGTCACGACCAGGCCGAGAGCGCTCGACATAAGGGTCAACGAACAGTTCGCTGAGATCCCGTTCATCCAAAACGGAGTCATATTTGCATTTCCGAGGGGCATAATCTTCCCATAATTGTTCACGCCTCTCATTCGTGACCCTTCTCCTCGCAAACGCACCCGTTTCCGGATCCTCCTCCCAAACATAGAAAACAGCACTGCCGTGTGGCGACGGCTGAGGAAATGTGCTCGCATATCTCTCCCTGCTCAGCCGCGACTGTTTCAGTGCTGCAACTTCCAGATGTTCGATGTAAAATTTGTGATAATCACGGCGACGGGTATGGAATGCAATAAAACTTTCTCCTTTGCGCCAGGGTGGGATGCGAGGAACAACCTGGCCAGCTTTGTAGTTCTTCTTTTCGTAATTGGCGGCCGTGTCTAGAGGCTTCACGTTCCCAGAAATATGGGGAGGGACGACGACGGGTTGTATGCCAAATCCTGTAGCGGACGGGACCATCAGAACTGAGGGTGACGCAGGTTGGGATTGAACAGGTTGTGACGGCGACGGAGCAGATGCAAGCCAATCCGTGTTGTCGATGGGCCATCCCGAGGGACTAACCCATCTGGAGGGTTCATCCATGCAGTGCCCCATCCACTAGATGATGTTCTGGATGCCCCCGAGGGAGCATTGTGAGAGGAAATCTGCGATGATACCGGCGACGTCAGATAGCCATCGCTCCCGTACGCAGGCGTGCCCTTGAGATTGCGGGCAGGGGGTGCGGGGCGCCAACTGGAGGGAGTAGAGCGCCAAGAAAGCTGATGGTTGCCGATATCAAATGCGTCCCATACTTGTTGCTCTGTTGGACGGAGAGCAGGGTTCATCCCAGACGGTAACGACATGACGTTGTCGGGCGTACCCCAGTGGATGTATATGGGGACGTTAGAGTTGACGAAGAAATCGAGATGCTCGCGTAACTCCCAATTGGGACGCATGAGAAATCCCACTCGTGATGATTTGAAGTGATTCTCGATGATCCACGATTGGCTCAGTCGATCGATGAAGGCTGCACATGTGCCACCACTCATAAGTACACCCCGCCAGGCCTCATTAGACTTGTTGAGGTTATTGACCAACACCGCTAGATATGCCAGCTTCGTAGCGTGTTGTAAAAGCGACAACCTTGCACACCAAGCGGCATCGCACGCACGCGCGTCGTCGACAAAAAGATGGTAATTGAACGAATTTGGTTCAGCGAGCGAAGGGATGCGTTTGGCAAGCGTGGATTCGGCGCAGTCCGGGATGTTCCTGAGGTACAATTCCAGGGTGAAAATTGCGGGGAGGAGAGCTTCTTCCAGACACTGCCAATCCCCAGCTGCCGCCGGGCGATACTGCCCTCGATACTCCTCCAACTTGACAGCGGAGCGAGGGACGAAACTGAGGGAAGCCAGGAAAGACCCAGGGAAGTGACAAACGGTGGGGAAGAAGGCGGCAAACAAGCAATCATTGCGAACCCATCCACGCTCGTGCATGGTCTTCAGACGCGTACTCAATGGGGTGTATTTGTCGGATGGTATGTCTTCAGCTGGGGCATGGTTACAAGTGGGGGAAGCAAATAACTGCCCATGGCGGATGAATACGTAAAGCATGCTAAACAAACCGTGCGTCAGTGTCGGTATGTCTGACAACAAAGCAGCGGACTAACGTCGGTTACCAACTGGAGGGGAACCTGCAAGGGTAGAGAAATTGGAACCGACGCGAGGCGATGCTGCAATCAGAGTGTCAGCCAATATATGGTGCCAGATGGAACTTCAACGCACCGAATAAGAACTCGACGAAGACGTGTGAGACACCCAGGACGACGCGAGGACGTAAGAAGACCACTCCTCTCAGACGACGCGACGAATATGGGCGATGGGGAAACGAGATACGATGGCGCGTAGGAGACCAGTCCCCTACGAACTTCGGATAGGAGACCACTCCCCTACCGACGTAACTAGGGACGACCGGAAAACAAGAGCAGACCAGGGTAACGACGACGAGGAGGTAACGAAAGCAGGCGAGGTAACAAAGTGCGGAAGATAAGACGGAGTCCGAGTGAATTTGAAGACTGTTTTGGGGAGTCATGCGCACGGACCACGCGCACGGACCATGCGCAACCAGTCATGCGCGGCCGGTGCTCGGAGTCACTGAGTACTGCTCACCTTTGCCTTCCTCGCCATCATGTCCTTCGGGCTCGCGATGTGGTTCGCGAGTGCCGCTTCATCATGATCGTCTCGTTTGTCGTCGCCAGGACCATGCACAACCAGTCATGCGCCGCCGCCGTTGGTGCTTGGAGTCACTGAGTAATCTCATTACCGCTCACCTTTGCCTTCCTCGCCATCATGTCCTTTGGGCTCGCGATGTGGTTCGCGAGTGCCGCTTCATCGTGATCGTCTCGTTCGTTGTCACCAATATCGTCACCGACTTCTTTGTCGTTGGCCACATCGTCGCCACGGATCTCGTCGCCACGCCTTCAAAGAAACCCCGTCGCCATTGCCACCGCTTGTGACGTGGTTCGTGAGATGGATGTGCATGCTCACCGTGGTGGATCCGTCGTTGCCACCCCTTTCAAGAACTCTCCCCGTCGCTGTTGTTGCCGCCATTGCCGCCACTCGTGACATGGTTTGCGAGACCTATGTGCGTGCTCACGGTGGAGGATCCGTTGGGGCAGAATTACGCTTATCCCTATTGTAAGTACAAATATCAATACCCAAACGGCAGAATGTTAACCAGTGCCCAGGTTTCCTCTTTGACACGCAGAATGTCGTTGGCGTATTCCCTGCTATGGTCCTGCAGGAATCCGATGTCATATAATGGTCGCGCCAAACCTTTCACCGGACTCCGTTTTGATACTCGAATATTGTCTGCCTGAGGATGAATGTTCTTCAACCAGGCAGTGCTCCGGTCGGACCTTTGTCGTGGTATCGGTGTTGTACCCTGCTTTGCAAATGCTCCCCCCGCTTCCACGCGGTACGAGTCGATGGCATCTAGAAAGGTGTCCATGTCCCGGTGTCACAGCATAACGCTCGGCCTGAGGTACGACTGGTGAGTTTCTTCATCGACGTCGGATTCGTCGGAACTCATTCCGTCAATCCCCAGGACATCCATCGTTTCTTCAGTCGCTTTCCACACCGACTGTTCAACTGAAGTCTTCGACGTGCAAAACTTGTGATAGCAAATCTTCTTTTGTCTGTGCCAGCGCTAGTCCATCCCATCAGCCACAGAACGGCCCAAGTCATCAAAAGACCTACCGCTGTTCTCCTGGTACGCCTCTGACCGTCCTCCGACTGCATTTCTGCATCCTTGTGCATGCGAGTGTCACGCTCGCTATCTCGGCCTGCCAGACCCTTTTCAGTCGTCTCATACCTCCACGTCTTGGCGTCCGGATCCATCACCATTCTTGGCCTCACCTGTATCCGTTCTGTCCACACCCGTATCCATTTGTGGTAGACGAGATCCTCCCAGTACAAAAAGGTCGCGACTGGCACCATCTTGGGTGGTTTCCCAACTTGCCAGATCTCCCGGCTCTGCCGATCCATGCACTTCTGTGCGAGGATTACACAGATAGCTCGATTCCAGGCATTATCGGCCGGTGAGACGTCGGTGAACTTGAAAAGGTCGCCCTCCACCAGTCCGTCGGTGCTGCCTTCAAGGAACGCATTGACGACACTCTCCGGAGGAGCGGTCAACATTACACTGTCCTTGTCCGTTGCTACTCCAACTTCACTTCGAAATATGTCTCAGACGATAGCCTGGGATGTAGTCAGCCCGCGCATATATTGGAGGATTTGTAGCCAGCTCACCAAATGATGACGACGGAACGGACCCTTGAATGACTCTCGTTCGAGGTGGAGCGACATCTGGTATTGCCAAGCTGCAGCCTTGTCGTTGGACGCTCGCATCACACCACTGGTCGCTGGTGTTGGTGGTGTCGTTGTTGGTGGGCCAGTTGCGGGTATCGACCCCGTTGTCGGTCGATCCGTATTCATTGCATCTGTGGTGGTTGTTAGCTCCAATGGAGTCACGGTCAATGGATGCAGCCCCGGTACCGCGGTGGGGGGAGGAGGATCAGCTGGCGACATCGAATGCAATCTGGGTGGTTCTACCGAAGTGGTTGCTTGTGGACCGTGCAATGCGGTACTTGTTGTTGTCGCCGGAGTAACGGCCGGAGCCGGCGGTTCATCTACTGCGGTCGGCTGAGGTGGTTCAGCCGGCGACGTCGAATGTGATCTGGGCAGTTCCGCTGAAATCATTGGTGGACTGTGCGATGCGGTACTATTTGTCGTTGCCACTTGTGAGGTTTTGGACACTTCCAGTTCCTGCAATGTTTGCTCGGCAAAGCATCCTCCAAGAAATTTATGACTACATACCTCTTGAAACCATCGCAACCGCGCCTCCATGGAGTCCTTCATCATCTGCATTTGTTGTTGAGCCTCGTATAGCTTTGCTTGAATGCCGACGTAATCTTGCTGCAGCCTGCCGAGTGCTTCATCTTTCTCACCCAAGACCGCTTTCAAGGATCCAATCGTTGCCGTCGAATCGGTGAGTCTATTCTGCATAGCACCATCTAAACGCTCCATGATGTCCGTCCTCGCCCTCAGATCCGCCACGTCGTGGCTCATCGTGGTCAGCGATGCCGTCCGATGCTTCAGCTTCTCTTGAAGGCGATCATTGCGCTTCAATTGAATGCTCAATGATGCTCCCAACTTCCTTGCGGATGTTGGCGCTCGGGGTGTCCCAGGGGGTGTGGAGGTGCGGCCCCGTTTCTGCCTATGGACATCACGCTGGTCTAATGCGAAGTTAGCGCGATCCAAGTATCTCGCAGACAATACCTACTATCGCTCATTGACGTTACGCTTGATGCTCTTGGCGGTACCCTTATAAACAGTTTCTCTGCCCGCGGTGTGGTCTGCGGTGTGTGAGCGGCAAGCCTTTGCGTGGCCAATGCGATCAACGACATACCTTACTCGTTGCCATCGTCATAGTTCCTGCGTTGGTTCCAGTGGTGGAAACGCCGGTATTGCATAATGCCAGAGTGCATCCTATTCAAGGTATGATCTACAAACGGTATGAGCTTCTGCGTGGCTGATGCAATATGCGACAGCACCTCGCCCATAGTCAGATCCGTGCTCGTATCCATCGCCGACGACTCCACCGCAGGAGCTGATTCAGAGGGCAGCGACATATGCATACTCCCTGCTCGCGGCGTGGTCTGCGAGCGGTGTGAGCTTCTGCCGTTGATGTGATGATCGACATACCTCGTCTGTCGTTGAACCCGTGGTGTCCGTCGTCGGCATGGGGTCTGATCCAGAAGACTCAATCGCAGGCTGGGTTGCCACGATCTCTGGGACCTCCGGAGTTAGGAAAGGCGCAGCGATCCGCTGCATCGTTGGGAATGTCCCGGGCAAATCTAAGTCACTTTCGTACGGCGCTGGTGATCCTATGCTGCTCGGGGGCGGTGTGGCCTAAGGGCGATTAGCCTCTGGAATCACGATGCGGTTTGACTCCATACCTGTGATCCGGGTTCCGACATGCAAATATCCTCCTGGGACATGATATCGGACTTGATTGCATACTGCAGAGAGCTTGTCGCGTCGCGTTAAATCCACTGAGCTCCTCGTTACCAGTCACGTGTCAAAACAATTGGCGACGACTGTGGGTCACAACATTATTCTTTGGCGTTCCAATGCTTCACTGCCCCCTCCCAACGGTTGGAGATGCCCTCCCACAACCGACGTCGAAGATTATTGTTCGAGACCAATTTTTTTTGTAGCGATGCGACTTTGGATGTGACATCGCTCATGACTTCCATTCCACGATTTTGTCCCCCCGATGTCGTTGTTCAGAGCTCCCTCCATCACTATTCTTTGTGTAGACGTCGTCCTTGCCGTCCTTTGTTTGCAGACTCGTTGTCCACCGTCGCCGCGAATCTGGGGCTGCGACGTTGCTCTCATCTCTCGACATCGTTTTTTGTGGTAGACGTCGTCCTGCCGTCCTTTTTGTTCACAGACTCGTTGTCCGCCGTCGCCGTGAAACCAGGGCTGCAACGTCGCTCCAAACCCTCAGTTTTTTTGTTGCCGACGTCGTCTTGCTGGGCTCGTTGTTCGCCGTTGCCGCCGAACTGATAAAAGCCTCTCATCAACGATAGACATTCTCATTCACAAATCGACAACTTCCACTGCACAATGCCGTCCTCTCGTCATCGCTGCTCCCCTATCCATGGAGAGGTTAGCATGATAACACTTAGTCATATCGTTTACTGAACATATCTCAGATTCGGAACCTCAGAATTCTGGGGTGCATGTACTCTCGTCGCCTCCCTTCACCTGTGGTGGTGAAGGTGGACGTGGACGATGACACTGTAATCCGGTATCCGCTCCTGGAACGTTATGTCGACGACGAAAGGGTGCAGCCCTTCATACATGACTGCATCATGATCTTACGCGAAGGTTCTCGTGTGCATCGATTTCTCGTGTTCTTCAAGCACCATCTGAGGCTCCGGGTGAACTCAGGTTTACCTGGAAACTCGAATGGCACGGTTCCTTTTCGTGGCAACATCGTAGTTGCTCGCGCAGGCGTGCGCAGACCTGGATGCATCGTTAATATGCGCGGCCGTGATCGTGCACTCGCGGATCTGGGTCTCTGCCTGTAGGTCCCTTTTTGTTCAATAATTTGTCGCACGACTGACTCATCCTTAGGTTCACGCATGAGCTGACAAAACTTGGGGGATGCAAGCGGAGATTCTGTATCCCGCGCAAGTTCTCATTCAATGTAGACACTGCTGGTTCACGCCGTTCCGCTCGACTTGCGAACAAATATATATGATACAAAACATGTAATACACCGTATATACAATGAATCACATTTCATTCACGAATAACGAACGGATGCAACCGTGTCGCAAATGTAGATACGGAGATGTCCGAATGGGAAGTAAGACGACAGTTCCTACAGACTTGATGGTAACCATTCCTCCATGGTACTGGCATGCATTCCGCTGACCTTCAGCGGTTGCAAAGTAAACGTGCACGCGGTTTTCGGCGGCCCAGACGAATTTGCGGACTTTGCCGTGGATCTACCTTATTGTTAGCGGGGATGACCAGAGCAAATTTTTCGCCGTTACCTCACTCCATTCATGAAGGGCACGAACGCGGCGGTGCTCATGCTTGAAGACACCAGTAATCTCCAGTATTTGCTCTGGTACAAGCTGACTGGTTATCTTATGCACATCAAAAATACTACGCATCGCAGAAAGTGTGTCTTTGCCCTCGTCGCCAGAATCATCCGACCACCCGGATGCTGGTTCTCGTTCAGGCATGCAATGGGCGAGGGGAAGAAATGGCGACTGTGCGAGGGGAAGAAACGGTGACCTCTTATTCTCATGCTAAGGTTTATTATATACAATGTGTCATTGCGTAATATACACGCGCGCTACCTAACTGGGTCACAATTTGAAATCAAGGTGCTGAGGAACGGGACGTCCTTGACTGTGACGGCCTGCAGTATACTTCAAACGGGCATTGATGAAATCGTCAACGGGCCAGGCATCGATGTAATGCTGAACCAAACGCGGGAATGTAGCCTTGACCTCGGCGCGGACGTGCTTTTTAGCATCCTCCCCTTGAGCCTTGAATTGCTTGCGATGATCACAGTGTCTGGCAACAATGTCGTTGATTGCGTTCTGAGAATCTCATCAGACGGCACTCATCAGGCACGGAGGCAATTCAATACCTTCATCTTAGTGTATTCATCCAAGGGGATTCCTAACGCGTCGCTGAGTTTATACCCCCCCCTAGACGGGCGTCCTGTGTCCCCAGAAGGTTTGTGGCGTCGAGACGCTTTGCTGTCAGACTCGAGCTCATCTTCATCGGTATCACCGGTATGGTTCCAATGCACCCGCCGGTGTTCGCTCTCAACCTGGGCCGCGACTCCATCCTTGTCTTCTTCCACGACCGGTAGAAGAGCAAGAGCGGGCGAGCGCCGCAGCGAAGCAGCACGGGGCGTCCCGGGGGGATGGGACGATGAGCAAGGGGGTTGCGACAATGAGCGAGGGGGTTGCGACAATGAGCGCGGGGGCTGTGACGACGAGGGAGGAGTTTGTGACGGTGACTGTGTAGCGGTGGACGTTGTGCGTGTCCTCGGCCCAGCAGATGGGTGAGGTGTCGACCCACGAGAGTCTGGTAAATGTGGACCTGATGCTGGGGCGTCATCATCGGGGGGGGGTACGAAGTAGCACGAACACCGTGCGGCTTTGCACGGCACAGTTGGCTGATGAAGTATGGATGCACGGCAACAGCGAGCTTCTTCTGAGTGCGGTCGGGGCCGCCGCCAAACTCAGTAGACGATAGAGTCGTCTCCAGCAATGTTGAAGGAATAACGGATCTGAAGTCCAGGAGGGGCAGTAGCACATATCGGGGAGGGGGAGGGGACAGCGGTTGATAGTAAGGATAGATGGACATCGCTGACTCCATGGTGAATGGTGTTGTGGGTCATTGGAGCCAGGCTTTATCATGGAGGATAAAGGAGGTGTTATTGTTTTGAGCCCAATCCATGCTGGGAGGAACAATAGGTAAACAATAGGTTATTCCCACAATTGGTCCTGTAAGAGACTCGCCGAAGTCACGACGATGAGAGATCCCACGAAGGGAACAATTAAGGGGAACACTGCGAAGCGACCATATCCAGTCAGGCAACAATTAGGTAGGATAGCACCAAAATGTCATATGACCAATGAGGTGACTACGTCGTCAGGAGACTAGCGCGGGGATGACAGAGGGGACCATGGAACAAGGTTGAGCCATGACAAGCCGACAAAGTGACCATCACAGCCAACAATGCCCCGCCAACGAAGTCACCACCACAGGCGACATGTTGCAAATAAGCCAACCCATATAATAATGTGTATTGGAGACGGTGACGCCGAAGTCGCAACCACTGGCAACATGTTGCGGAGGAGCCAAGCCATATAATAATGGACATTGGGGACGTCGCTGACAATTGCACCATCAGTATATATGGCGCCGATATTCTGAGCCTAAAGCTCATAACTTACCATGTCATCCTCCGACTTCAAGCCCCTGTCCGACCATTTTATCTGCACTGGTCGCATCAACCTTCAGGGAGGCCGGGCCGTTTACCAGCTCGCATTTTCTCCCGATGGAAAGTTCCTAGCGTGTGGAGGTTAGATCCCTTAAGATGTTTCGTCACTTCATGGCTGACCTGCGTGCAGGAGAGTTCGGTGCCTGTCTTATCCATATTGAAACCACCACCATTCAGAAGAATCATCCCGCGTACGACCTACGGGTTCACGGAGCGGTGATGGCAATGGAGTGGGTTGGCAACACGCTGGTACTAGGCTCGGCATACGGGTACATGAAGATTTGGGGTCTGCAGAGAGGTGTGCTCGAGGAGTGGCATACGTTCCGCGTTGCGGAAGGGACAGAGGTGACCTCGCTGGCGATCCGGGGGCAGCCGGCAAGGTTCAAACTGGCAGTCGCGACGAGAGACCACGTTGTCGTGCGACTAGACATAACACCTGACGAGGTGACCGAAATCTTTGCGGTGCAGTTGGAGAAAACATTTGCCAGGACGGTGGTGTTTACTGGCGACCGAGACGACATCCAACTCCTCGGGATGTTCGATGGCATGATGTACGTATATCACTTCAGAATATCGACTCGGAGGTTGACGGTCGAATAACAGGTACACGTTGAAGTCTCATGAAGGGAAGCTGAAGATCAGCAAATCTCGTTCGATTTGCAGACTTGTGTGAGTGCGATGATTGCCGCGAAGCCGAACCATCACTGAAACGTTGCCCAGGGGTTACGCAAGTTTCGACTCGGACCACCGAGAAGTGCTGGTCGATAACACCGACGCATTCGCCATACACAGCACAGAATTGGGGAGCTGCTTGAACGTCTTCTCAACGGGACGGCCGACATGGAAGATACCGAAGCAAGTGGTCTTTGCGGAAGGGGGGCAGACGGTAATTGTCGGAAGCGACCATGGAGATGTCTACGTCTTTGATAGAGCCGGGGGCCACCCACAAGCAGTCCTCCACCATCAAGACACTGGATACACGCAGACCATTGCTGTGCGTCGCATGCATCAATATAAATCCCATATCACTAACTTGCATCCAGACATGTTCAACAGGCAATGGTTGTCTTGTAGCATGTGGAACGTCACTGGATGGAGTGCCCAGCTCTGTATCGATATGGAAGAGCAAGCCCGCAGACCCGCTTCCGTCGAATGCACCATTGCAGAATACGTCATCAGAATCTCCCCCAGTCAAACCATCGCCAAAGTCGGAACCGCTTATACTGCGCGTTGTGGCCTGGATCATGGCTTTATGGATGATGAAATATTTGCTGGTATGAGTCACCTTGGGGATCGAGCGATCGGCAGTATCTGACGCCCCCATAGACGGGCACAGAGATGCATTGGTTGATGGAGGACCTCTGGTACATGAGAGTACGGCCGGCTATTGTCCACACGATACTGCTCTTGTAATCGGCTGATCGCAATGACATAATTGTGACATTCGGAGGCGCTGACAGCGTCTGGCGTATACACTGTGGCAGATGGATGAATCCTGTCACTGTAGATAGATGGACGGGGATGATACTCACGAGCATTGACGACCACGATATCGCGCGACATCCACGCCGATGTCTGGCGTCAAAGCCTACAATGGAGATGGGCCTGAAGCAACGCTCGCGAACCACGTCGCGAGCCTGCAAGCCAAAGAACCTCTGAAGGAGGGCGATGGCGGAACGTTCGGTAGTGATGACGGGCGGCTCATGGACGGCGACGATGACGCCCGGGTTGCAGGGTCGATTGCACGCTGCGTCAGGGAGAAGACCTCCAAAGGAGGATGTGGACGATGGAATGGATGGTGGCGATGTCACTGGAGATGGGTCTGAAGCGACGCTCGTGAACCACATCACGAGCCTGCAAGCCAAAAAAAACCTCTGAAGGTGATGTTCGGTGGTGATGACAGGGTGGTCATAGACGACGATGCCCGGGTCACAGGCTCGAACCGCGTATCGCACGCTGCGGCTTCCAAATGGCGACGTGATTAAAAACACGGCCTTTTGAAACAAGGGGTGGAAACGAGATCGGTGTTGCGCATTTAGAGGAGCTGGACTGTGGCAAACAGATGAGTCACGTCACAGTATATGGACAGGGGATGATACTCATGAGCATTGCCGATGTCTGGCGTGAAAGCCTATTGGGCCTGAAACGACGCTCGCGAACCACGTCACGGGCTTGCAAGTTAAGGACCTCAAGCGACGCTCGCGAACCACATCACGAGCTTGCAAGTCAGGAACCTCTGGAGGAGGGCGATGACAAAGCGGTCGGTGGTGATGACGAACGAGTCATAGACGGCAATGGCGTTGGGCATTTGGAGGAGCTGAACTGTGGTGAACAGATGAGTTGCGTTACAGTCTATGAACAGGGGATGACACTCACGAGCATTGACAACTACGATGCCACAGGAGGTTGACGCCAACCAATGACTACGATGTCACACGAGATTGACACCGATGTCTGGCGTCAAAGCCTGAACGGAGATGGGCCCGAGGCGACACTTGCAAACCACGTCGCGAGCACGCAAGCAAGAGTGGCGATGATGATGCATTTGGTGGCGACAACAAGACGAGGATCATAGACGGCGACTCCCGGAGCGGCGCTCGCAAACCACGTCGCGAGCGCCGCAAAAGACGACTACACTGACAATGAAGTATGATGTGGCTGAAGTCAAGGATGGCAATGATTAGGTAAGGTGATCTAGTGGCTGGAGCACATCATCTGTCACTTTTCTCTCCCCCTCCCCTGGCCTCACCTCGGTGTGTGGTCACTGAGCGCGTCGTCGGCGCCGCACAGCGCAGTTTGGTTGCCTCAGTGTGTGGTCACTGAGTGTGGCATTGGTGCAGTGATCGCCTCGGTCCATGGTGACGGAGTGTGCTGCAATTCTGTTGCACCATAACCGTTTCTTGTTCCATTTGCAACAATGCTTTGTATACGTGTTCTGGCCTCGTCCCGCATCCGTCCCTTTGCCTTGCCTGCGTACGTTGTATTTCGCTTCGAGCTCGCTTATATCATTTCTTACGTTGCTCATCCAGCGACATTGCAACATCGCGACCCATCATGAATTATCCCTGGAGGGTCTGGCTCTCACAAGACCAATCCTGTCTTGTGCGGTGTACTTCTTTTTGTTGACGCCCGACAATGTGCATTGTACTTTTTACAATGTGCGTTGTACTTTTCATCCTCTTTCTTTCGATGCTTGTTATTCATCAGTCGTATTTATGCAGGTAACTTGGTGCTCGATGTTTTCTCCATCAATTCCACGACCATCGTCCAGCCATGCCGGCACGACGTACCTACCATTCCCAAATGTCGGAGCGCTTGGCCGCTCTGCATATGGTGTCGGTGCCACCTCCCACACTTCTGGATCTACAGGATATGATTGCTGTCGTCTCCACCGCCATGACCAAATCTCTGAATCGTCCATCCCGCTCCCGACAACGCTCCCATAGCCTGAGACCTGTGGTGGACTCAGGCGCAACTGGGTCGGGCATTGGGCCTGATCATAATGGCAGTGACTACATCACGCGCAGACAAATGCGCATTCTCCGAAGCATCCAGGATGGCATCACGGAGTGCCAGACAAAGTCGACTCAGCCGAGGAGCATCCAACTTTATCTTGAACTTCGAGGACGCCTGGGGGATCTTCGTACAGCCCTGCAACAGCTCACTCGTCAAGTCCCATCGATCCAATCCGGCAAGAGCGCTGCAATCGTACAAATCGATGGCCTTGAAGACGAGTTGTATGAGTGGAATAAGTCTCTGGGATCTCATGTACAATCAATT